GTTTTTTGCTGTTTAACCTTCTAAGGAAAGAAAAGTTCAAAATTTACATTAGCATGAATTTCCCCACTCACCTTCATTTTCTGAAATGCCATCTTTAAGTGCGGAATGAAGAGCACCCCACTCACACGTGCAGCAGCTAAAATCACACAGCAGCATCTCTTTGCTCATCGCGCATGCACATTTAGTTTTGTCCAGAACCGTGGAGAAGCTGCACAACACTCACTCAACTGTTTTACTTCACTTCTTGATACGCACACTCCTCCCCTCACTCTCCGCCTCCGGCTGGCCGCTGAGTCAGGAGGGCCGAGGAAGGGAGCTCTGGGGGGCTTGTCTTTCCCTTTCTTTTTGGGGCATCACTTTTCGTGTGAGTGGTCGGTGAGGGCAGGGAAGTCACATGAGGAAGAAAGGTACGGCAGGGTTCCATGATCCTCTATGTTTCTTAGAACATGACTGTCTTCCTCCTGACTTTGAAGCAAGTTTTGGCTCAAAGGGAAAGTGTGGCTTCTCACTCCACTGGTCAGCACCTCCACTCACGCAGCCGTAGACCCGTCAACACACTTCCCTTATACTCAGTTTGAGTCTCCCTGAACCCCATACAGCAGCACAAGTCCGCCAGAATTCTGGGCTCACGGAGCATCGCGAATGCTGTTTGAAGGGGACAGTGTGTTACACATGTCCTCCTTGCTCACACATATGCTCCACTGATCTCGCTTATAAAGCCCAAGTTCAGAGGGAAAATGAGTAAGAATTGCAAGACAGCCCTGGCCCTGGCTCAGCTGGTTGGAGCGTGTCCTGTAAAGTGAAAGGTCATGGGTTCGATTCCCACTCAGGGCACATGCCTAGGTTGTAGATTCAGTCCCCCGGTTAGGGCGTGTGCAGGAGGCCACAGATTGATGTTTCCCTCTCCCATCGCTGTCTCTCTCCCTCTCTCTTCCTCCCTTTTCCCCTCTCTAAAGTCAATAAGCAGGTCCTCGGATAAGGACTTAAAAATAAAAAACGAATTTCAAGACAGCTACAGCAGCACATTAAACCAAGGGCAGGCCTTTCTGACACTGGGATCCTGTGTGACTGCAGAGTTTGCGTGTCCATGAGGCCAGCCCTGGGGAGGGGGTGATAGTGCTCATCCTAGCCCTGTTGTTGTGAGGGGTCCATGAGATGGCGTGTGAGCACAGGGCCAAGCACACAGCGAAGCTCAACTCAGTGGCCGGACCGAGGCCCGAGTGCTGGGCCTTGGCCCCAGTGCAGCCAGTGAAGCTCGAGGGCAAGGCCCAGAGCAGGGGTTTCTGGGAAACCTTCCTTCTGTCCTCCTAAGTTCTCCAGCCCCTTTGCTGACTGCTTCTTCTCAGTCTCCACAGCACGTCCCTTCGGATACCCAAAACACTAATCATAACCTCAGGCATTATTTATCGAACGCGTACTACTTCTAGACACTTTGCTTTACCAACATCCACCAGTTAGTTCCACAAACAGATTTTTAAGGGCTGTTTCATTTTCCAGTGGCAGAAACCCAACTAAAATGGGAATGTACTGACTCACATAACTGAAGAAACTAGGGAGAGACCTATTTCAGGTAGATGTCATCGGACATCTGCCTTTCTCCATCTCTCGGCCTCCCTCAATGCACTGGCAGCCAAATTCTACCCTCATGGTGGTAAGGTGGCCTCCAGCAGCACCAAGCTTACATTATACCAACTTCACCACCACTTTAGGAATTGAATAAGAATGTTTTCTAACAATGACAACAGTAAAAATCCAAATTGATGACTCTGGTTGGCTGACTTCTGGTCACGTGATCATCTGGAACCAATCAATCTCTATGACCAGGGAGTTGTAGGCTCCTCATGGGCTAGGAAAGGGTAGGTCCATCCCTGCATCTAGGACAGGAAGTCAGTTCTCTGGGGACCATATGGACTGAGAGAGGGACAGGGAAGATTCTCATAGAGCAAACCAAGCAAGGAGGATGGATGCTGACTATGCAACCTGCCCCATCAACCCTGGCCTAAGACTACCTGTTCACCAGATCCGTTTCCTCTTCTTTTCCAGCATACCTAGACTATCTCGCCCAGCTTCCTATTCAGTTAGATGTGGCCCTGTGACTAAATTCTAATCAATGGAATATGAAAGGACATGATGTCACAACCTCCTGGACTGCTTCATATAGCTATTGCTACCCACCACACTCTTTGTCCTTCCGCTGGCTTGATGCGGATGGGTCTGGTGACCTCGGAACTGCACCGCAGATGGCTGAGCCACAAATGGGAAGGAGTGTGGGTCTCAGTATCACTGGCCCTCCAAGCAGAACACCTGCTTTGGACCTTTTGTGACTGACAAATAACTTCTATGTTACTCAACTCCTTACATATGTTGGGGTGACTTTGCTGCAGCAGTTGGCTTACCCTAACTAATAGTTACAGGCGAGCAAGGTGAGGTTCAGAGGAGTGACATGCCTTGCCCAAGGCCACAGAACCTGTAAGAGGCTGAGCCCAGATTCAAAGCTAGGTCTGTCTGACTCTAGTCACCACCCTTTGACTGGAAAGGACAGAGACCATGTCAAACTGTAACACAGGCAGATCCCTGGGAAAGGCACAGAATCATGCCCTGTGGGACCTGGGGGGCTGAGAGCAGAGGTACAGTAGAGGTTCTTGAGGAACTTGGGTGCCATTAACAGTCTCTGTCTCTCTCTCCCTCTTTCTCTCTGACACCATATGGCACCTTGCCGCAATTTCTTGTTTCCCGTTGGCCGTGGTTCTTCCCTCTGCTCTCCCACTGCTGTGTTTCAGATGATGTTAGCTCTGCGCTCTAACTCTGGTCTTAGCTCCCCCGGCCCTCCCAATATAATCTCTGACTCAGTGCTTATACTCTCAATGGAGAGCCAGATTGCCAAGGCTGGAGCTCTGTGTACATGACAGATGGGAGGTAGGGAGGATAGACTTGTCCTTTGGACAGTGTGCCTGTGACCATGCCACCCTGGCCACCAGCTGTTGGTCCAGGCACAGATACAGGGCATCATGGAGGGCACACCCCCAACCGAACAGGTAGTTTGAGTGTAAAATGACTGTGTGATTCTGTGGGAACTGGAGCCATGCTCAGAAGTCATCATGGGGGCAGCCAGGCAGGTGGGTACGCTGACAGGTGTGTAAGCCTGCCAGGGGTTGGGGGGCCTGTGGCTGGCAGCCCTGCCTGTGGGCGTTTGGAGGCAGACTCGGGTGGGGCGGGCTGGCTGGGCTGGAGAAAGAGGACATAGGCTAGCCTGCCAGAGCAAACAGGCAGGCTTTCTGGCCCTGCCTTCTAACAAACACCCTGACACCTGAGGTAGGGTGGAGTGGGAGAGGCTTAGAGTTAAGGTCCCTGAGCCTGGCCAAGAGGAGTCAGTCCCCTGGGATGTATATGTGGGGGAGGGGAAGGGGTTCCCAGCTACTTGAATGCCTAGGGCTCCATGTTTCTGGGAGAGAGGTCTCTAGTAGGGAGCAATAGGGCTCTGTCCCCACCCAGCCCTGGCTGACATTTTCCCTGGCAGTTTAGGAATACAGATGGGGCTATGTTTATGGACTACGGTGGCGAGAGAAGAAAGGGATGGGAGGAAATACTGGGGGTATTGGACTTGAGATCTGAAATGTCAGGCTAGGAGGAGCCACTGCCAAACACCAGCGATCCCATGCCTCCACAGGCAGGTGCAGGCCGAGGCCCCTCTGAGGCCCTGGGAGTCGGTGTGGATGACCCATCCAGGCAGCAAGAGGCTGGATCATTTGGTCCACGGGGTCGTCACTGAATGTCTGTGCTCCAGGAGGCACAGCGAAGGGGACACAGAGGATGAGCACCCCTGCGCTGTCCTGGAAGGAGGAGGACAGAAGCTGGGGGTACACATGGTCTGGGTAAGGCTCAGCAGCCCACGGCCAGGCTGGAAGCTGAGGTCTGTGTGTGTCAGGGGGGTGTGTGTGTGTGTGTGTGTGTGTGTGTGTGGCTGCGGGACCTGGGGGTGCTTTCTGGCTGCAGAGGCCCTGTAGGCTTTGGGATTTGAACACCTGTCTGGGTGGGCTCAGTCCTGGAATCTATGACCCTGTGCAGCCAAGGTGGATCCCAGAAGCTGAAGCTCTGGACAGAAGAGGTCAACTTGATGGGGGGTAAGATGGCCAGTGGGGTGAGACTGGCTCGGTTTCTCAGGCTGGAGGGGGTGCAAGCAGACTATTTTCTTTGCTCTTCCGGATCGCACGGCAAGTGATTCTGCCTCCCCGCAGCTTGCTTCCCTGAACTGCAGCCCCATCTCTGGCACCCCCGAAGTGGCTCGAGCTCATGGGGAACTGGAGGGGGTTCCTCTGGCCCTCCCCTCCTCGGGCCAGGGCCTCTCTCCCTGGGGACCCTGGCCAGAGGCCTCCACTCTACCCTTCAAGCATCTCTAGGGAGCCCCACCCCCACGCGGCAGTTACATTTCCTGCTAGAGTGAGGGCGTGCATCTAAGGTAACACACTGGTTTGCTTTCTTATATACTGGTTCATTGTTCAGAAGTTCTGCTTGTATGAGGAGTAAGCACTAATCACCGGACATTTGGAAAAGAAGTAAGAAAGCACAAACATCAAGAGAAAAAAACACCAAGCCATCTCCTCTGGAGGAGACAGGCTTATTCACAGGCCTTCTGGATTCCCTCTAAGCTTAGGGTCTGCGGAATTCGAGTTGGGTGGCAAACGCCTCTTTGGACAACTCCATTTGCAGTTTAGGAAGGCAAATCAGAGACCCCGTGCTCCGAAGTTCGTCCGGCTCTTGGCCCCTGGAGGCACCCGGAGCTCTGTGGACAGGGGCCAAGGCCCCTCCGGGCTACCGGCCCTTGGCTTCCCCAAGCTCCGTGCGCTCCCCGCCGGAGGCCTCAGTTCCCTCTTCTGCAGAATGGGCGGGTGGCCCGGCCTCCGCTCCCTAGGACTCTGCGGAGGCGGGGCGGCGGGCTCCGAGGGCGGCCGGAAGGGCTGTGAGTGCGGGGGCGGGCCCCGCGCCGCCCCGCCCCGGGGAGGGCGCCCGGAGCGCAGCATCCTGGTGCAGGCCTTGGCTGCTGCTGTCACTGCCGTCGGGGAAGGTCCCAGCGCGGACATGGCCTCGCGCGGCGCCCTCCCGGGCCCTCGCCCCTAGCGCCTCGCGTAGTAGCCCCGCAAAGAGGCGGCCTCAACAGTGCCGACGGCGCAGACGGCCGGGAGGGCGGCATGGAGGCGGCGCACCTGCTCCCTGCCGCCGACGTGCTGCGCCACTTCTCGGTGACCGCCGAGGGCGGCCTGAGCCCAGCGCAGGTGACCAGCGCGCGGGAGCGCTACGGCCCCAACGGTGAGAGCGCGGGCCGGGCAGGGGCATCGGGGGCCGGGCGCACCGCAGTCTTCGTTTCCCCCCTGCATCGCGGCCGCGGAGCGGCAACCCACCCCAGCTCTCGGGGCCCCCGCGGGCGGGCAGGAAGCAAGGGCTCCGGAAACCTCTGCAGATGCTCCTGGGACACCCAACGAGGCCGCGCGGTCACCTTCGCGGCGGGCGGTGGGGTGGGCGGGTTCCGGGTTCGGAGGCGGGACGCCAGGCTCTCCTTCCCCGTTCCCTCCAGTCCTAGGGACCTGCAGAGCCCTTCCAAACGTCCCACCTCCAGCCCGGCCCGATCCACTGCTGCAAGCCTTAGCCCACCCCATCCGCGGTCAGCGACGGAGCCCGGTCGTGCAGGTGCACACCCAGAGGGCGGCTGGCGAGAGACCAGCGGAGGACTCTGAGGCTCAATCCCCGCAGCTGTCTTCAGGGTCTCCCCCGAGGGCTCAATAAAACGCCCAGAAGGTGCAGCTTGTCAGCTGGCAGCCTTGGTGCCCCCACCCCCACCCCCAGGTCTTCCTCTTTCTGCAACCCGAGGCGGATGTGGCTGGCGGGAGTCGGTGCCGGTGGGGGCTTTGAACTGCCGTGGCGAGAGACCCGCCCCCCGGGTTGGGGCGGGTGGCAGATTCAAAGCCTCACTCAGGGAGTTGCCTGGGGAGGCCTTTCACTCCTGGATGACCCGGAGCGTGCCTGCCGGTGTCTGGGCGGGAGGGCGCCCCCACGCTGTTGCTGTCTGGGTGGGAGAAGATCGTTTCTCACTCATCTTCAAAGGGGTGTGGGATTCTCCATCTGCCAAAAGGCAGGTACTGTCCAGAAGTGTCCCTAGCCCATTTGGAGGCCCTGTGAGGGTGGAAGGTGTGGAGGTCCCCACCCCAAGTGGCTTCCAGGCAGGACTTTTCACTCCCTTCGTCCACCCCCAGAGTGGGAGGGGTCCAGCCAGAAAGGTCCCCTCCATGGCCAAGTGCAGCTGGTACTTGCAGACTTGGTTTCCCAGCCAGCCAGAGGGCAAGGTGCGCTGGCCTGAAGTCTCAGGGCTCCGAACTGGCTGAAAATTAGGAAAAGCTGTCAGAAAGGGAGCTTTGGGTCTTGTATTGGTTTATAAAAACCACCTCTTATATAAATATTATCTTTCTGGAGCAGAAATCCCTTTTCAAAAAAATTAGTTGCTATATTTAGTTGCGCTGTGGGAGGAACTCGGGAGATAAATATTATTTAATCTCCCCCATTAGTGACTTGGCAGGGAGGGCGCCGTCCCTGCGGGCCAGGCGGACAGCGGGGCCTGTCCCCAGCCCTGGGTTGGAGGTGGGGGTCTGGGCAGCAGGTCTGGGGGCCCACAGCCCCTTTTGTGCCGCAGTGGCCTCTGGCTTGGGAGTCCTGATTTCCAAGGGAAACTGGAGACCCAGCCCTTGGTTCTGCCTCCAGGATCACACACATTCTGTCCTGTGCGACACTGGCCAACCCCACTTTTTTTTCTGGCCCCCATGTCCTTGTTGGTCTAGCAGAAGAGGGACTGACTGGGAAGGAGGGAGTCCCTCGCTCTCCCCACGTTCTTTTGTCTGGTCCAGGTGCCCTGGGCACTGAGCCTCTGTGTGAGGTGGGATAAGGATGTGGGTGTGGTGCAGGTCTGCAGAGCTGGATGTGTGTGTGGGGGATGGTATGAGCATTGGGAAAATTGGGAGGGCCAGTGATGGCTCCCCTGGTTTCTCTGAGCTTTCTTTTAAATTTTTTTAACTTATTTTTAGAGAGAGGGGAAGGGAGGGAGAAAGAGAGGGAGAGAAACTCAATCGGTTGCCTTTCACACACCCCCAACTGAGGACCTGGCCTGCAACCCAGGCATGTGTCCTGACTGGGAATCGAACCAGTGACCTTGCGGTTCACAGGCCAGCACTCAATCCACACCAGCCAGGGCTCTCTGTGCTTTCATAGTAGTAATAATAAAAGTTGATGTTCATTGAGCACTTACTATGTTCCAGGCACTGTTCTCAGCACTTTTCATCTCTTATTTCTTCCTGAAAACCACTGTTGTCATCTGCATTTTACAGAGGAGATAACTGAAGCACCCGGAGGTTAGACAACTTGCCCAAGGTCACAGAGCAAGTGGGGGAGCTACTACTGGGCCCCCGTCCCTCTCTGGGCCTCACTTTCCCTGTTTGTTCAAGGGAGTCACAGTCTCTGGGGCCCTGGTGTTGGTGCACATGCTAGCACTTGGGGTCTGAGAAGCAGGAGCTACTCCAGCTTTGCTCCTGGCCCCTGTGGAGCCCTGGAGGGCTCTCCTCCCTGGTTGCTGATGGCCCCTCCTCAGGAAGCATTCCAGGGCTCTGGAAATGGTCAGGGGAGGGGAGGGGAGTCAGCAGCCCCTGCCGGCTTCATGCTTTCCCTGCCCCACTCCAGCCTGAGGGGGAGGCATGGTGTCCTGCCGGCTCTACCAGCGCAGCCTCTAGGGTGGGGCTGATGGGGGTTGGACTGTAGCTCTGCCCCTTCACAGTGGTGTGATCCTGGATAAGACTTTGCCTCTCTGTGCCTCGGTTTCTTCATCATAAGCGAGGCTACAGTAGGACCCACGTCATAGTGAGTGTTCCTATGCACCAGACCATCCCTCTTTGCAGCTGAAGAGGATCAGTGTGGCTTTGGGCCAGAAGCTGAGTGGTGGGGTGGGCGGGGACTGCAGGTGGAGGGGAACACCCCAGGGACTGGTGTCCGCCACCCCAACCCCAGGAATCTATGCACCTGTGAGGTCGTTAGCACTGGAAACCACAAGGCAGTCATTTGCTTAAGTCCTGAAGTTTGCAAATTCTGCCAGCAGGAGGCCGGGGCTGGGGATCCTGCCTGGCCCCAGCCTTCCCCCCCATCCCTTCCCCCCCCCCACCCCCACCAACCTCAGAGCTGGGAGTGGGGGCCTCCGCTGTGCCATCAGCGAGTAGGCCAGCCAGCAGTCTCCCCCACACAAAACACCAGCTGTCCCAAACCCGGTCTAGAGATGTGTCCTCCGAGGTCCCCGACATGGCTGTGAGCCAGATGTCCCGCCCCTCGTGTGGGCCCGCCCTCCTCTGCAGGTCCCAGAGCCCCCAAGGGACGGGGGCCTTTCCACAGCCTTTAAATTGATTTTCTGAATAAAAAGGTGCGTTCAGGACAACGTTCAAAAGGGAACAAAGATACACAGTACAGTTTCCCAGCCCTGTCCCCAACCACACCCCACCCGGTGTCCAGCACCCGCCCCTTCCCAAGATCCTCTGCGCAGGTACAGGTCTGGATCTATGATCCAGGAATTTTTTACACAAGAGGAGTGGATTGCTAGAGCTGTTTCACCCCTGCTTCCCATGTGACAGTCACTCTTGGAGGTGGTGCCATGTGGAGCTTCCTTGGGCTTCCCAGTAGCTTGCAGGGTTTCACTGTGTGGCTGTCCCAGCATCTCATCACCCCGGCTTGCTCGCTGCCACCGTCCCATGTGCTGCATGGCGTATCCTTGACCCCATGTTCTTTCACTCACTTGTGAATATCGTCCAAGGATAAATTCCTAGAAGCGGAGTTGCTGGGTCAAAGGGCATGTGTGTTTTCACTTTTGACAGCTGTTACTAGATTGTTCCCTGCAACGTTGCCCCCACTGGCTGGCCTGTCTCTCGCTGCCTCACCATGGCAGTGCGTTATTGAGCGTTCCAACCCGTGCCAGTCTGACCGAAGAGTCCTCCACGGCTTTACTCTGCATTCCTCTGCTTCCCAGTCAGGCTGGGCAGTTTTTCATGTGTTTAGGAGCCATTCGATTTCCTGTGTCCGTGCGCGGGCTGCCCATCACCTTGGCTGGGCGCGAGGCAGGGCAGGAGGCAGGACTGGGTAGGGCACGTCCTGCTAAGTGGGCCAACACCCAAGGGCCCTGGCAAGCCCAGTGAGGTGGGAGTCAGGAGAGATCCTGGGAGGTCTCCTGGGGTGGTCTCTTTTCAGGGGTTCTGGGGGAGGAGCTGTGATGGGGGCTGGAGCCAACGTCATGGGCTTCATGCAGCCCATTTGTTCAGTGGATGCTTGGGGCCCAGGGTGGCGGGTGGGAGGGATGATCTAGATTCCCGCCAGCAGTGTCAGCTGTGGTCTTATCTCCTGCCCTTAGCATGGCCCCACGTGGCCGCTGGAACTCTTGGGAAGACCACAGAAACCAGGCCAAGTGGAGTGGGGCCAGGCAGGAAGGGGGAGGGAGAGCGGTCTGAGTTGCCAGCCTCAGGCGGACTTGCCTTTCTGTGGCCTCCTCATCCTCTGTAGGGCACAGATGGGACCCTGAGACCCCTTCGGGGCCTTGCAGATGCGACAGGACTCTTGGACCTGAGAGGCCGTGACTTGTCTGCAGGGATTTGGAAGCTCCAGGAGTTTCAGGCTTCACTCTGGTTTTCATGCCTTTGTTGGGCAAACTTAGCGCCCTCCCCAGGGATCACACGAGGCCTGTGTCCTCGGAACCCCACCCCCTCCCCCAGCCCCTTGCACCAGGAGCTCCCTGAGGCAGAGCCAGGTCTGTCTGCAGCTCAGCTGGCACACTGATACTGAGCAGCGCCTTTGCAGGGGTGCTTTTAGTACCAGATGGACCAGGCAGGCTATAGGCCCTGTGGAGCCCACACACTTCCCAAGGCCCCCTACAGCGCGGGGCCAGGCTGTCCACTCTAGGTGGGCCCTGGAGACCTGGGCAGGGCCAGGTGGGCTGGGCGGGGCTGCCCAGCTAGGGCCTCTTCCTTATTCTGCAAGTGACAATTTAATTGCTTTGTAAATTTACCTTTGAGGAAGACCTTGGTGAGCACTTGCCTCTCCCGGCTGGGACTGACATTTAAAAGCTGCAATACCAGTTTCCAATGTTGTGAGAAGGAAGAAGTCAAGAGGGGGAATTAGGGGAGCAGGTGGTGGTGGAGCCTGGGGGCGGCCCTGGCCCCATACCCACCTTCTCCTGGGCTCTGGGCGACTGAGTAAACAACTCTGCAAAGCTCCCGTGTGGAGGCAGTGGTGACTCAGCTCCTCCCTGCCCTGGAGGCTCCCCAGTCAGGTGGGGCAATCCCCATACTGAGGACTGGTGAGAGCAGGGCGGGGTGGTCAGGGGAAGGGCCTTTTGCCCTGGAAGCCTTCCTGGAGGCTGGGGCTTAGATGAGGAGATGGGGAAGCGTGTCCTGCACGGGAGGAATGGCCCCAGCAAAGCTTTGGAAGGGAAAACCAGGGGAGGTGGTGGCAACCCTGAGGTGCCATGCTTGGCTGGCAGATGGATGGACATATGTCTAAGATAGGGGAGCGGTTCTGGATGGGCAGGCTGGGGCCGATGTAGGAAGGCCTTGAAGGCCACGCTAAGTTTGGTGTGTATTCAGCAGGCAAGGGAGAGCCACTCGAGGCTTATAAGCCGAGCAGAGACAAGGTCATTCATTCACAGATTTTGTTTTTTACTGATTCTCACCCAGGATGTGTTTATAGATTTTAGAGAGAGAGGAAGGGAGGGAGGGAGAGAGAGAGATGTGAGACAGAAGCATCGATCAGCCCCAACTGGGATCTAACCTGCAACCTAGGCATGTGCTCTGACCAGGAACAAAACCTGAAACCTTTTGGTGCACGAGATGACACTGCAACCAACTGAGCCACCTGGCTTAGGACCATTTTTAGATGTTTATTGAGCACCTATGGATTGTTCCAGGTTTGAGGGACATTGCACTTAATAAAGTCCTACTGTACGGAGTTTACATTGTAATAACTACTATTCTGTTTATTGAGGGTGCACTGTGTGCTGTGCATATTCTAAGTATTTTATTGCATAGCATGCCATTTAATCTTCACACCACCCTTATGAGATAGTGAGTATCCCCATTTTGCACAGAGAGGGGTCATAGAACTACCAAGACATAGAACAAGATTTGAACTCAAGCCCTCTGGACCAGACTCCTTGCTTTAAGCCAGGGGTCTTCTCTGATCACATCCTCTTTGGCCACCCAGGCTAACTCCCAGGCCCCGCGCCCAGGCCAGCCCCACATCAGGCATCTGTGGGCGTGGGCCCGCTGTCTGGCATCAGTGACCCAGAGCAGAGGTGGGCTGGGAGAGGCCCTTAGTGAGAGGTCCAGAGGTCTGCTATCCCAGAAGGACGGTGGGGGTCGCATGCCCCTGAGCTGGCCCCTGAGCTGACCCGGGAGGGAGCAGCACCTCTTGTTACTGCCTTTGCCTATGCAGCCTGGTGGACAGCACCCAGAGGTGGGCAGGGTGGGGCCTCCTCCCTGTTTAACAAAGGGGCATCTGGCACTGCTGAGGGTGCAATGCCACCATTTCAAGGGGAACTGGCTCAACCCTTCCACCCTCCTACATGCAGCCTGGTCGGATAGCAGAGGGGAACCAGCTTCCTGCAGGGATGCCTGAGGAGGGGCTGGGACGGCGCTCCACAGCCCCGGGACTTGGTCATGTGAGAGGAGAATTGGTCGGCTAGGGTGTTGGCAGGATTGGGGTTTGAAGCAGACCAGGACTGAGCTGCCAGGGCCTGGTAACCCCCAAAACGCCCCCTGTGAGGACTGCATAGCCCTGGGACAGGGATGGTTTTGGCTGGTGGCTCTGGGGCCACAATTGGGGATGAGCCAGTTGATGGGATGAGAGTGTTCTGTCCAACGGTTGTTGGGACAGGGGACACCACGTTTTTCGGGTCGTCTCCGCTGAGAGGGCCCAGGGTGAGAAGGCAGTCCAGGGGTTAGTGCAGGAGGTCTGGAGCAGGCATTTGAGCGCCAGACCGCCTGAGCTCGGACCTCCTTGCCACGCCCATGTCACAGCTGTGTGACCATGAGCGACTCGCCCAGCCTCCCCGGGCTTTGGCCATCTGCTCTGTGACGTGGGAATAGTGATAGAGCCCTCCTCCTCAGGCTGTTTGCAAGTCACAAGGGAGCCCCGCACACAAGGAGCCAGGGTGGCACCCGCACACAGAGCCCCACCAGCTCTGCCGCGCTTTGTCACAGAGCGCCTCTGCCCATGCGCACACACAGTGCCTCCCCCTCACCTTTGGAGGTGATGGAGATGGAGCACCCGGCATGCTGCCTGGTACACAACAGGTACTCAGTCAATGGGGCTCTTACTAATATTAAGGATAATCTTCACAGCAGCACTCCAGGGTAGGGTGGGCCTCCGTCGTCCCCAATGAGGCTCAGAGCCCCCGGGGGCCCAGCCACTCCGGCGGGTCAGGAGCACACGTAGGCGTGGGAAGGGCAGGCTATCCGTGAGGCCTATGGCTGCCTGAGCACCCCCAGGGACAGTGGGTGGGGGCAGTGGGGGAGCCTTTGTGGTAGAAGCCAGGTTTGGAGAGAAAGGGGTATCAGTCAGGATCAACCAGGCTATGCTGCTGTAACAACCCCCGAATCTCAAAGGCCTAAAACAGCAGAGGTCAGTGCTCGCTCTGTGTGTGTGTGTGTGTGTGTGTGTCCACAGCAGGCCGTCTCGGGGCTCCGTGTCTCCCACCCTCTGCGACTCGATTCACAGAGCAGAAGCCTCTCACAGAAGGACAAAAAGCTCCTAACCTGTGCTGTCCAACACAGCAGCCACTAGACTCGTGTGGCTGTTTAAATGCAAATGAATGAAAATTAAGCAAGATTTAAAATTAAAAACAAAAATTTAGCTGCTCATTCACACTAGCCACCTTCCCAGTGCTCAGTCGCTACGTGTGGCCTGTGGCTGCTGTGTGGGGCAGCGCGGCTGTGGGACACGTCCGTCGTCACCCCGCAGCTCAGCAGCGCGGCAGCCCGGAGCTGGCACAGGCCCTTCTCCTCCCCAGCTGCATGGGGTCGGGGGCTGCCGTCCTGCTATGTGCCTACACGGTGGGAGAATCCGAAGTACTTTAGTTCTCACCTGACGTCCGTAGGGTCTAGACACTGGGGAAATGACGTATAACGAGACCACTTTTACCCTGGGCTTGTTGATAGAAACAAGATCTAAGTTCCCACGGCATCTCCTTAACGTTATAATGAAATGATGTGTTACTCAGGGGCCTGCTGCATTTGGGAAACAGCTTACTGGCCACCAAAGTGTGGGCCCTGGGTCAGCTCAAGGGTCAGAGCACAGAAAGGGAGACCCACGTGGGAGGGTAGAGAAAGAACTTGAGAGTCAGGGAGGGGGTGGCCTGAGGGGCACTGGAGCTGGTATGTTGCCCCATGACATGCTTCCCAACCTCAGGCATTGCCCCTGCCCAGAAAAAAATGCCCTAAGGAGGGCCCTGGCTGGTGTGGCTCAGTGGGTTGAGTGCTGGCCTGCAAAGCAAGGGATTGCCGGTTCGATTCCCAGTCAGGGCATGTGCCTGGGTTGCAGGCAGGGTCCCCAGTGGGGGACGCACATGAGAGGCAACCACACGCTGATGTTTCTCTCCCTCTCTTTCTCTCTCCCTTACCCTCTCTCTAAAAATAAATAAATAAAATATTTATAGAAAATGCCTTAAGGGAGGTGGTGGCCTGGGCACTAGGTGCCTGCCGGAGGGAGGGGTGTGGGAGACAGCAGGAGGAGTTCAGGTGAGACTTACAGGTCACCTCCCTTTGGTCAGGAGCCCTGGAGAAACCCGCCGAGGCGCGGGCAGGAGCAGGCCGATGTGCGCCCTGAAGCCGCCCCTGCTCTGGGCCCGGCCGGGGTGTGGCTGGCACGACCTCTAAGGACCCTGCCCCATTGCAGAGCTGGCCCAGGAACCAGGCCTGGCCTCCCCCCCACCTTTCCTGTTCTCTGCAGCTAAATAGATCAGAAGGAAAAAGTCTGTTTGATTTTAATCTCAACGCAGGACACTGGAGATTACATTTTCCACGGAAAATGTCAGCCGTCGCCTAAAATAGGACTTTGGCGAAAATGCTAGAAAGTGTATTTTTAGGTTATATGTTTCCCTCCTGGATTCCTGCAGTCCAGTGGGCTGCTCGACACTCCCCACGGGTCAGTGGCCGGGTGCAGACCCCAGACCTTCCCAACAGGTGGTCTGGGAGAGGGCTCCCACGGGAAAAAATGATTGGTGGGTACTCAAGCCAAAAACAGGTAGACAGTGCAAGGACCTGTGTCGAGGAGGAGGAGGAGGAAGAGAGAGGCAGCCTGGAATGGGGCCTCAGAGTCTGAACCAGCTCCTGGGTGATGCCAGTGCTGCCGCCCGGTCCGTGCCTGTGGGAGCTCGAGGAGGCAGGGCTTATTCAGGCCGGGCCCCAGGAGCCGGAGCGTGCAAGCCTCCTCACTGCCTGCAATGCTGGCTGCTGTGGCCGTGTCTGAGAAGCACCTGGGTGGGGTGGGGCTCAGAGGGCTGGTTGTGCTGCAGAGGTCCTGGGGGTCCTGGAAGAGCCGATGTGTCAGAGGCAGCCCAGGCCAGTGTTTGAAACTTGAGGGGTGGAGGTGGGGGCATTGAACAGGACTGGGCAGCCACCTGAGAAAGAGCCATGCAGGACGGCTACTGCCTCGCTGTGTGACCTCAGGGGCCCTTATCCAGTTTGCCCAGTTTCCCCTCCGTGCTAAGGGGAGGGGCTGGACTGGAGGGTCTGGGAGCGCTGTCCTGGCTCTGGTCTTGTCCTCAGGTGGGCCAGGCCACACCAGGCCTTCCCCAACCAGAGTGGGGTTTGGGGGTGCCTGGTGGAGGGAGTGGGAGCCTCTGGGCGCAGACCATCCAGTGTGCGACTTCAGAGGGCTGTGGGGCGCACCCGGACCCCTACAGGTCCAGGTGGGCACAGTGGGAGGGGCTGCCTGGAGGCCCCCGAGGCCCCACTGTGTGACTTAGCTGTCTCTTGTCTCCTCTCGTGCCCGTGGCTGCTGGACCCTGCAGAGCTCCCGACGGAGGAAGGTGAGGCTTGTGCAGGGCGGGCTGCAAGACCGCTGGGCGACACCCATGGGCCATTCACTGCCGCCTTGTGTCCCCCCTCCCCGACAGAGTGAGGCCCCACTGAGGGCACCTGCCCAGGCCTCCTGAGGCCTTGGGCTCTCCCTCTTTGAATGGCAGGGAGGGAGTAGGCCCGGTGGGCTCCCCGCTGACCCAGCTCTCAGTGAAGGCAGGCCAGCCCGCCCAGGGCCAGGCCTCACCCCGTGTCCCCGTTCCCAGGCAAGTCCCTGTGGGAGCTGGTGCTGGAGCAGTTCAAGGACCTTCTGGTGCGCATCCTGCTGCTGGCCGCCCTGGTCTCCTTTGTAAGTAGGGCTCTGGTCCCAGGCATCAGGCAGCCGGTGGGAGAGGGAGCCAGGCCGGGGCAGTGCGCAGGCTCTGGATGCAGGGCTGTCCCTCGGCTGTTGGCATCCCTGGCCCCGCCCCGCTCAGATGTCAGCTTCCCTCGTGGACCCTCCTCGCAGCCCCCCATGCCCACGGGAGCCCACTCCCATCTGTCCCACCCTGGCGGTCGAAGCACCTGCCCCTGCCCCTCCCTGTTTCAGCGCTGAGTCTCTCAGCCTCGGCCCTGCTGCACGTTGGACCAGCTGGCTCTTCATCTGGGGCCGTCTTGTGCACTGCAGGGTATTTAGCAGCATCCCTGGCCTCCAGCCACTGGGTGCCAGTGGTGCCCCCAGCTGTGTCACTGCAAGTCTCCAGAGGTTGCCAGGTGCCCCCAGGAAACAAAACCACCCTGGCTGAGAGCCCGTTCTGTGACCCCCTGTGCCCCACAGAAGACTTTGGGCCCCGTGCAGCCTCCTCGGGGCTGCTGTGCCCCTTTGCTCTGGCCCATTCCCCTTGCCTGGGCCCCTCCCAGCCCAAAGGACAAGGGGCCAGCATGGGGTGGTGGGGAGGGGACCATGGTTGTCATCGGTGACTGAGCAGCAAAGAGCCTGAGGGTGGGCAGGATTCTTGCTCCCACCTGGCACCTGCAGGGCTGGGGGTCAGACCTTGTCTTGGTGACTTGCAGCGGAGGGACAGCAGGAGCCCTTGGTGGGACTGACCCTTCCCCTCCAGCCAGGTGTCCGGCCCCCTGGTCACTTGCTGTCCTGGTGGAAAATGAGGACTCTTACAGAGAAAAAGTCTGTCCTAAAATGGGCGAGCCCAAAGGGTGCTGGTACAGATGGACACACTGAGGCTGTGGGGTGGGGGTGGGGGGCAGTGACAAGGACCCAGTTAGGCCAAGAGGAGGGAACGAGACTTGAACTGGGTCTCCTGTCATCAGGCCTGGGCTCTGGCTGGAATCATGTTTCTCTGGCCATCAGACTTCAAGTGTGAGCCTGTAGCAGGGTTCCCTGGGCTTGTGGAAACACTGCTGGAGGTCTGGGGTGGCCCCTGAGAATTGGGTTTCTAATAAGTCCCCAGGTGCTGCTGCTGCAGCTGGCGGTATGGGCACCACACTTGGAAAACTGCAGCCAGGCAGACAGTGAGGCCTGCAGCTGTGTCGGCTGTGTTCCCAGCCTGAGGCCCTGGAAGTTGGCGGGTGGGACGTGGGCTGTGGTGGTCACTGGCTGCAGAGACTGCATGTCTTAAGCCAAGGCCTTCTCAGAGCAGCCCTCTCCAAGCCCAGGGCTTCCCAGGGTATCCTCCCCAAAGCAGAGGAGCAGACAGGAGACTCTAGCCCACAGCACAGCCCAAATTCACCAGCTCCCATCCCGGCAGGTCCTGGCCTGGTTTGAGGAGGGCGAGGAGACTACAACGGCCTTCGTGGAGCCCCTGGTCATCATGCTGATCCTTGTGGCCAATGCAGTCGTGGGCGTGTGGCAGGTGGGAGACAAGGGGGTGGGGCCAGGCTGCTGGGTGTGATTTCTACTTGGTCCTAGAATGCCGCAGGTCCTTCTGCTTCCAGCTCCATCGGTGTCACTCCAGGAGGGTGGCCCGCTGGGGCCAGCAGGGACAGCCCTCTGCTTGCCTTGGGTCCTGCAGGAACGCAACGCCGAGAGTGCCATCGAGGCCCTGAAGGAGTACGAGCCCGAGATGGGCAAGGTGATCCGCTCAGACCGAACCGGTGTGCAGAGGGTCCGCGCACGGGACATCGTCCCTGGAGACATCGTGGAAGTGGCGGGTGTGTTGGGGGCTTCTTTCTTTTGTCATGTGATGCTGGCAAGCATATCCCTCTCTGTACCCCCATCTTTCTGGCTGTGTATGTGATCTCTCCAAAGCTCTTTGGCCCAAACCCTGTTGGACAGGTGAGACCACGTGCCAGGGGACGGGGACAGGGTCCACCTGAGGGATCACAGCCCAGGGCCCCGCCTCCCAGCCCCAGCCTCGGTTCCTTTGGGCTTTCCCAGAGGGCGGTGCTCAGAGCCACACTCAGCCAGGCCGTCCTTTCTCCGCAGTGGGAGACAAAGTGCCCGCCGACCTCCGCCTCATTGAGATCAAGTCCACCACACTGAGAGTGGACCAGTCCATCCTGACAGGTGAGGCCCAGAGCTGCGCCAGGTGGGGGCTGGGTCAGGGCATGGGGGTGTCCTCACATGGGCTTCTTATTTCTGAATCCACGACCAGGCGAATCGGTGTCCGTGACCAAGCACACAGACGCCATCCCAGACCCCAGAGCTGTGAACCAGGACAAGAAGAACATGCTGTTTTCTGTAAGTCCTTGGGCCTTGGCCTGGACAATGGTAATAAAAAGAAAAACACAGATGAGTCGGTTAAAGCCCTGCAGGGAAGGACCTCGTCAATTATCGACAATACATACAAACTTGAGTAAAATGATAGCTTGTGTTTAGGAAAGGCTGTGCCTGTCCTGACTGATTCAATCCTCACAACGCCTTTGAAATAAGTGCTCTTGTTAACTACATTTTCCAGCAAGGAAACAGGCACAGAGACGTTACGTAAGTGGCCCAAGGTCACACAGCCACTGAGTGGCAGAGCTGGGATGTGCATTTAGACATTCTGACTCCAGAGCTTTTCCTCTCACCTGCTTATCCTACCTTAATCCGGAGAGGGGTGGAGGTTCCCTGTAGTCACTGAATGGAGAATCCTCTAGAGGGAAGAGGGTTGCCAAAGTGGTGAAGGGTGGCAGGAATAGTCCATTTCTCCAATGGGAAAACCACCCCAAGTTACTCTTCCAGGCTCCCCTGGCTGTTTTCAGGGAGAGTGATGGGAACAGCCCAGTGGGAGTGCCCCAGGGCCTCAGAGGGGCTTAACTAGGGATGCTCACAGGCGTCCGGGAAGCAGCCTGAAGCCGAGCATGGAAGCCACGCACAGGATGGCTCAGGTCCTTGGCAGTGGCCCAGGGCACTGAGTTGTAACAGGCTGGAGAGCCTCCCCAGAAATGAAAGGAATGGAGAAAACGGTATTCACCCAGAGCTCCTCCTGAGGACAGCGCCCTGCCTAGACACAGGGAGGCCTTGGGGAGGGCAGGAAGGGGGCTCTAGGGGGCATGTTCAGGAATCAGCAACTGTCACTAGGGAGCTTTTTAAGGAGGAGGCTCTGGCTAACTGCAGGCCGTCTCAGTAGCTGAGGGGCAGGAGCTGCACCATCAGGGGCGGAAGAGAAGCCGAGGCTGCCGCCAGCACCCACTCCCTCCCCCACCTCAGCACAGTGCGCCCTTCCGAGGGGGCACTGAGTAATTAGCCTCCGAGGAGCAGCTGTGTCTCGGGCCTCTGTTGGACCGTTTTTCAGAAGAGGACAGGGAGGCTCAAGGCTGGTCGGCCCTCACACGGGCCCTTAAATCCTGGCTGCCTGGGACTTTACTGGGACCTTGGGAGTGGATGGACTTAAGGTCAAGTTTCCTGGATTCTTCAGTAAATATTTACGGGTGGTTTACAGTGACTTGGGATTGCAGTCAGCCACATTCCTGCATGGCTGCTTTGTTTATAGAGCGTGTTTTGCTGGGTTGGTGCTACGCTGTGCTGGTTGGTGATACTGTCAATACTGGCCTGGTGCTGGGCCCTGGGGACGTGGTGCTGGCCCAGGTCCCTGCCTTCACAGAGCTGGTTCTGTCATGGGGATGAGAGCAATAGCTCAGAGTCCAGGAGCACTAAGTGACACGGAGGAAAAGAGAACCAGGCAGGGGGACAAGAGCCCTACCCCGGCCTGAAGGAGCCAGGGGTGCGGGCCTTTGCCCAGGTGGTAACAGCCCTTCCCCTCGGCCAGGGCACCAACATTGCGTCGGGCAAGGCAGTGGGTGTGGCGGTGGCCACAGGCCTGCACACGGAGCTGGGCAAGATCCGGAGCCAGATGGCGGCTGTGGAGCCAGAGCGGACGCCGCTGCAGCAGAAACTGGATGAGTTTGGGCGGCAGCTGTCCCGCGCCATCTCTGTGGTCTGCGTGGCCGTGTGGGTCATCAACATCGGTCACTTCGCCGACCCCGCACACGGCGGCTCCTGGCTCCGAGGTGCAGTGTACTACTTCAAGATCGCCGTGGCGCTGGCTGTGGCCGCCATCCCCGAGGGCCTCCCCGCGGTCATCACTACATGCCTGGCGCTGGGCACGCGGCGCATGGCGCGCAAGAACGCCATCGTGCGCAGCCTGCCCTCCGTGGAGACCCTGGGCTGCACCTCGGTCATCTGCTCCGACAAGACAGGCACACTCACCACCAATCAGATGTCTGTCTGCCGGGTGAGTGCCTGCAGCGGGTGGCTGGGGTCCCACAGCGTTGCCATGTGATGCCCAGCAGGCTGGGCTCCCTCCTCTGGGTCTCGCCCTGACTCCTTGGCTGAGGAGGGAGGAGGGAACCTGTAGACTGCCCTGTGCTGGGGAACAGATTCCAGTGTTCGTGGGGCAGAGCAGCAAAGCCTGGTTGGACATGTGTCACTAAGACTCGCGGGTCACTGGAGGGTCCTGGCAGCCATTGCCCATCTGTGAACCTCAGTTTCCTCATCTGAAGTTTGGATGTGTAAGCCCTGCCAGGTAACCTTAAAGGATACAGGAGAGGGTTCAAGTACAGCTTTGAGGCATCTGAGCCAGTTGGGCCTGGACCCAGGTTTTGTCCTGCTCTACCATGACTCTCTGGTCAATGCCTGTCATCAGATATGCCAGCTCCAGTGACCTAGGAGGAGCCAGGGCAGGAATTATTTATTCCCTGTACTGGATCCCAGATCCTGGGCCCGCTGCCCACATGCTTCAGGAATTCTGGCTGAGACTCCAAAAGGCCCCAGGGCAGAGGGGCGGGCAGGGTATTGGTGAAGGTTGTGTATTTCCCACTCATTGAGATTCACCACCTCGATCCTGTTCCACCCCCGCTCCCACAATCTGCCCACTGGGCCTTGGAAACCCAGGCTCTGTATCTGAGCCCACCGAAGCCCATCAGAGGCTGCCACAGGGGAGGGGGCACCGGCAGCTTGACGGCTCTGCAGCCCCCGACCTGCTAAAATCCCTAGTAGGGCTTCGTCTGAGCAGAGTGGCTCTTGACTGGAATAAAGACTGGGAAAGCACAGTATAGGGAAGTCATAGAAGTCTTACATGCTGGATAATGGGCTAAGACACCTGACTTCTCGGCCTGTGCAGCTGGAGGGCTGGCCCCCGAAGCAGGGAGGAGAGTGTGAAGGAAGGGACATTTATCGAGCACCTGCAGGATGCTGGAATCGCCAGTGGTTTGGGAATGTGCAGAGAGGCAGTTGCCAGGAAGTAAGAACTGTCTCCCTGGCAGAGCTGGCTGACAGGCAGGAAATGGGCTGCCCTGGGAGGGGAGGACCTCCACCTGTGTGATGCACAGGTGGGGGCTGGGTGATCCAGCAGGCCCTGCAGACCAGAGCTCACTGTTGGCAAACACCTTTGGGCATGAGGGGTCTGCGCCCCAGAATAGGGTGTGATTTCCTCCCTTGGAGGCCAGGAACTCATCCCCTGGAAGGGAAAGGAGGGGCAGCTGGATGCAGATCCCACTTTCTCCCCGAGTTACCAGTGGAGAAACAGGCTCAGGTGCTCAGCCAAGGGTCACCCTGCAAGATAGGCAAGGACCCAGGCTTTCCGCCGCAGCTCAGGACCCTATCAAGCTCAAAGCTGTCCCTGGAATGTTGAAGAGTCTGCTATAGACCCCTCAGGGGTCTAGAGCAAACAGACAAGTCCGAACTGGACAGGCCTGGGCAGAGCAGAGCGGGCCTGCCTCAGCCTCGACTCTGTACTCTTACACTGCACCTTCGTGACCCCCTGAGAAGGAAGGCCAGTGGCTCCAATGAGGCCCACAGGACCCCAGCCTGGGGTCCGGCTTTATTCAGACTTGCTGTCCAGGGAAGAGGGAGGTGAGGGTCCCCCTCAGCATGCCCCTGTGCTCCCCATCCCCAGATGTTCGTGGTAGCTGAGGCAGAAGCTGGTGCCTGCCGTTTGCATGAGTTCACCATCTCTGGCACCACCTACACCCCAGAGGGCCAAGTGTGAGTAGGGGACTGGGTGAGGGGTGCCGGTGGGCGGGGTTTCTTGGTGGGCAGGGCTTCTTGGTGGGCAGGGCTACCTAGGATGGCTCTGAGAGTTGTCAATTGACCAGGGCTCCTGGGGGCGGGGCCATAAGGCTGGGTACATCCCAGGGGCAAGGCCAAGGCCCCTGTACTGACCGCCTGGCTCTTCAGGCTGCAGGGAGAGCAGCCGGTGCGCTGTGGGCAGTTTGATGGGCTGGTGGAGCTGGCGACCATCTGTGCCCTGTGCAACGACTCCACGCTGGACTACAACGAGGTGGGCCCCTTTATGATCTCCTAGTATCCAAGCTCCCAGGGCAGACCCTCCTCCCAGTCTCAAAGCTCCCAGGGTGGGTGGTACCTGCCCTTTCCGAGTGACACACCCCAGGAGCACTACCACCCCTCCCCCCTCCCCCCACTGCAACCCTTTCCCCCATTTCCACCCTCCCGCTTTCTCGACTGAATTTGGAACCCTGCCCTGGGGCTCTTGGACTGTGGGGGATTGAAATGTAAGGGGCTGAAGGGCCAGGGGTGCCTCGGGGGGCCAGACTAGGGAGAATGCTCACAGCCCAGAGCAGGCCAACAGCCGTTACCAGCCTGGTGTGATTTAGGTGGGGAATGCCCTTCCCTGTGGCGGGAGCAATGGAGTGGGGCATGCAGGAGGATGCTCCTGTCTGAGGGGAAGGACGTAGCCACACCAGGTCAGGCCCAGTGCCCAGCCGAGGCCGGCAGATAGCCACTGAAGGGTTTTAAGCAAGGGAGTGACATGGTCAGATTTACACTGACAAGTATCACCTGGGCTCCTGTGTGGAGAATGGAACGGACAGGCCGAGACAGGAGCCAGGGAGCTGTATGTGGTCACCCAGGCCAGAGGTGCTGGCTGGGGCCTCAGGAAGGCGGGAGAAGGCATGGGTTGGAGAGAGACTTAAGGAGCCAAAATTCTGAGGCTCGGTAACTGGTCAGATGAAAAGGAGGGTGGAAAGCAGGGTAGCCTCTGGTTGCTCTGCTGGCTGGGTCTGTCACTAAAGCGGCAAATATAAGGAGAGGAAGGTGGCCTGCAGGTTCCCAGAGAGCAAAGTCCCACAGGCAGCAATCGGACAGGTGGGCTGGGAGCTCAGGAGAGAGGGCCCTGCCGGCTGGGCACTGGCAGTCGTGAGCACGTGAAAGGTGGTGGAGGCAGGGGGCACTTGAGACCTCAGGGAGAGAAGGTGGGAGGGAAGGAGCAGAATCCAGACAGCAGGGTGTAGAGCGAGGAAGGAATCTGGGGACGGGGGCTGAGAAGTAGCAAAGGGCAAGGCAGAAGGCAGGGAGGGTGCGTGGTCGTTGGTGTCCAGGGGAGGGAGGGGGGAATGGAAGGGGCGCATCAGTGCCAGACACCACCCAGACCTCAGGTTGGCTGCGCTGGGAAGGGCCCACAGGGCTGGTGCAAAAGGGGTTGCAGGTAACTGGCAGAGGGAGCTCCAGAGGTCAGGAAGTGGGTGGGAGGTGAGGCTGGGGACCCCTCTGGGAGCCACCCTGCCCCTCACTCCCTGTACCCTGGGCCCCACCAGGCCAAGGGTGTGTATGAGAAGGTGGGAGAGGCCACGGAGACTGCCCTGATTTGCCTGGTGGAGAAGATGAACGTGTTCGACACCAACCTGCAGACCCTGTCCCGGGTGGAGCGAGCTGGCGCCTGCAACGCAGTGAGCAGGGCGGGGGGCTTAAGCCCAGGTCACATGGCTGGGCTTTCAGGGGCACCTGGAGAAGGGAGAGAGGAGAACGAAGTCTTGGGAGGCTTCTGGGAGAAGGAAGGACCTCAGACCCTGGTGGTGCTTGGCTAGGAGGAAAAGAGGAAAAGACTGAGTGCAGTCAAAGACTTGGAGTTGGGACGTGCACAGTGTGGTCGGGAATTAGCAACTTTTGGGCATCTCTGAGGCTACAGAGGGAGATGGAGGCCTCAAAGCCAGGGTTAGAGGAAGAGAGACACCATCCCACAGGGAGCAAGAGGCTATTTATGGGGCTGAGCGGCTGGGGAGAAAGCAGTGAGAGTCCCTGGCTCTGCCCTGACCCACTGGGCCCCGCAGGTCATCAACCAGCTGATGCGGAAGGAGTTCACCCTGGAGTTCTCCCGAGACCGGAAGTCGATGTCAGTGTACTGCACGCCGACCCGCCCGGGCCTGGCTGCCCAGGGCAGCAAGATGTTTGTGAAGGTGGGGCCTGCCTGACTGACCTGGGGCCTCTGCACAGCTGGGGTCTCTGGGGTCCCCAGGGTCCCTGGTCCCCAGCCCTCAGAAGAGCCAGAGACTGCAGCTGTGGGGGACTAAGGCCCACTGTGAAAGCAACAAGCCCAGAACAAGGGAGGTCAGCCTGCCCCAGGGACCAGGAGCAGGGTCCAGACTTGGCGGAGGTGAAGCTGGGGACAGGAGCTGAGGCCTGCCCCTTGCCATCGTTCCGGCTCTGGGCTGAGAGGCCCTGCCTCGCCGCATGATCTCGGGGTCACCCATGCTCCTCTGTGGGTCTCGGTCTCCCATCTGAAGAGCAGGGGTAGGCTGAAAGGTGTCAAAAGTCCTTTGCCTCCGGCTGTGGGTGCTGAGGTGGTTGTTGCCATCTTCATTGCTTTGTGTTCCTTCCCAGAGAGGGAAGGGACCAGCCCCACAGCACCCCCTGTTGCTGCTTTGGAGCAACAACAGACCTCTGCCCACAGCACCCCCTGTTGCTGCTTGGAGTAGGAATCATGGCCCTCACTCCACCCTGCAGTGGATTGAGAGGCTCCTGTATGAGGAGCTTAGGCTGCTTTGAAAACTCATCAGTGCCTTCTGGGGAGAGAGAGCAGGCACTGATGGAATGTGCAAAGACTATGCCCAGGCATGGGGTGAAGGCTGGGGTGATACTTCAAGGTCCCTGAGAAGCCTGCCACCCCCAAGATCACCTTCCCAGAGCCACACCCACCTCACCCTGAGCCTGGCTCTGTGGTGCCCAGACAGGGCCCAGCCTGCCCCCTGCTGCTGAGGCTTGTACAGAACTGGGTTCCTGGTAGCACCAGGCTGGCAGGCAGGCAGGACCTGCGGAAGGGCTGCCACCTCCACTCCCACCCCTAAAATGCTGCAGCAATCTTCTCAGTGCAGGCTCAGTGCAGGCTGGTGGGGGGAGGGTGCCACCCCTTGGCTAACCATAACCTGCCTCCGCATTCCCTTTGGGTTTTCTCACAGTGAGACCCACTTGGTTACCACTCCGAGCTTTCAAACAATGGATCTGGTCCATGCCTTGGTGTGTGTCCCCTTGGGTGGCCTTTCCCCATATCTGGGCCTGTTTCCTCAACTGGACAGGAGGTAGAGGAGAAGTCCTGACTGACAGAGTTGGCCCCCGCCCCCATGCTGCAGGGAGCTCCTGAGAGTGTGATCGAACGCTGTAGCTCAGTCCGAGTGGGGAGCCGCACAGTGTCCCTGAACGCCACCTCCAGGGAGCAGATCCTAGCCAAGATCCGAGACTGGGGCTCAGGCTCGGACACGCTGCGCTGCCTGGCACTGGCCACCCGGGATACGCCCCCAAGGAAGGAAGACATGCAGCTGGATGACTGCAGCAAGTTTGTACAGTACGAGGTGGGTGCCAGGCGGGGCCCCAAGGCTGGGAGCACGGGTCCCCTGCAGCTGCTGGGGAGGCAGCGAGTTGAGGAGGCCTCGAGCCCTACTTGCACCTGCCCCTCCCTGCAGACCAACCTGACTTTCGTGGGCTGCGTGGGCATGCTGGACCCTCCGAGGCCTGAGGTGGCTGCCTGCATTGCGCGCTGCCGCCAGGCAGGCATCCGTGTAGTCATGATCACGGGGGACAACAAAGGCACGGCTGTGGCTATCTGCCGTCGGCTGGGCATCTTCAAGGACACGGAGGACGTGACGGGCATGGCCTACACAGGCCGAGAATTCGATGACCTCAGCCCCGAGCAGCAGCGCCACGCCTGTCGCACGGCCCGCTGCTTTGCTCGTGTGGAACCCGCGCACAAGTCCCGCATCGTGGAGAACCTGCAGTCCTTCAACGAGATCACCGCCATGGTGAGGCCTCGAGGTGGGAGCCCGGGGGCTGTGGGGAGGCGCCGGGAGCACTTGCCACGGGCTTGGAAAGGGCTGCCTGTGGGCACCTGCCTCTCTTCGTCTTTATGTTTCCAACATTTTGTTACAAAACCTCTCAAACACAAAGAGAGAAATTGAAATAATTGTATAGTGAGTGCCTATATACCCACCATCTAGATTCTACAAATAACATTTTGTCATGAATCCTCCATCATATTCCTATTTGTCTGTCCATCCTGAATTCGTCTTTTCTCAAATACATTTTGAAGTTGTAGACATCAGGACACTCCTCCTCGAGTACTTTAGAATGCAGACTGTACAGAGCAGTGTTTGCGGTTCTGTTTTTCTCTTTTTTGAGGTAAAGTTTACATGCAATGAAAGGCACACATTTTTAGCATGCCATTCATTTGAAGACTTCTGACCAACGACATCCCTGTGTCACTCAAACCCTTATCAGGGTCAGGAGCAGTCCCATCAGCCGAGAATCTCCCTCATGCTCCTGCCCCTCAGGCCCTCTCCACAGGGTAGCTGCTGTTCTGATTTTTTCCACCAAAAGTAGTTTGCCTGTCCTAGATTATCAGTGAATGGAATCATACAGTATGCACTCTTTGGTGCCTGGTTTCTTTCTGAGAGTTATCGGTGCTGCTCCAGGTACCAGTAGGTGATGGCTTTTTAAATTGTTGGGCAGTGTGCTATTGTGTGAGTATGCCACGGTGCACTCAGTCACCTGAGGATGGACGTTTGGTTTGGGTCGTTTTTGTTCCGTCTCATTCCTTTTTTTTTTTTTTAAGTTTTTTTTAGTCTTATTATTTTTATTTTTTTTAATTATTTTATTGTTGTTTATTTACATCTCATTCTTTTTTATTAAAGATTTTATTTTATTTTATTTTTAGAGAGGGAAGGGAGGGAGAAAGAGAGAGAGAAACATCAATGTGCGGTTGCTGGGGGCCGTGGCCTGCAACCCAGGCATGTGCCCTTAATGGGAATCGAACCTGCGACACTTTGGTTCTCAGCCCGAGCTCAATTCACTGAGCTATGCCAGCCAGGGCTCATTTACATCTCATTCTTAATTGCTGATCTATTCGTCAACACTGATCTCACTTTTTCTAGACCTCACGCGTGACCTGGCCTCTGTTACTAATTTTAACCTTCAGTCTAACCTAGTCCTTTACCTTGTTTTTTAATTTTTTTTTTAAGATTCTGTCTATTTTTAGACAGAGGGGAAGAAAGGGGAAAAAGAGGAGAGAAACATCAATGTGTGGTTGCCTCTCTCACGCCCCCTACTGGGGACATGACCCACAACCCAGGCATGTGCCCTGACTGGGAATCGAACTGGTGACCCTTTAGTTTGCAGGCTGGTGCCCAGTCCACTGAGCCACACCAGCCAGGGCTACCTGCACTTTAATCCTAACCTCTGGCTCAGCCTGAACCTGGATAATGAACCGGGTACCAACCTTGACACCTTGTTCTTGATCTTATGTTTGACCTTCTCAAAGAAGGTCCTTGACCTTGACCTTGATCATCTTGATATGATTCTTTACTTTTAGCTCAACCTTGATATGGATTTTAGTTTTGATTTGGACCATTACCTGATCCCTGACATTGGCCTTCATTCCCCCAACCTAACACTTTATGTTGACCTCAACCTCGAATCTGGCTTCTAATCATGACTGGGACTGCACCCCAACTTTGCCCATGACATCACTCCTTATATTGACCAGAGCCTTGATTTGGCCTGTGACTTTGACTTGACATCTACCTTAATCTAATTTTTACTTGTGAACCTGAGTCTAGTCTTTTTTTTTTTAAGATTCTATTTATTTATTTTTAGAGAGAGAGGAAGGGAGGGAGAAAGAGATCAATGTGTGGTTGCCTCTCGCACGCCCCATACTGGGGACCTGGCCCTCAACCCAGGCATGTGCCCTGACGGGGAATCGAACTGACAACTCTTTGGTTTTCAGGCCAGTATTCAATCCACAGAGCCATACCAGCCAGGGTCCAAGTCTAGTCTTGACCCTGACCTTCACCTTGGCTCCAAGTTTGCCTTGAGTGCAATACTTACCTAGTCCTTGACCTAGGCCACAACCTTGATCTTATTCCTGACTTGACCTTAACTTTGTACTTTACATGAATTTTATGTTAACTCTACATCCAAACTAAATTCTATCCCACCCTCATTGTTTACCCACCCTCGTGCCCGTTCCCACCTCTGCATCTTCTCTGATCTGCTCCCCAACTTTGTCCTTGCCTACACCCCTTGCCTTCCCTTTAGCCTCATCCCCAACCCAGTTTCTAAGCTCTTGACCTCACCATTTGTTCTGTCCAGCTGTCTGCTTCCTTTGGCACATCCCCAAGCTTGGTGATAGGCTGGGTTGAGGGGTACTGGGGAGGTTGAAGGGAGCTTTCTGAGGTGTGAACCCACCTAACCTGGCCTGCAGACTGGAGATGGGGTGAATGATGCCCCAGCCCTAAAGAAAGCCGAGATTGGTATCGCCATGGGCTCCGGCACAGCTGTGGCCAAGTCGGCAGCGGAGATGGTACTGTCAGATGACAACTTCGCCTCCATTGTGGCTGCGGTGGAAGAAGGCCGAGCCATCTACAGTAACATGAAGCAATTCATCCGCTACCTCATCTCCTCGAATGTCGGCGAGGTCGTCTGGTGAGGCCCTGCGTCCCTCCCCACACAGCCCTCTGGACCAGTTCTGCATCTCTGAGAGCAAGGAAATGCCTGTTCCTGGGGTGGGGCTGCGGGGATGGAGGGACATGTGACTTGCCCTGGCTGGGGCCTTACAGAGCCTCACCTCTGGTGGGCCAGGACAGGCGTGCCTTGTTTCTCGAGGGCCTGGTGAACGTCAGTCCCCAAGGAGATGCCTGAAAAGCCCTTTGTCATCCCTCCAGCCCTAACTTCCCACTTTCAGAGTCACACATGGTGGGAGAACTAACCCCACTTTTGGGTGGGTAGTATGTGTGTGTGTGTCTGTGTGGTATGCACACAACTGTATGTGTACATGCTGTGTGTACCCAAGTGAGGGGTGTGTGTGTGTGAGTGTGTGTTCTGTTGCATCCTTGGGCTTGAGTACAAACACAGGGGATTCGTGCAGGTGTGTAATTGTATACACACTTAGGTTCACATGTAAGAGATGGCTGTGGGGGATGGTGAGCATGTGTTTGCCTGGACACGTGTGAATTCTGCATCTCTGTACATTGGGGCAAGTGTACAGGTGCCGGCCTGTGTTTGTGGGATTGTGTGGCCTGTGCAAGGTTTTTGCTCGTGTCTATGGACAAGTATGTATGTGCTTGGGCATGCACCACCCACAAACCCTAGATAGGACTGTGCCCTAGAGAGGACTGTGTCCTAAACAGGAGAGGCCTAGGGAGCAGGTACATCCAGGCTCCAGAGCTGAGGCTGGGGAGGCAGGGGTGGCCCAGGGTGAGGCAGAGCTGCGCACACAGCCCTCCAGCTCGTGCACACACATCAGAACCAGCAGAGTAAGGCAGGGCTGCTGAGCAGAGCAGGAGCTGGACCCTCCATTTGCGGGGGCTGGAGCCTATGACTCTGGTTCCAGCATCTTCCTCACGGCAATTCTGGGCCTGCCCGAAGCCCTGATCCCTGTGCAGCTGCTTTGGGTCAACCTGGTGACAGATGGCCTGCCTGCCACAGCACTGGGCTTCAACCCACCGGACCTGGACATCATGGAGAAGCTGCCCCGCAACCCTCGTGAGGCCCTCATTAGTGGTTGGCTCTTCTTTCGCTATCTGGCTATTGGAGGTAAGCTGGGGGTGGGCAGGGCAGCTGGGCAACCCTCAGTGGAGTTTCCTAAGACCCTGTATCAGTTAGGCTTGCAAACTGCGGAGAGTATGATTCAGTTTGGCTTATGCCAAAAGAAATGGTGTGGGCTTATCAACTGAGAAGACTGGAGCATGCCTCAGGCATGGCTGGATCTGGGCCTCAGACTGCAGCACTGGCATATTTTGGCTCTGCCTCAGCTCCATGCTCAGGCAGGTGCCTCCTGTGGTGGCAGAATGGCTGTTGCAGCTCCAGTCCTCCTGCTCACTCCATTGTAGCCCCAAATTCAGCAGAAGAAAGGGCCTATTATCATACCAGTCCCTCATCGTGTGATGAAAGTGGCAGGCCTGTTCTCATTGGCCCACATTGGGTTACCTGCTTATCTCTTAGCCAGTCACTGTGGCCAGAATGTGATATGCTAATTGCCAGTCAGGGCCCACCACTGGCACATATGGCCTAGAGAGGAAGAGGGTGGTTTCCCTACAGAAACTCAGGGAACTGTTAGGCAAGGGAAGTGGATGCCAGAGAACCACAGCTGCCCATGGTAGCTGGTTTCCTCCTGCCCTCCCTGCAGTGTATGTGGGCCTGGCCACGGTGGCTGCTGCCACCTGGTGGTTCCTGTATGATGCCGAGGGACCGCGCATCACCTTCTACCAGCTGGTAAGCATGGACTGCCCAGGGAACCCGGTGGGGTTGTTTCTGAGGTATAACTCAGCCGACTTGGCATATCAGGGGAAAGGGTCCAGAGCCCCATGGTTGGCCCACGGCTATCCCTCCCCACCCCCATTCACACCTACAGATATTCACCCCCTGAGGGAGCCAAGCTCAGAAGCCACAGGACACCTAGAGAGAGCTGCCCAACCCCCAAGCCAGACAAGAGGCTATATCCTCTCCCAGTCATTTTGTTAGCGGGGACCAAGGGGCATAACTGCCCACAAGTGTTTTACCTTTATCAAGGAACCTCCCAAACATTGAACCCCTACATGCTGGAACTTTAGGTAGAGGGTCACATGGAGGAAGCCAGGGATCTGCCAGGCTTCTTCTAGCCACCGTGACCAGCATGCTCCTCAGGGAAGGGCCTCACTGACCTCTTGAAGTCACCTGGCTGACAGGTGCCTCCACGGGGCTGTCTTAGTGCAGCACCACTCTGGAAGCAAGCAAGGAGACCCCTCAGCCACGGTCTGTCCATCCATCCCTCTACCTGAGCAGCTGGTGTATCTCCTTGGCTTACAAGAGCCTCTCTGGCGGTTCCAGCAAAGCCAGGCGTGGGTTTTTCTTGTTTCAAGCCAGCAGCTGCAGGGACACAGAGTGTTCTTCTTCAGAGAGCGTCGGCCGTTGCCCCTTTCTCACAGACAGGAGGACTCGAGGGAAGGGCCCTGACTCCCCACCCCGTCCCTGGGAGTGTCAGGGGACCATCTGAGGGTGGCAGAACGAGGGCTGGGTTGCCATCCTTGGCTGCCTCCCTGGGGGCTTGTGAGCTTGGGGATCTGCAGGACTCACATTTGGGTTCAGGCCATCTGGGGATGCTTTCTTGGCCCCCACCAGCCCTCAAGCACGTGGGGCTCTCCCTCCTGGCAGCAGTGCAGAGCACGGGCCCAGCTGTCACCCCAGAGGTTGGTGCCCTCGGTGCCTGGCAGCTGCACAGGCCAGCCTCAGGCACCTCTGCTAATCTCACGCCAGTGGGAGCAGCAGCGTGGAGATGGGGCCCTGCCGACCGTCCCACGCTGCCTTCTTCTAGCCCCATCTTTATTCCTCATCCTTCATCCTGCAGATCCTGACTCTCCGAGCACCCACCCTACCGCCCACCTTCTGACCCCAGCCCATGTGTCCAGCTGGCTCTCCTCTGGAACACCCCACAGATCTGTACCCTCACCAAGTCCCAAATCCAGTTGGCTACCTTTCTCCCAGATACTCTCTCCTCCAACCCATCCCAGGTTCACTGCCTGCCCATCACCCAAGCCACACATCTGGGTATCATGTCAGGCACACACCACCAATCCATCCCCAGTCCCCTTGGTGCCAACAGTCCCCAACAGCTCTCAGGTCACCCTGTCTCTCATCCCGTCGGTCAGGCAATAGCTGTCAGGCACAGATGGCGTGCCGGGCACCGATTACTGGGGCCATGGCCACCACTCAGCAGGCAGGGTCTCTGCGAAGGGCTGCAGTCTGGTGGGGGAGAGCCCTGCATGTGGGCAGTCACATTTCAAGGTAAGGCAGGCATCAGCAGGGAAAGGTCAAGGGTTAGACCTAGGAGAGAACTTTCCACTCTAGTTGGCATTTTGGGAAAGGAGCCCAGAGCCCCACGGTTCCTGGAATAAGCTGCCAAAAGGCAGCATAGCGGTTCAGAGGATGGAGCCTGGGCCCAGCGCAGGCTCACACACTAGTCCTCCACTGACTAGCTGTGTGACTTTGGACAGGCTACTTAGCCTCTGTGTGAGTTCCTCCTCCGTAAAACGGGCACTAGTCCCTACCTCATACAGCTGTCGGAAGGATGAATGAGGCAATACTTGTAAAGTGTGTAGACCAAAACGGCAGAGAGCAAGAGCTATGGAAGTGTCGATTAAGTTCTTGCACCCGGAAGGGCCTTGCAGGCTAAGGTGATAGCCAGGGAGGCAAAGGGAAGGAGGAGGCAGAGCAGTGGCTTCACCCAAACAAACTGGCCCCACTTCCACAGAGGGTCCCAGTGACCCCCTGAGACAGGCTTCCAGCCCTGGGCACCTTCTAATAAACAGTTCGGGAGGCCTCACTGTGACCCATGGCCCGGGAATGATACGTGTGTGGCAGGTGCTCACGGGTGCAGCCCAGAAGGTCTGAACCAGGCAGGGTATTTACAGAGGAGCAACAGATCTGTTGAAACACCTTGCTGTGATCCCGCTCCAATCTCCTCCCTGCGCACACGCCCAAGCGGGAAGTGTGCCCCTCTGGGCAGGGGCGTGTGGGCGTGGCCGGTCCAGTCCGGGAGGCGGGGCCCAGCTGGCCCGAACAGTTGGTCCCATTGGCCACTGGGTGGGTTCGAAGTTTACGATCAGCACCAAATAAAAACACGCTCTTGTCCCAAATCCTGGAGCCCGATTTTTGGAGAAAACCCCACTGTTGGTTTAAGTAAGACTCTCCATCTTTTTGTTAAAATAAATCCAGCCAAGCCAGAGTCTTCTATAATTTCTTATCCGGCACGAAAGAGAAGAGGAGAGGGCCAGCCGCCCTTCCTGGCGGACGGCGTCGCCCCACCCGCAGTTCGGCAGCGTGGGAGCGCGGAGTCAGACAGCCAGTCATTCCACAGGTTTCTCCTCGAGGCTCATTTTCACAGCACATGGCCCCAGTTTCTAAACCCTTAGCGCTAAAGATCCCTGAGTTCAAATGAGACTCCAGAGGACAAATTTAGGTTACGGGACGACGGCGCCGCTGAACCGCCAGGCCTGTTCACACTGGTCCGGTGATGCGGCAGAGAACCAGCCACGTTCCCACGCCGGGCCTCGGTTCAGCATCTTATCACAGCGGGTTCTGTGAGCGAGGTTTTCGGGCGGGAGGAAAGCTCCCCCGGGGCCGCAGGGCGAGAACCACTTCCTTACTGGCGACCCTGAGAACTCGTAGCTGATTATGAGGAAGCTGTGCAGTAAGACTGTGCCTGGCAATTCATGAGTTCCTGTCAGAAGCAAAAGGCAGGCCTGGCGGAGGCCAGTTTCAGTGGCACCGATGGAGGGAGGTGTGAATGGAATCTAATAGTGCCGAGTAGGCCACGTGTAGCTCTTGTCTGCTGCTCACCAAAGGCGAATTCTATTCAAGTTTAATTTCACTGATTGGTGTTCCCAGGTGTTTACTTATTCAGTGTTCTCAGTTAAACACCACCCCCCCCCTGCCCACTCTTGCATCTCCGATACTCAGGGGCCCTGTGCACCTTCAGGGTAAAGCATGGACCGTCCCCCTGACCCCAGAGCCCCCTGCCCTCCTCCCCAGCCTAATGCCAGCTGCTCTCTCCCACTGTTCCCTGCTCCAGAACGGTCTGCCTTTCTCCCTGGCACAGTGTTGGCCACCTTCCCCCATCCTGGGTGAGCACCCTTCCCTCTACCCACCCCAGGCAGCACTTTGCTCCCTGGTTCTATTGAGTCCTCAGCTGTGGGCTAAGGGTGGACTGAGGCTTCCTTCTTCCCACACACCAGCACCTCCCCGACTGCTGTTCTCCCTGACCCCACCTGACCCCGCCCCGACCCCCCCTGACCCCACCACCCTACCCACAGAGGAACTTCCTGAAGTGCTCTGAGGACAACCCGCTCTTTGCTGGCATTGACTGCGAGGTTTTTGAGTCGCGCTTCCCCACGACCATGGCCTTGTCTGTGCTGGTGACCATTGAAATGTGCAACGCCCTCAACAGGTGAGCTGGGCAGAGGGGCCTGGAGCTGAGGGTGAGGGCGTGGGGGCTGAGGCTTAAGAGTAGGGGGCTGTGGGTCAGGTGGAACCCAGAATTGGGGTCAGAGGTGTCCGGTATCACAGTATGAGAACTAGGAGGTCACAGATTGGAGTCTGAGGGTCAGAGATATCCAGGATTGGGGTCTGAGGGTCAGAGGTGCCCAGGATTGGGGTCTGAGGGTCAGAGGTGCCCAGGATTGGGGTCAGAGGGGTCTGGAAGAGAGTTCTAAGAGTCAGAGGGCCAGAATTGGGATCCAGGGGACAAAGGAGACCAAGATTTGGGCCTGAAGAAGTGGAGAGGCCAGGATTGGATTTGTGGGACAGAGAAAGGGGGTCCAGGCCTCTGGAGACTGATCGGGCAGCAGTGACACACCCCTCCCGCTTCACTGACTTCTCAGAAGTGCTCCATTCCTTGGGCCCAATTAGGGACATGCTGAGGTTCTGCACTCCCACACAGGGGGCGGATGGGTGCTCACAGCGGGGCTGCCCACATCCTGGCCCAAGGTGAGCGCCCTGTGCCCTTGGCAGTGTCTCAGAGAACCAGTCGCTGTTGCGGATGCCGCCCTGGCTGAACCCTTGGCTGCTGGCAGCTGTGACCATGTCCATGGCCTTGCATTTCCTCATCCTGCTCGTGCCGCCCCTGCCCGTGAGTCGGGGCCCCGCCTCACTCCCCTTCCCCAGCTCCTGGGGGAACAGAGTCCAAGTCCTCTGATATACAGCCCAGGGCTGGAGGCTGGACCTCTGTGGGCCCCTTTGCCATGGGAACCCCTAGAGGACTGGAAAGGGGGAGGTCTGAAATGTTCACTGCCTAGGGCCTGTGCTCGGACCCCGGCCAGCCACCGTCGTCCTTATGTGTCCCCACTTCAGGAACCCCCAGACTCCCAAGGCTGGGGCAGGAGGAAAGACCAGGCTCTCTCTGGGCACAGAGTCCCTCCCACTTCCCAACAGGACCAATGGGATTTGGCCCTATGGGTGACAGCTGCAGGGGTGGGGGTGGGGGGTGCACTTCAGGTGAACACAGATCTAGAGGTGGGACCTCAAAGGGCGTCCTGGACGTACCCATGGAGAGTCCACTGTGGCCTGGGTGGGTGAGGCAGGTGGATTGTGGGGCACCGGGCAGGCTTTCCTTTAACCAAACCTCCCCCCGCAGCTCATTTTCCAGGTGACCCCACTGAGCGGGCGCCAGTGGGTGGTGGTGCTCCAGATATCCCTGCCAGTCATCCTGCTTGACGAGGCCCTCAAGTTCCTGTCAAGGAACCACATGGATGGTGAGTGGGAGGCCGGTCCCTCCCTCCCCGCCCTCCTCTACAGCCAGGCTGCAGTGGGCTGGTGCCAGCATCGGCCTACCCTCTGTATGTGGGGGTGTTCCTGGGTCCTCAGTGGAGGACGTGAAGGGGCTCTGATGGCTGTGACCCAAGGTGTCTGCAAGGGTTGGGGCCCTGGGCCCACTGGGCAGCAGGTGGGAGCACTGGTCACTTGCTCAGGGCCATGCTGCCTCGCTCTCCTCACTGCTACCAACCCTGTATGGCCAGGCTCGCTGTGCCCTCCCCTGGGACCTGGCTTCCGATTTTTCTGCACTTGACCTGTCTTCATGCAGGCATTCTCAGGACAGTGTCCCAGGCATGGAATGGGCAACCTCTGACCTCCTGATCCCCAGACCACACTCTCTGGTGTCACCTTGTGGGTGGGGAAGGGGGCGGGGTCTCTGGTTTTGAATTCACAGCTTTAAGTCTGCCTCAACCCAGGGATGGAGAGCAGGGCAGGGGTTTTGGCAGGGACAGCGTGTAGAGGAGCAGCCTGGGGCGCATGTCCGCCTGCCTGCTCCTGCCAGAGGGTCTCAGAGGATGGGTGGTGCTGCCGTGCAGCATCGACTCACTGTCAGCACACTCAGAGGGAGGAAGCAGAGGAAGCTGGTTCCTGGGAGGTGGAGCTGAGGAAGTAGCCCCTTGGGCAGGCTGCTGCAGAGGCCTGGGTGAGACCCAGCAGTGGCTGAGGCCTGTGTTGGGGCAGCTAGGCCCCTGAGAGCCACCTCCAGTAGGAATGTGTTCCAGCCCCCAGGGAGGGTGCCTGGGAGGGCTATAAATAGACGCTGTGCCTGTCATTCCACAGGGGCCACGACTTCCGGTCGGGCCCCGTCTCCCACGCTGGCCAGCCCTCCTGGGTGCCTCAAATGTCTTGTTTTATTCAAAAGGCCAAAACCAGTTGTCCTTTTCTCTCTCTGGAGAAGCTGGCCCGCCACAGGTCTGTCCAGAGTGTGACCTGGCGTGTTGGGGGTGGGTTCCCAGCCACTGGTGAGGTCTCGGGGGCCGGACAAGGCATTCTGCCCTTTGCGTGGTTCCTTCTGGCCCACCCTCTCTGGACACTCCTGGGGAGGTAAAGATGGAATCAGAACTGTGGCCTGAAATCCCATCCACCGGAAGCCAGGGCTTCCCCAGCTCTGGCCGGAGTCCAAGGGTGGTCTTCCAGGAAGCCCTCTGGCCAGTCTCGGCTGCAGTGATGCACCTGTGGAGCCAGGCCTCCCGGGGCTGTGTGTCTGGCTCGGGCAGCCTCTCTGTTTTCCTCAAAAGCCTGCCCCAAGTGGCCACAGCTGCCAAGGGGTTCAGCACATTTTCTTGAGAAAACTTAAAAGTGAGAAAATTTCTCAGCCCATAGGGACAGTCTGTGTCCTGGGCACTGTCCAGCACTGTCTGTTGGGCAGTGTGGATTCTGGGCCCTGGCGGAGGGATCATGGCCCCGAGCAAGATGGGGCAGGTTGGAAGGGCTGGGGCAGGGTTGGGGCAGTTTCCAAAAGAGGTGGGGACCAAGCGGAGGAGGTTGGAGAAGGGAGAATGGAGCCTGGGCGTGGGGGGCCAGGCAAGCATGGCTTGGCAGCTCTTGCCTGGAGCTTGGAGTGCAGGGTGGAGAGATGAGACCAGAGGAGAGGCGAGGCCTCAAATGCCAAGGTAACGACCCTGGACGTTATTCCCTGGCCAGTGGGAGCCACCAAGGGTGGAAGCGTGGGCGGACTGGGGTGACCGTGGAGGATGAGCGGGGTGGGGTGAGTCTAATGGCAGGGAGGCTGGTGAGCTGAGCTGAGCAGGTCAGGGGAGGAGACACTGAGTCCCAGCCCAGGTTGAGCTGGTCCTAGGCAACAGCATCACCTCCACCGTTAACCTGAGATGCTGCCCATGGTCCCAGAGAGGTTTGGCTTTAAAAGGTGCTGCCCTGCCGTCTCTGGAAGCCCAGACAGCTCTGCCCTGTGCAGCTGCAGTCCCTGGGGCCTCCTAAAGCAGGGCGGGGCAGGGGTGAGAGAGGGGACCCTGTTACGTTCCCAAGCCAGTCTGGTGGCCTTTTAGGGAAGTTTGGCTGAGGCCCAATGCTCATGGCTTCCCTGTGATTTATGAGGGATGTGTCCTGGGGAGAATTGTGGATCCTGGGTCAACCCCAAGGGGTTGGAGGGATCCTCTTGCCCCACCCCCTGGCTCTCCCCAGGTGTGGCTGAGCAGCTGTCAGGCAGAGGCCTGTGGACTGGGCTGGGGGCAGGGGAGGCCTGGGGAAGCTGAGTGGGGACAGATTTGGAAGGGTCCAGGACCCGAGGCAGGTTTGTGCTCTATTCTGAGGGCGGTGGATCACAGGGGCTGATGGGCTGGCTTTGTAGCGTGATGCCAGGGGCAGGAGGGTGATGGTGAGGCCGGACGGAGGCCGAGGGCAGGCCCGAGAGCCTTTGAGGCCTTGGAACTGCAGAGAGAGATGAGCTGGAGAGAAGTGGGTCGTGAAGGGAGCAGGTGCTCGGGGCAGGGGAGGAGTCAAGGATGTCATGGTGTCCAGATTTCGCCGTGCTGAGTTGTGGTCCTTAAAACTAAAAAGAAGAAGAGACGATGCCTCGATGCCTTGGGGTGGGCTGGGGGGTGGGTGGAACTCACGGAGGGCAGGAGGCCGGGGGACACCCAGGGGAATGTGTTCGGGCAGCTGCCGGAGGGATGCGTGGGGCCGCAGCCCCGGAGAGGCAGAGGGGCTGGGGGCGACTGAGTGGGGCTGGGCTGTGGGAGAGTGGGGCTGTCCCGGGGAGGTGGAGGGGGGGAAGGCCAGGAGGGGCCAGCCTGGGTGTGCGTTCTCATCATACATCTTAACGCATTCTCCGGTTTCTGTTCCCGAAGAAAAGGACCGGAAGTGAGAGCCGGGAGTGGAGTGCGGTCACCAGCGTGTACCTCAGACTGATGGTGCCCAAGCGTTCGCCCTGCCCCCCACCCTGCCACCGTGCTGGCCCGCTTGCTCGCTGAGCCCTACTGCGGTCGGAATGGCCACCCCCAGTCCTGTCCCCAGGGTCGTTTTCCCCTCTTCCATCTGCCTGGGGGGGTCTGTACTTCATGTCTCTGGCACTCTCCTGGGAAGTTTGCCTGGGAGGGGCCTGCCAAGGAGCCAGAGCTGGGAGCCCATCCAGAGACGCAAAGCCTTGCACCCCCAAATCCACCAGCACGTTCTGAAGCCTGCTCCCCTTTGCTTTGAGACTGGGCATTTCCTTGGTGACAGGCATCTCTGTACTTGAAAGAGGACTCCTGGAGGTCACTTACTCCAGCTGTGACCCCTCGCTTAGTGCCGTGTCTGGGACCTGGTCAGCTGGGGTGGACAGGGGAACATCTGGGCCCAGCTGTGCACAGCCAGTGCAGGCAGCTCCCCCACCCCCCCGTTCTGCTCTGCTTCCACAGAGTCGGCTCATGAGGGCTTAAGCCTGTTTCTGTTTATATGTGCGGGAATTGAAGGGTCAGAGAGAGACAGGAGTAAGGGAAGGAGGCTAGGCAAGGAGCCCCTGTCCTGGGAGCCAGCTGGCCTGCCTGCCTCTGCTTGGCTCGCTCCTGGCCTCGGGCTCTCTGTCCTAAGCACACGGTGCCTGCCCTCTCAGTGCCGTCTGGTCTGCCAAGCAGGGGCTGGCTTTGCCCTCAGTGCACCTGGCAGCTGAACCCCAGACGCCCTCGGGTCCCTGACAGCTGTGCCCTTCCACCCCAACCCGTGCTCGACCGGCTCATGGTCGGCACCGCTGGGTGTCTCCGAGTCTCTGGGCTCTCGGCCTCACTCTTCGCCCCAATCGCACACACCCGTGAGCGGAAAGAGTGTCGCCCAGAATGGCCAGTTACTCGAGTGTGCTTCCTCCCCCTCCCTTCTGGCTGGAGGAGCAGCTCCGTGCAGATCATGTCAGGTGATAGGAGAAGCATTTGTTGGGCAGAAATGTTCTCTGAACTCAGCTTTTGCCCCTTTGGCAAAAATCAGTTATAGAAGGAAGCAGTGAGTAAATGGCTGTGTGTCCTCTCCCTCCTTCAGAGTACAAAGTGATCATTTTATACATAAATCAAGGCTCACGTTTCTGTCCTGGTCCCCAGAATCAAAGCCCCCTTGGCCTGCCTTGCAGACAAGTGGGCTCCAGGTTCTGTGGCCCTTTTCCCCACCCCTCCCTCACAGGCTTTGGAGGGGTGGGGGGAAGCAGAGTTGGGGGGTCCCCCTGGTGTCAGCATTCTCTGCCTCTTTCCTGCTGGGAGGAAGGGAGACCTTAGCAGGAGGGGGTGGGGGCGGGACCCTGAACCCACATGCTGACATGCAATCTGGTAGAGAAATAAAGGTTGAGTGCCTGGGGCACTGGAGGACCAGCAGCGTCTGTGTTCCTGGAGAGTGACCTCTGCCGCATCTTCCCACTCATTGTCCCCCTGGGGCCCAACACCAGCACCCACCCCAGCCCAGGACGCCTGAGCAGACGCCTGGGGCCCCTGTCTTCCTCCACAACCAGGCGAGGGAGGGGCGCTGACTTCCTGAGCTCACCGAGCGGAAGAGGCGCCGCGGCCTACCCCTCCCAGGGACAGTGCTCAACAGCGTGTCACGTGTTCAAAGCCCGTTGCACAAATCACAATTCACAGGTCACCACTGAGGAAACTGAGGCTGGGAGGGGCTCAAACCTTGGCCTGGGGCCTGGCTGGGCCTGCTCTCTGCATATCAGGGGCCCCTTGTGGTTCTGTGTCTCCCCCAGTTTTCACTCACTTTGTTCCCTTCCCCTCCTTGAACCCTGGAAGGCCATCCACTTCTTGCCCTTCTGAGCCCAGCTCAGATGTTCCTCCCCAAGGCCGAGCTCAGCTCAGACCGTCTGGAGGCCTTGCCAGGACGTTTGGGGTGAACAGACTCACCTAGGTGGCCCTGCCCCTGGGAGCAAGGAGTCTGGGAAGGGAATACCCATGTTCCTCCACCCCCTTGCAACCTTCTGGAGGGAAGACTTACTGTGAAGGTTCCGTCTTTTCAGCTGCCGTGGGAAGGGGATGCAGGTACTGCCCATAGGGCTAGACGCAGGTCCATTCACATAAAGTGTGGGGCTCGAAGCAAAATTAAAATGTGCAGCCCCTTGTCAAAAATGAACTTCATAGCAGTGAGAGCAGAGCATTAAACCAAGTGTAAGGTCTTTCTGAGCTCAGGGCCCCATGCTACTATGTAGGTCACATGTCCACAAAACCAACAGTGACCGCAGGAGACCAGGCCCACCCCTTGGGCGCTCCCAGGGTTTGGTGGGGTGGGGGTGGGGGACAGGATTTGGTGCGCAGAGCCAGGGGTGGGCAGAAGCATTCTCCCTTCCACAAGGTCCATCTAGAAGACCTCCCAGACCACAGAAACCTTCTCATCCTCATCTCCAGGGTCCTCGACCAGCTCCTGAGGTGGGCCAGGCAGGCATTAGAGCTCATCCTACAGACAAGGAGCCTGAGGCCCCCTACGAGGCTGGCCACATTATGGTGGACAGGCAGGGTGTGGGCTAAAATGAGCTTGGGGGGCTTTCGTAGGAGGTGGCTCCAGCATTCCCAGCCACCGCTGGGGCTCACGGCCAGGCCTGCCTGAGTCTGGCCTTGTCCAGCCCACGGCATGGAGCCTGACAGGGCAAGATGGAGCAGCCAAGGTAAACAGAGGTTTCCCACCTCACCACCGCTTGCCAGGGGCAGGAGGGAATTCCAGGGCGAGCCCCGGCACGCTCGGCACGCTCCCCACTGGCTCAGGGCTGGCAGCTGCCAAAATGCTCACAACCTCCCTTACCCCTTGGGCGGCCAGGACTTGGTGCTCCTCGTGCCCCCACACTGTACCCCTCAGCGGGGTGGGAGGGACCGACCCAGCGGGGGCTGCACTGGGAGACACCGGGGGTCAAAAAGGGAAAGGAAGATGTTTGTCCACATGTCCAAGGCCTGAACTCAGGTGTCCACAGCTCTCTTCACCGTAGCCCACACTGGGAACACCCCGAATGTCCATCGGCAGCGGAAGGACAGACAAAGAGTGGTGCGTCCACCCAGAGGAGCAGTTCCGGGCAGTAAGAAGGAACATGCCCATATATGCAGCAGCCTGGATGGCGCTTAAATCCCTGGTGCCGAGTAAAAGAAGCCAGACACAGCAAATACTGTGCGATTCCACCTCTGTGAATTTCTAGAAAAGGCAAAACAAATCTGCAGCGAGGAAGCAGGTTGTGGGGGCTGGGGCTGCAGGAAGAACAGTAACAGAGAGGCAGGAGGGGGCATTCTAGGGCCACGATGGGGCGTTACATGCATTTGTCAAAGCTCATCAAACTGTGTCTAACTTGTATGTGTTGTGTGTAAGGTGTACCTCAAAACAGTTCAATTTAGGAAAAAAACAAGGTGCCAAAGGAGGTGGCGGGGAAACGCAGCTGCCCCATGGGTGCAGAGGGCTTGGCATCCTCAGCACACAGGGAGGACTAGGACACCAACCTCCCAAGGGGTTTGAGGGGCAGAGAGGAGGAATTCCCCACATTCCAGGGGTGGGAAGAGGCTGGAGACCCAGAGGAAGTAGCCCAGAAGGAGAGGCAGAGCGGGGCATGGGGGGCGGCCTTGGGCGCTCAGGAGGAGAGGCTCCAGCCCACCCTGGCTCCTAGATGGTGGAAAAGGAAGCCAGAGGAGCAGTCCAAGGTCTGGGCGGGAGGGAGATGTCAACCTGTCAACCTGGAGGCCCCAGATGCCTGCCCCCCAACCTCCCCCAGACAGTCTGCTAAACTGGCCCAGGGCCCTATTCCAGCAGCACCTGAGGGGCCCGTGGCATTGGGTGAGCCCCTTGGTTGCCAAAGGAGTCCCAGATGGTGTGGGGGGTTGGGCTGAACTTGGCGGGCAGAGATGTGGCCCTGCAACCTTGGAACTCTCAGTGGCTAAGGAGACCCCCTGGAGCCTGTGGCGACCCCACTGAGGGCCTGGGCTAGCCTCCAGGAGGGGCATGGGCCCCCACCCTCCACAGAGCCGCTAAATTTAGCCCGGCAGGGGAGGCTGTCCTGGGGCCGAGCGCTTGGCAGTGCAGCCTTCTCTCCCTACAAGGCCTGGCCAGTGCCCAAGCTGGCCACCCGGCCTTTGGGCTTATAAGGCTGGTCTGGACACTCCCAAATGCTGGAGTCTTGGGGTGGGCTCTGGGCCAAGCTCTCAGACTTTGGGGGAGCCTTCCTCCTGGCCACCAGCAGACATAGAGCTACTTGCTGTGTGACCATGGGCAAGGCATTCAACTTGCAGAGCCTCAGTTTCCCTATCTGTAAAATGAGCAGAGCCTCAGTTTCCCTATCTGTAAAATGAGGATTCTAGGACCTACCTCACAGGGCTGTTTTTAAAAAACCTACTGAATGTGAAGGCATCACGGTCCCTTTGAACTGTAACCCCTGCCCTGGCCACCTCTGTCCCCCACAATGCCTAGAATAGACACAGGTGTCTGCTCCTGGGATGCCGGAGTTGGGGCCAGGGGCAGGAAAGGATAGGCCTCGGATGGAAAGATATGTCTTAGAACCAGTGAGACAGCCCTGGCCAGTGTGGTTCAGTGGGATGCAGCATCATCCTGTAGCCAAAAGGTTGCAGGTTCAGTTCCCAGTCAGGGCACATACTTAGGCTGTGGGTTCGATCAAAGGTCGGGTGTATATATCTCCAGTCCAGGCAGGTATGTCAAGGAAACCAATCAATGTTTCTCTCTCTCCCTCCCTGTCTCTCTAAAAGCAATGAGAAAAATGTCCTTGGGTGAAGATAATAAATAAATACATAAATAAATAAGAATTTATCCGTTTATTAAAAAAAAAAAAGAACCAGTAAAAGAGACGTTGACCTTATCAGTTGCAAAGACATCTGGGGAGAGAAAAGTAATTGCTTTTATTTCTTTTCCTTTTGGGCATGTTTTGGAGCTGACAACAACCCCAAGCGAGACAGTCCTCCTTGCCAATCTGTTTTCCCAGGGTCAGGGCCAGCACCAAGGCCACAACAGCCGTACCTGCCTGCACCCTAAGCAAGTCTGTCTGAGTGGCTAAGGGGACTCACTGGAGCCTGTGCACACCCCCTGGAGGGCCTGGCTGGCCTCCAGGAAGGGCACAGGCCCCTCCACCCTCCACAGAGCTGCTAAACTTAGTCAGGCAGGGGAGGCCATCTGTCCATTGGTCCATCTGCCGGTCAGCAAGCCTGGATCCTTGGAGAAGGAGGAGGAGGAGGAGTAGGTCATGGTAATGGTATGAAAGGAACAGACACAACTGGAGAATAACTGCCTGACTTCCTTAGCTCCCTCTCCTGCCCCTCCCCCTCCCCCCTCTCCCTCTCCCCCACCTCGTTCAGCACCTGCTGCCCTTCTGAGGGCAGTGTGCCTGTGGGGATGTGTGAGTGGGGTGGGACACAGAGATGGCTCAGAGGCAGTGTCAGCATCCACCCCACTCCCCATCACAAGCAAGTCATGCCCTGAAGCCCGCTATTCCAAGTGCCATACGGTCAGCTGGGAAGAGGACAGGCCCTTTTGCCTGGGGTCAGGACTTGGCCAAGGGGATGTGACTACCACAGCTCTGGCTTCCAGCAGCTCTGGACTTTTCCTTAGAAAAGCCCAGGATGTGGCTCTCACTGGTCCCCTTGAAGTGGCGTCGGACAGACTGCTGAGTGTGAGATTAACGGGAACTCTAGGGATGAAGATGATCTGATGGGGACGCTGACCTGGGGTGCTGGTTGGGGCCACAACCTGCCTCTTGTGGGGCCCCTTGCTGTCCAGAAAGGGACTTCGCTCAGACAGGCAGCTGGGGTTTCCAGCTCAGGCCTGGCTCCCTGCCTGCAGTGATTTCCCCGGTAAAGGCTGGCCAGGAGGAAGACTCTTGTCAGCATTCAGGGTGGGACAGCTTAAACTTGGGGCAGGTGGGAGCTCTGAGGACGCCCAGCCGCACCTCCTGTCTTCAGAGGGAGCCCTGAGAACACTCAGCCTGGGTTGAGGGCCAGCCAGGAAGGCTTTAAGCTGAGTCCTTCAGCACAGCCCAGGGTAGGCTTGGGCGACTCATTTCTCTTCTCTGAGCTCCACTTCCTTTACTTGCAGAAAGAGGTGGGGGTTGAGGGGGGTCTCCAGCTCTAAGGCACTCCCACCCCATCCCGATCCCAATCCCGGGGGGTCCCTGACTTCAGGGATTGGGTTGGGGTTGAGGGCAGGAGCTAGATAGAGGGGCCGTACCCCAAGCTATATAGTGGTCTCAGGTTCCCTGAAAGGACACCCCCCCCCCCAGGGAAATCCCATTATCATGCTCATTTCATGACAAGGGAGCAAGCTCAGAGAGGACAGATACCCCTCACGGGCAGCAAGGGGCAGAGCCAGGGATGGTGACTGAACCCACTTGACGTCAGGCTTCCTGGGCTGGGTCTCAGGAAGCCCGCGGGTGCTGTGTGTGACAGATATGGCCCTTGCCTTGTCTGGGCACCTGCCTGCCTCTGCTCCTTTCAGGAGGTGGAGGTGTGGCTGGGGCCGGGCAGGCGGTAGGAGAGGTGGGGGAATGGGAACGTCAGCCTGACGCTCCTCCTTTGGCTGGACACAAGCCAGGCGTGGCCTCGGAGGACGGCGGGTGGAAGGTGGCCTGCAAGGACTGGGTGGGAGATCCTGCCCCGGGCGCTGGGGGTGTCAGGCAGCTGGGCCGGAAGACGCCCTGCTTCCTCTTCTGCCCTCATAGGTATGGGCCCCAGGGGGCTGAACTCCCCACCTAGGGGAAGAGGCAGGGTGGGAGGATGTTTGGACATGGGGAGGGGTCCCTGGCTTGGGGAGGGCTCCGGCCTGCAGCCACTCCACCCAAGCCCTGGCCCGAGCCTCCAGTCCTGTCCTGTCAGGTTTGCGGGGGGCTGACAGCTTTATCTTTGCCTTGTGACGAGTGGCCTGTGGTTTCCTGCCAACAGCTCCTGTTTCCGGAGGCCCAGTAGGGCCCAGGCAGAGCCAGGAGGGGCAGTGGGGCTGGGCCTGGGTGGCCCTACCAGCCCCGCCCCCTCCATCTTTGGGAATTTATTTGTCCACAGGCGCAGCCGTCCCACAGTCCCTGCCAGGGACCAAGAGCTGCACTGATCACCCAGGGATTCTCCCTCCCAAACCAAACACCTCCAACTGACCTCTGACTCCTGACCTCTGGCCCCATCTGTCCTGTCCTGCCCTTTGTAAGGGGCTGGGGAGCCCCTAGAAACTCTGCCGTGGGAGTGGGTGTCTGCTCACCCAGAGTGCAAAGGCTGTGCAGGGGCTTGGACCTCAGCACCGCCCTGAGCCCAGCATGGCACGGCGGCTGCAAGATGAGCTGGCCGCCTTCTTCTTCGAGTACGACACTCCCCGAATGGTGCTCGTGCGCAACAAGAAGGTGGGCGTCATCTTCCGCCTGATCCAGCTGGTGGTTCTGGTCTACGTTGTTGGGTGAGTCCGGGCCCCTCCCTGCTGCCCTCGTGCACCTGGGCTGTCCTCCGGGCTCTGGGGTGCCCCCAGGACTCCCAGGAGCCCCTCTTTCTCTCTCTTGGTTGTCATCCTTCCTGACCCTCCTTCCTAAGAAGGAGTGGAAGCCTGCTAACTCACTGTCGAGATGGGGATACTGAGGCACAGAGCAGCAACCATGTCCTGGGTCCTCTGGGGAACAAGAAGCAAAGCTGCTGGGTTCTCAGCAACGGCCTCACTAGTAACAGTTCCCTCAAGTGGTGAGTGGTTTTGGAGGCCAGGGCCCCCCCGTGAGCCACAGCCAGAGTCCCTTCACCTCTGACCTCCCAGCTAAGCCAGGCCCAAACTAAGAGACAGAGGCCACACCCCATCTGACAGCCGGCTCCCACCAGCCCTGCCAGCATGAAAGGCCTTTGCGTAACTAAGGTCCCCAGAGCAGAGAGACCCTTGAATTTGAAACACCTGGTGCCCTAATGGGGACCATAGGCAAAGGCTGGAGGTCATTCTGGTCTCAGTAATGACAGCTCCTTTCTGGGCATCTCAGGGCCAGTCCCATTGTCCCGGGAGTACAGGGACAGAAGGAAGGTGGCACTCTTCTGTGGTCTGCATGTCCTAAGGACCATGCCAAAGCCATCCTCCTCAAGTCAGTCTGGCAGTCCTGGGAGCCAAGGCCAGACTGGCGGGGGTTTGCACACATGTGCTTGTGTGAGCACACAAGTGTGTGTGGTGTGAGGATGCACGTGAGTCGTACCCAGAGCTCTGTGCAGGTACATGTGCCCCCATGTGTCTGGGTGTGTGCCCAGTGGGTGTGGACCCCTCTGTGGGACCAAACCAGGACAGCGGACTGGACCCCGGGCAGGCTTGGCAGATTCCTGGGTCCCCCAGGGCCTCGGCATCCAAAGCAGCCTGCTCTCCCCTTGAAGCAGCGGCCCCCGACTTGCCGGAGAGCCGGGTGAGTGGAGCCAGGGCCAGGCGAACGGCCTCTGCCTCCCTCTTGTGCACAGGCCGGTCTGACGTCTGCAACGTCATTTGAGCTTGTGAGGGACACTGAGGATCGGGGTGGGGGTTTCCAGCTCACACGGCAAGTCGGCCAGAAGTCCTGGTTAGAGCAGAGGCCTCCTGACCCCTGGGGTTCAGCTCTGCCTTCTCCTTTCTCACCTCCCCGGGCCCCTTTCCAACGGGGCACAGGACAGGCCTGACAATCCACCATTAGCCACACCTTTGACCATCTGGGGAAGAAAGCAGTTGCCGGCCCACCCCTCTCCCAGAGAGGCTGGGCAAATGTTGTCCTCACTGTGGCCCTGAGGGCTCCCTGTGTTGGCTTTCCGGTCTGCCCTGGGAGCAGCTCCAGGGCCCTCCTGTGTGTTGGTCAGAGACTGTCAGAGGGAAAGGGACAGCCTCCCTCTCCACCCCTGTTGCAGCACATGCCCCAGCCGCCATTCAGCCCTGAACACATACCTCCAGTGACAGGAACCTCATCACCTTCCTCTTCCCCTTCCCATTCCCCTTCCTCCAACCCAAACAGCCTACTCAGTTTCCAAATCGATGTGGCTTTCTCAGCACGAGTGAGGCCCAAAGACACTGAGTGATCCTGCCAGCATCTCGTAGCTAGGGAGAGGCTTAACCAGGTTTGAATCCAACTGCGTGGCTCCAAAGTCGGCCTTGATATCCTGGAACGGAAACCTACTCAGGGAGGGGGACTGACACCCCAAGTCATTTAGCAAAGCGAGGAAGGCCAGGTCCCTCCAACACCCCTCAATCCACCCTCAAGTCCAGCCCTCAGCTCTCGCTTGGGCTATGACTGTTTCTGTCTCTGGCGCCCTCGTCTGGCCACTGCCCACAGCTGCACTGAGTGTTCGGCTAGGAGCCCACAGCCTCGGAGAGAAACCAGCCTGGATTTGAACTTGCTTTCTCAGTCCTCAATTTCCCAGCTGTTCCACGGAGTAGGGATGGGGGAAAACCTTCTGAAGACATTGCATGGAAGCTCAACAGTTTCTCTTTTCTGAGGAAGGGCACCTTTCTTTAATTACCACACCCCCCACACACATCTCTTTCCAAGGCCCCCGTCTGTCAGAACGTCTGGTTTTGCAGTGGGCAGAGGGAAGCATAGGAGAAATGCCAGACTCACGGACACCAGGCACAGGGGCACAGCCAAGGGTGGGGGGGTGGGCAGCCACAGAGACAGAACTGGACAGAGGGACAGACATTGGAGCACAACCACTCGGATGAAAAGAGAGACTTTGAGACTTAGAAATGGAGAGAGAGTTACTGAGACAGAGGCAGAGAGGCTGAGACACCAAGAACCCGAACAGGTTCCAAAGAGGGGAACTGAGGCTGTGCTCTCTACCCATCACACTGTCCCAGAAGTCCAGGGCAAGAGGAGGGAGCAGGTGGGTCTGAGGCCCTGGCAGGCTGAGCAAAGGCTGTTTTTGGCTCAAATTATGGGGGTTAATTTGTAGTTAGAGCTGTCTCCTGGGCAGTAATGAGCTCTCCGTAACTGGAGGTGTGCAGGCAGCAGGGGTCTCCTCCGTGATCTGGCAGGCCTAGAGAGGGTGTGCTGAGACATGTCCCTGCATGGGGCTGGTCTGGTTAGGGGGGGACAAAGATCTTTTTTGGCACACAGGAGAGTCCTAATGGACACTCACATTTGTGAGTGCTGCTTGGAGAGGGGAGTCTGGGAAGGCTCCTGGAGGAGGTGGCAGTGGTGGGACCAACCTTGAACAGAGGCCTGGGAGCTCTTGAAGTCATGTGTTTCTGAGACCTCCAGATGGACCCTGGAGCATGCCAACCAGGGATAAGAACTGATGCAAATTAGGGCTGGGAGAAACATATCTGGAGACATTTCTTCTATGGCATCTTTTCCGGGCCTAGTGCTGTGCGGGCTTCGCAGCGCAGAGGTGGGGGCAGGGTAGGCAGAGAGGCGAGGGTGAATTAGCCCGAACTCCTTTGGTTCCTAGAGATAGAAACCTGGTCAAACTGTGTTTAAAAGGAAGAGTGGGGATACTGATTGATTTACGTAACTGAAAAGTCAGTGTGGGCTTCAGGCCTGGCTGGACCCTCCATGAGGAGGCCACAGGAAGAGCGAGTTCCAGCTCCCTCATCTAGGAGATAAGGAGCATGGCTGGTCCCGTGTGGGTTCTCCAGTGAAGCTCTCCTACGCTCTGCTCTCCTCCGGCGGGGTTCATTCTCAGGCAGGCTCTCTGTCCTCATCGTGGCAGAAGGGCCCCCAGCAACTCGAAGCTGACATCCCACCAGCTTAGCCTCCCCTGGGGCACAAGAGCATCTCCTTCTCCAGAGTTCCAGCGAAAGTCCTGGGTCCAGCCTGGACCGGTGTGGCTCAGTTGGTTGGATGTCATCCCACAAACTGAAAGGTCACCGGTTCTTTTCCCAGTCAGGGCACATGCCTGGGTCGTGGGTTCAATCCCAGGTTGGGGTATGTTTGGGAGGCAACTGATTGATGTTTCTGTCACACATCAATGTTTCTCTCCCTCTCTTTCTCCTTCCTTTCACGTCTTTCTAAAAATAAATAAATAAATAAATAAATAAATATATAAATGTCCCGAGTCCAGCTCTTACTGGCCCAGGTTGGGTCATGTACCCAATCATTGTGGCCAAGGAAATGAACACTCTGATTGGTGGAGCCTGGTTGTATGCCCACTTGGTCCAAACAGTCCTGCTGGAAAGCAGTGTGTGATCAAAAGTCCTGGAGCAGGACCTGGCCAGTGTGGCTCCATTGGTTGGAACGTCATCCTGTAACCAAAAGATTGCAGGTTCAATTCCCAGTCAGGGTATGTACAGTAGACAATAATTCTCTCTCTCTTCCTGTTGTCCTTTCTCTCTCTCTAAAGGCAATGAAAAAAATATATTCTTGGGTGAGGATAAAAAAAACATTTTTAGCTCTGGCTGGTGTAGCTCAGTGGTTGAGTGCTGGCCTGTGAACCAAAGGGTTGCCGGTTCGATTCCCAGTCAGGGCACATGCCTGGGTTGTGGGCCAGGGCCCTAGTGGGGGTGGGCAAGAGGCAACCACACATTGATGTTTCTCTCCCGCACTTTCTCCTTCCCTTTCTCTCTGTAAAAATAAATTAATAAAATCTAATAAAATAAATAAATACAATATTTTAATTAAAAAAAGGAGGTCCTGGGGCGGGAAAGGGACAATAAAAGAGTCATGAAGGGAGGGAAGGGAGAGGAGGGGGAGGGCTGAGCAGGGCCCACTGGCACGGGCCTCTGAGCCTGGCCCGAGGAACGTGGGCTTCCTCCCGCAGGCGGTGGGAGCCACAGAAGGGTGTCTGGCAGGGGAAAGCCTGGGGCAAGTAGGTGCTTGTGAGGGTAGAGGCCAGAGGACAGCTATGAAGAGGCAACAGCAATAAGAGGAGAGGATGAGGCCAAGGTAGGAGCGGTGGGCAGGGAAGACAGAGGCTTTCATCCCAGCAGGCCTGTACCGGGGTGGCCACTGCTCGACTTCCGCCCGTCACGGCTGCAGGGGCACGTGCCCAGCATGGCCAGGGTTGCTGACTTCTTAAGAGAAGTAGGAAATTGGAATTTATGGGTGAGAGAAATGTCTTGGTTTTTAGAGGTTGGCAACTTACTAAAAAATGTAGACACAAATCGTCATCCTAACTTGTCTGTAGACTGCATGATGATTAGCCTCTGTGCCCCCAGCTCTTAACTCAGTCCTTTCCTGGCTCGGAGTCTGGCTTTGCCCCTCCCCAAGTCTGCTGTGCCCCATAGCACGGGCCAGGTCTGGCCACCTCCCTCCCGTGGCCCGTGTTACACCTTGTACCAGCCCCATGCCGGAGCTGCCCCAGCATGTGCCCCAGCTCCTCTCAGCCTCCCACAGCCAGCCCCTCAGGGTCTGCGGAGGAAGGCCAGGGAGGAGAGGAAAGATGGAGGAGCCCAAAGACTACGGACACGAAGCACGTGGAGGGAGTGAGAGTGGTGCCAGGGTTTGAGCCTGGGGATGGGTAGGCTGGGCGCCATCTTCCATGGTGAGGGCCCCAAAGGGGCAAGTTCTGTGGGCAGAGGAGGCATTAGGTTGGTTCCACTGAATTTCTGGTTTGAGATATAATTCATCTACCGTAACATTCACCCTTTTAAAATATACAGTTTGGTGAGTTTTAGTATAATCACAGATTTGTCCAACCATCACCACTAATTCCAGACATAATCCAAATGAAGCCTCGTGCCCCATGCAATCCCTCTCCACCCCCTCCCACTCTGCACTCTGTCTATTCTGGGTGTTTCATGTAAGTAAAATCATACAGTGCGCTGTCCTTTGTGTCTGGTGTTCTGCACTTGGCCTGCTGTTTGTCAGGTTCACCCGTGTGGTAGCGTGTCAGTGCTTTCTTCCTTTTCCTGGTGGAAGAACATCCCCTGTGCGGATGGACACATGATGTTTGTGTATCCACACTCGGGATGACAGGCGTCGGGCTGTTTGCAGTTTCATTCTGATGAATAACGTTTCTGTGGACATTCATGAACAAATTTTTGCGTGGACACGGTTTCAGGTCTCTTGGGTACATAGCTGTGAGTGGAATTGCCGCATCAAGTGGCAGTTCCGTGTTTAACTTTTTGAGGAGCTGCCAGACTTTTTCCAAAGGGTTGACTTAGGTTCGAGGTGCCAGTGGGGGAGGGGCCGGGGCAGGGGGCAGGAATGTGTGGCACCAAGCAGCAGGACATTTGCAAACTGTAAGTTCCTTGAGTGCAGACCTTTGGCTTGCCTTGTTTACTTCTGTATTTTAATTTAATTTTCTTAAAGATGTTATTTATTTATTTTTAGAGAGAGAGGGAGAAAGAGTGGGAGAGAAACATCAATGTGAGAGAGATACATCGATTGGATGCCTCTCACTCACCCTCATCCAGGGACCGGACCCACAACCCAGGCATGTGGCCTGACTGGGAATCCAACCAGTGACCTTACAGTTCACCGGCCGTCACTCAGTCCATTGAGCCACACCAGCCAGGACTACTTATGTATTCTTAATGCCTAGAACAATGCTTGACACATAATAGGGGCTTGTTAAGTATTTGTTGACTGATGAAATGAATGTGTGGAACTGAATTTTGGGAGAGAGTAAGAACTGGAGACAGGAGCCCAGGGACACACTGTGTCTGCAATAACTCCAGGGAGGGGTTTCTGCCCGGGCCGAGGAGCGAGGCCAGGGTGGTGGGGGCAGATGGCGCGAACAGAAGCTGTGAAGGAAGAGCAGAGACCGTGGAAACAGGAGCACTGTCTTTATGTGCCTATGCGTGCTGACTTCTTTAAAGAGAACTCATGGGAACACCCCCCCGCCCCAACGACCACCTAGATGCTTGTCCCCAGGCCCGCTGCCAGCACCTGGCGGGGCCTCACTTACATCTGTTGAATGAACAGTGTCTCCGTGACAGACGTCAGCACCTCGGCTTTGCTGAGGAAGCCAGGGTGCAGAGAGGTCAGTCTTCAGCTGGAAGCCAGACCGCTGGTGAGTGGCAGGCCTGCTCCCGAAGCCTCGGCTTCCATGCCCCTGGAGGCCGACAGTCGGCCCTTCCATGAGGGGCCGCTGGAGAAGGGAGACTCAGGAGAGGGCTCTGCTGGAAAAGAAAGAATTGGGAAGAGAATTTCTGGAAGGGGAAGGACTTCCAAAAATGTGTTTGGCATCAGGTCAGTCCCCATGGTGGCCTCCCAGAGTGGCATCAGCAAAGCTGGGTCAAGGCTTTGGAGGAGGGGGATGGCACACGGTCATTCTACTGTCATCAGAACTAAGGACATCGATGCCAGGTTTGATTTTTCTCCTCAATCCCCCAGGACTGACAGGCCCCCCAGGGCAGGAAACCAAGAGCGGCTGCACCAGGCCCAGCATGCAGCCTCTGCTCCCTGCCCCCCCGCAACTACTGCCCTCCAATTCTGGCACCTGGCAGCCACACTAATGCTCAATGGAGGGGGGCAGAGTCCTGGGCGGGGTGCCCTAAGCCTGGGGTTGACCTCTGACTCTGGAGAGATGCTTCCCAGGCCCCAGTTTTCTCATCTGTCTTGTGAGGAGCTGGCATTGGGCAGAGAGAGAAGTGCTGCAGGACACTGGGGGTCAGGGGTGCCAAGAGAGAGGGGCCAGTTACCTCCCCTGCAGGGGCTTCAGAATATGAAGCAGCTCCCACATCCATCCCAACAGCTCCTTTGAATTTGGGCCTGAAGCCACAGGCCATCCTGGAGGAAGGAACCCAAGCCAGGTGGGGGGATAGGTGATGCCCACTCTCCCTCATAGGGCTGGAGGAGCGAGACAGGGTCAGGACACACAACTGGTGGCCTTTGTCCTGTCTCACCTGTTGCCATCTGGGACCTGCAGGGGGCGGCAGTGACCACGCTTAGACTTGTGGGTGGCAGTGGCGGTGGCCGGGTGAGGGTGGAGGAGCAGCTTGAAGAAAGAGGAGTGGACTATGCCAGGTGAGAGGAGGACATTGGTGGGCTGCCTTCTTGGGACCTGGATCCGGGAGACAGCCGCTAGAGAGCGGGACAGACTAAGCAGCCTGGAGAATTCTGGTGCAGGCTTGAGCTCTCAGGCACAGGGGAGGGACTTCAAGCTCTGCTTGGACAGGTGGACTGAGGGTGGAGAGAGGGGCGAAGGGGGGGCAAACACACCTGTGTGCAGTCAGATGTGCGCGTAGGGGCGCCCACAGGTTTGCCCTGGAGATACACAGCTGCTCACCCTGACGGGCACCACGGACACACAGGCTCACAGAGCTGTGCAAGGAGAACCGCACTCTGGAGGGAAGTGTTTCCAGGACTCTCAGCTGTAAGCAACAGAAAGCAAAGCCAAACTGGCTTAAATAAAGAAAGGGGCTTCATTAGCTAATGTAGGAAGTCCAGAAGCAGATGTTTCGTGCTCTAGCTATGACTGGTTCCAGGTGCAAAACCAACATTGTAGGGCCTGTCCCTCCCGGTTTCCTGGCCTGGCTTTCCTCCAGGTTGGCTTCATTCTCAAGCTTGCTCCATAAGGTAGCAAAGATAATTAACCATAGTTCTGGTCTTGCAACCACCTCGCTAGCCACCCACCAGGGAGCATGTCTCTTTTCCATTAATTCCAAGGAAAATCCTGGTCTCACTGCTGAAACTCCAGGGTTGCATGTCCATGCTGAGACCTATCACTGTTGCTAGAGTGATGGGACATTGATTGGCAGGCCTTGATCATGTGCCTACCCCTGGGGCTAGGAGAGAGGTGGGCCCTGCTGAACCTCCCAGATTGAAAGTGGAGAACCCAAAGAATAGGGGTTCTCCATGCTTGGGAGAGAAGGCAAGAATTCTCCAAGAAAGCTGGGAGGCCTCCAGCTAGAGCCACTCCCCCAAGGGCCTCAGCTGGGGGCCAGATGCTCCCAGGCTTCCCGCCATCGTGCTCTGCCGCTTCTCGGTGGCACGACCTCAGGAAGGAGTCCTCTCCAAAACAGGATTGGGGTTCAAGAAGCTTGGCCTTCAGGCACCAACACATTCTGCTCTTAGAAAAGGATCTGAAAGAGTCCTTTGGTGGGTCTCCTTCCCGGGAGTGAGCATTTTGGAAAAAGAATGGAGGAGCTTCAAGCAGTGGTCAGCTGGTGGGGGGAGACCGGATGTAGAGTCAGGAGCTGAGAGTGACTCAGAAATGCATGTGGGGAGGGAAAGTGAAAGGACTTGACCGGTCCAGCTGGTGACAGAAAGGGCAGTGGGCTGTGTACCCATGTGCCTCGGATGACCCCTTCCCCCACTCTCTGCAGGTGGGTCTTTGTCTATGAGAAGGGCTACCAGACCTCCAGTGGCCTCATCAGCAGCGTGTCTGTGAAACTCAAGGGTCTGACTGTGACGCATCTCCCAGGAGTGGGCCCCCAGGTCTGGGATGTGGCTGACTATGTCTTCCCGGCCCAGGTGAGCTGACTCAGGGCTACCCCTTCTACCCACAAGTCCTGGCTCAGACCTGGGATGGGCTCTGTCCCACCTCCCTGTGGGACCAGTCAGCTCCAGCCCCTCCCTGGGCTTCAGTTTCCCTGACTGTGAAAGAAGGGCAGAAGCAGCCTGCTAACGTCACCCCACTTTGACACCATGGGGTATGGAGTGTCATGCTGCCTATCAAATGGGTTCTACAAGCTGCTGGGCAGTGCTTGGGTTGTGGGGCTATTCTTCCAGCTCACGGCCCTGCCCCTCACTTACAGGGGGACAGCTCCTTCGTGGTCATGACCAATTTCATCATCACCCCCCACCAGGCCCAAGGCTACTGTGCAGAGGTGAGCACTGCTGCCCATCCCTCCTCCTTCGACCCAAAGGGAAAATGACATGGCAGAGGAGTTCCCCTTGAGCAGCTGGATAGGCTTCCTGGGGGTCCACAGGGGTGGGATTTCAGGCATGGATTTGCACAAAGTAACAGGCCACCGTCCACAGTGTACTGAGGCTGCCCTTCCAGCTGTATGCCAAGCAGGATGCTGAGCCTCCATGGCCACCCCACCTACAAGCCCCACACCCTGCCAGCGGACATCAGCAATGGGACAGCTGGGCCTCAGCCCAGAAGGGTCTTGGGAGTGCACTGGGGGAAGGAGGCCTTGAGTAATGGCCACCCCAAGGACATCTGAGACTCTGCCTCAGGCCCTCCCTAGGGCCCTGGGGGTGGGAGGGGCTCTCCTCAGCACCCCAGCCAACGGGCCTGGGGCCAGAGTCTCTCCCCTCCTCCAGCATCCAGAAGGGGGCACGTGCAAGGATGACAGTGGCTGCACTCCAGGGAAGGCAGAAAGGAAGGCCCAAGGTAAGGCCGGCCCCCTCCACAGCCCCTTTCAGCCCCAGGCCTCTTTCTGCAGGAAGTCCTTTCTGCCCTCTCCCCTGACCTTGGCCTGCCCCGTCCCAGAGTCAGCCACATTTCTGTCTTCAGGCTTCTTTTCTGGGGTGCCTCAATGGGGCTTTCTAGGGGAGGGGCGTGGGAGGCCTCCTCTGCACCCTCAGCTTTGGGCGGACACCCAGGGGTTTCTCCCTCGCTGCAGGCATCCGCACAGGCAAGTGTGTGGCCTTCAATGACACTGTGCGGACGTGTGAGATCTTCGGCTGGTGCCCTGTGGAAGTGGATGATTACATCCCACGGTAACACCTGGTCCTTCCAGGGAGGTGGGAGCAGAATCCCCAAGCCCAGATAGAGGGGATGTGTCCCCTAGAAAGGAACAGGCCCCCCTTCTTCCGACCTCACCCTCTCTCTATCTGTTCAGCCCTGGCCAAAGATTCCCCTGGCCCTTGGTCAAGGGCCCTGAGAACCCTCCATTAGAGCACACCTACCCTCCACCCATCCAAGTCTGCAGGGGGATCCTGTAGGCGCTCCCATCCTCTCCACCCCCCCACACCATGCCAAGCTCTGGTGGGCGTAGGAGTCTCCTGGGGAGGGGGCAATGAGTGAGTGTGGTCTCCTTCAGCCCTGCCCTTCTCCGAGAGGCCGAGAACTTCACTCTCTTCATCAAGAACAGCATCAGCTTTCCACGCTTCGAGGTCAAGAGGTTCGTGGGAAAAGTGGGCAAATCTTCAGGTGGCTCCCTGAGGCTGTGCCCGCTGGTCTCAGCTGCCCCTTGCTGATTCACTCTGGAGGCCAGGCCCCTGGGGTGGGCTGCCCTCAGTGTCTAAGGGCTGTGGACGGGGCATTTCTGGGGCCCATGAGGGATCCGTGGAGCTTCGGGGCAGGATGGGCACCCTCCCAGCTGGCACACTGCTGCCACCAATGCCCTCTGCTCCCCAGGCGCAACCTGGTGGAAGAGGTGAATGCCACCTACATGAAGAGATGTCTCTATCACAAGATCTTACACCCGCTGTGCCCCGTCTTCAATCTTGGCTATGTGGCACGAGAGTCAGGACAGAGTTTCAGCACCCTGGCCGAGAAGGTATTGTGCCAGGCGAGTGGGGAGGGCTGGGGTCCAGGACTGTTAGCCAACACGCTTTTCAGGTTTGGTTAATCCCACCTCCAGCCTCCCTGGCGTGGGTTGAGTATAATGGATTTATCCTCTGATATTGGGGAGACAGGGTCAGGCACAGAGGAGGTGCCCAAAATGAATGGATGTGGGCAGGTATTGTCCCCTGGACGTCTGCTGAGGTCCCACTGTTTTTAAAATATTAGAAAAAAAGCAGCTCGAACCCCATGGCCCATGGCCCTGAGAAATCCTGGGAATTCCAGAGGCCAAGATCCCCACAGTCACCTGGGGATCCACGAGAAGCAGGGTCTCATAAAGAACACAGCCTTGTCCGACTGAGTTCAAACCCCAGCTCTGGTCCTTAAGAGCAGCGGGGCCTCAGACAAGTTCTTTACCTCCAGTGCGTCTGAACTTTTGCACCTGCAATGTGGAGGCAATAAGAGTACCAGGCTCATGGCATTGTCTCCAGGACCGAGTGAGTTCGCGGGTGCGACGGTACTTCAGGACCGCCTGGCGCGCAGCAGCCCTGCGTCTGTGTCCTCGCGTGGTTGTTCACATCCTGCTCCTGACTCACCTATTCAGGGTGGAAATCCGTCCCTTTTCCATCGCACACACACAAACAGCACATTTGTCTAGAATAGGAGTCAGTTAACTTTTTTCTTTAAAGGGCCAGAGAGTGTTTTGAGCTTTGCAGGCCACACGGTCTCTGTTCCTACTACCTAAGTCAGCTGGTAGGGAGCAAAAGCAGCCACAGACAGTAAGTAAACAAATTCAGCCCTTGGCCAAGTTTGCCCACCCCTGGAGGGGTTTGCACTGAGCAACACGCAGGACCAGGGAGCTGAACATCAGAGCTGCTCATCCCTGGCGTCTCCATGCCGCCCCCACCAGGGACTTCTCACCCACCACCATCACCTGCAGGTGTCAGCCTCCCTCCTCGCTCTGACCACCTCCCACCTCTCCTGCTGCTCAGTGCACCCCCACCTGTCCCTGGTCCTTGCCTGGCCCGGAAGAGGTTCGCTTTCTCAAGTTTTCTCTTCCTAGTCCAAGTCTTTACAGACTCACTCTTTAATTCAACGACGACTCACTTGCCTCCCACACTGTGACTTGTGCTAGGAACTCAGGAGTCAGTGAGTGAGACAGACAAGACCACCCTCCTCCCGGAGCTTACAGTCTTAGAAGAAATGTGTTAGTAAGTAATCATACAAAATAAATATATGATTAAAAGTGACAAATGTTCCAGAAGAAAACAGAGATGGAGTAACAGAGACGTGTTTTAGGCTGGGGTGGTGGTCAGGGAAAGCCTCGTAGGGGAGAATGACCAAAGACTGAGAAAGAGCCAGCCTTGTGGGGAACTGGGGAACTGCATGTGCAAAGGCCCCAAAGGAGGAAAACCTGGTGTAGTCTAGAAAGTGCCCAAATGCTGGAGTATGAGGGATGTGTGGGAGGTAGGGCCAGAGAGGGTAACAGGACCTGACACTGAAGCCATTTCTCAGTATCTTTCTCAAGCCGAAAAATGTTCCCTCTTCAAGAGATTGCCGGCACCTGCTGTGAGACAGCAGTTTCTTGCCCTGGCCGGTGACTCGGTTGGAGCATTGTCCCGTGCACCAAAGGTTGCTGGTTCGATCCCAGGTCAGGGCACAAACTTAAGTTGTGGGTTCTATCTCCGGTCGGGGCACATATGGGAGACAACTGATCAATGTTTCTCTCACATTGATCTCCCTCTCTCTCTCTCTCTCCTTTCCTAAAATCAATTTTTAAAATGTACCCTCGGGTGAGGACTAAGCTCCTGAACCCCCAGATCTTATATGCCTGTGTCCCCGGCAGGGTGGGGTGATAGGCATCACCATCGACTGGAATTGCGACCTGGACTGGCACGTACGACACTGTAAACCCATCTATGACTTCCACGGGCTGTATCAGGACAAAAATCTGTCTCAAGGCTTCAACTTCAGGTGCCTGCCAGGCCCCTCTAGCACCCCTTTCCTTGTGGTCCTGTGGGTTTTTCCATTCCCAGAACCCTCGGGGCCAAGCAAGTGTCTCTGGGAGGGGAGCAGAGGAACCTGGGCAGCTCCTGTTCTCCTGGGGTCGACCAAGCAGGGGGCCAGTAGGGAGTAGGGCTTGGGAGGCCTGAGCCCCTGCCCCTGGTTCTTGGTCCTCCTGAGGCCCAACCAGCCAGGGCTGGCTGGGGAAATTACTGACATCAGCATCCAGGGTGAGGGCTGAGTACAGCATTCCTGAGATGAGGCCTGGGGTGCTGCCTGTGCACCTCCATACAACATTCAGGGGCATGGGGCTGTCCTCATGGACTTGTAGGGGCCCCTGCATCTCTGATGCTCTGGGAATTCCTGCCCTGAGATGCTTCTCTGTCACCTCCCCTGCTCACCCCATTCCCCAAGGTTTGCCAAGCATTTCGTGGAGAATGGGACCAACCGCCGGCACCTCTTTAAAGTGTTTGGGATTCGCTTTGACATCCTCGTGGATGGAAAGGTGAGGGTCAGTGTGAGGGGCAGCACGCTCTCAGGTCCTCAGGTCCTGTGAGTGCCTTGGCGGGGGGGTCTTTGGTTACAGATGACAGGAGATTGGGTGGGCTGCATTCAGCAGTTTTCCTAATGACACATGGGTGGGCTTGAGTGCTGTTGAGGGCAGGCCTTCCAGTCTGTGACCACACCTCCCCCACCGTCTCCCCCAGTCCAGGCAGGCAGAGCCAAGGTCAAAACCCAGGGCTCCCGACCAGCAGCTGCGTCACCTGTAGAGCCAGAACCTGTGCAGCAGGCTGTGGGGCCAGCTGATAGTGGAGGAGATGCCCCCAAGCCCCAGGCCTGGCCTTAGGACTTCTGAGGAAGCCCTTTCCAACTGGGCCACTCCTGACTGTTAACCCATTTCTCCCTGGGGTCCCTCTCCAGGCTGGGAAGTTTGACATCATCCCTACAATGACTACCATCGGCTCTGGGATCGGCATCTTTGGGGTGGTAAGTGCTGGGGACAGGGAGTCACTGTGCTGGGTCAGTCCCTCCTCTTCCATCTCGGTAGCAGCTTTAGGTCTTTTAGCCTATAACTTGGCTATAGTTGTCTTTACCCTCACTGAGCCCACCCCAGCACCCTGGACCCACCCACAGTGTGTCTGAGGGAGCTGAGGCCCAAAGCTGGGGTGGGACAGAGGTGAGGTGGGGTATGGTGGGGCAGTCTCAGTCCCCAGGGGCCTGCAGGGTCTCATCTGGCCACCCCACCCCACCCCGCCCCCACCCCCACCCTGAGGTCTGGAGAGTGTAGGATTCAGCCAGGGCACCACATTCAGTAGGGATTCCCTGCTCCAGCCACCACCTTTCTGCCCCCAGGCCACAGTTCTCTGTGACCTGCTGCTGCTCCACATCCTGCCCAAGAGACACTACTACAAGCAGAAGAAGTTTAAGTACGCGGAGGACATGGGACCACAGGCGGTAGGAGAAGTCCCGGAGTCAGGCCCTTCAGAGGCCTCAGGCCCCTATGCCCATGGTGGGGAGTCTGCTGCTCCCCTCAGGCTGACTTTTCTCCCCCTCATGCTCTCACAGGGTGAGCGTGACCCCGCAGCCACCAGCTCCACCCTGGTCCTGCAGGAGAACATGAAGACGTCCTGACCCATAGCCCCGAGGACTCCTGACTGGACTCAGCTTCAGGCGGGGCCCTGGTGGGGCCCCAGCCAGGGTGGAGGGGTCTCCTCGGCAGCTCTCCCACCCTCTCAGCCAGGCAGAGACCAGTTTGCTGGCAGCTCAGGGTGGACACTGGGAGAGACCTGCGCAATTCTGAACTTTGGCTCCAACCCTGCACCCCGCCAAGGAAGCCTCATGCCAGCCTTGGCCTCTCCTGGTGCGGAGGTGCTGGTGCTGGGCGGGGCCCCTCTCCGGCTCCTGAACTGGAGCTTTGTGTTTGTCCCTCTGGGCCCTCAGCCCTCCCACTGCCTCATGTCTCTAGACCTGTGCTGTCCCATACAACAGCCACCAGCCACGGGTAACTAAATTTAAATTAATCAAAAGGGAAGAAAATAAAGACTTCAGTTCCTCAAACTAGCCATATTTCACTGCTAAGTAAACACATGTGGCTGGGGGCTGCCGTATTAGCCAGCACAGAACATTTCTAGGGCCACAGAAAGTTCTATGGGAAAGCTCTACTTGAGCCCTGTTTCCTACGGGCTTCAGTTTCCGTGGGGAGCTGTCAACCATGCAGGCCCCGGGCCCACACCAGACCTCCTGAACCAGGATCTCCAAGGCGGGCCACATGATTTGCAAGGGCAGCAAACTCCCCAGGCCAGTATTAGGACCTGTGTTTAAAATGTTTCTGATCAGGAATCAGACTTAGCCTGGGCCCGCATCACCTGGCAGGTGCCAGTAGTGAGCAGGTATGTGTTGTGCACACAAGCCACACAGCGTTTGGTGCACACACCCCCATGTGCACACTCACCTGAATGCACATCACCCTTCTATCCACGCGATGTATTTGAACAGCTTGGGCCCTGCCAACACAACCATCTGAACACACCTACACCCGCAAGCACAGACACCTACCTGGTCCATACCATGTCACCTCCATGGAAAGTACTTCCCCCCAAGTCCCCAACTCCCTCTTATTCCCTCCCTCTTCCTTATCCAGCCCCCACAGCCATGAATCCTTACTCAGCTACCTCTGGTCAGGTGGGGGCCTTAGCCAAACCCTGGGCTTACTGCCTGTGGCCCAGCCCCAGCCCCCCAGGCCTGCCCTGCTGTGTCCGAACACAAGGTCTGGGGAAAGCGAGGGGTGGAGTACAATAAAAGGAATGAGGACGAGCCTCCGCCTTCTGCACTTTCTTCTCAGCCTTCTTTGAAACTCAGTGTCCCCATCTGTGAACCGTGGGGTTGAGCTGAGTGATCTTTGAGGTCCTTCTGGATATGTTGGTGGGTGGTGGTGAGCTGACGCTTTGTGTTGAGTCCAGCAGGGTCAGTGCTGGGTCAGTGCGTGGCCCATGGATAGGGCCCATCTATCCATGGGCCACGTCCTGGCATAGCCCTGAACGCTGGAGCTCTTCCCACTCCCCCACGAGCCCCGCCCGTGCTGTAGAAGGCCCGGGCCTGGGACAACAGAGAACCACCCTCAGCAGCGGCCTCGTGAAAGCAGAGGTGAGGAAGGTCTTGGATGAAGACAGGGTGGAAGGGTTCTCAGTTGCCCTGTCATGGGCATGACTGCTGGTCTGGACTTCCGGTCAGGCAGGGTCTCAGGACACCCCCCTCACCATTTTCTGTTTAGGTCAGCGCCGCCCAGCAGCAGTGACAAAATGTTTTCCGTCTGTGCTGCCCGATATCGTGGCCACTAACCACATGTGGCCACTGAGGACTTAAAATGTGGTGGGTGCAACCAAGGGATGGAATGTTTTATTTTATTCACTTTTAATGAATTTAAATCACCACACATGGCTAGTGGCTACCATATTGAACAGCACAGGCTAGCAGGCCCTTGGCCTTCTGCCTTCTTCCCCAGCCAAAAATCATACTTCAGATTTTACCAGACAGAAGCTCCCTCTTATTCCCTCTCTGCCTTATCCAGACCTACCCGCTTTTGCACCTCCTGCCCCCTTTCCTCCTGAATGAGTAGCAGGTTCCCCCTCTGTATCCAACCCTTCTACCCAACCCAGAGACCTCACAGCAGAGTGGCCTCTCCTCTCTCCCACTCCTGTATTTGCTCCCTTCTTGTGCCTCCTCCTGGCCCAATTCCCCTGCAGCTCTGCCTGCTCCCCCTTCCTTGCTACCATTCCAGTAAGACCAGTCTCCACTTCCCTCTGTGTCCCACCCTCTGCAGCTGGCCTCCAGCCCCTGCCCCCACTTCTCCTAGATGTCCTTGCCAAGTTACCAGCAGCATCCTTGTTGCCAAATCCAAGTAGACACTTCAGCTGTATCCTGCTTGGCCTGTCAGCCTCTGACACTGTTGACCAAGCCCTCCCTCGTTGAAAGATTTCCTTCCAGCAGCTTCTGGGACCCACCCTCTCCTGATTTTCCAGCCAACCTGCTGTGCAGGCTGCCACAGGTCACTGTGTGTCCTTGGGCAAATTGCTTAATGCTCCAAGCCTCTTGTGTGAGACAAGGATAATAATAGTCTCTACTCAGGTTGGGATAAGATAAAATACGAAAGGGCCCAGCACAGAGCCTGGTGCACTGTGTTCTATCCTCTTTCATAGTGGAGTCACCTAGTTGCCCCCAGACATCTGTTCTCTCTACAGTGATTCAACCCTAAGTTCTTGGCTGATGTGTGGCTGCCTAGAATGAAAGCTGCATTTCCCAACCTCCTCTTGCAGCTGGGTCTGGTCATGTGACTAAGTTTTAGTTAATGCAATATATGTGAAAATGTCATGTGATGCCTTCTGGGGACTTTCTTTAAAAGACAGCTGGCACAGATCCTTTGCCCTCTTCTTCTTCATTGTTGTCTTCATCCCACTGCCTGGAACCTATGTGTGATGGCTGGAGCTCTTGCCACCATCCTGAAAGACAAGTAATATACCCAGAGGTCACTGGAGCAGTGGGTAGAAAAAGCCACATCTGGAAAGTCTTTGTGGAGTGTAACTGACACATCAGCCCAGGACTGTCTTCCCTGAGGCTCTTACCTAGAATTTCTGTTACCTAAGTCAAAACTGGTACAGAAATCTTTTCCCCTTAAAAGTGAATGTTCTGTCCTTGGCCCCTGCTTTATTTGCTCTGTTATCAAACCCTCTCCCATAGCTCTACTTACAACTGTGGGTCCTTTCTGACAACTTCCAAAACTGTCTCACTAGCCCAGCCCTCTTTCCAGAACTCCAATCCCACACATCCCACCCCCTAATTACTTCACCCAATTAGTTATTCATTTGACAAACATCTTTTGAGTGCTGGATGAATCAGTCACAGTCCCTGCCCTCAAGGAGCTCCCACTCCAGAGGGAAATCGGGCAGATAAACAGAGGCCCATTACAAGGAAGTCCCTAGGAGGGGCTGGTGACCCACACTGGACAGTGAGGAGGTCAGAGGGAAGGGTTTTGGCAGAGGGGTATTGAACCAAGCCCTGACAGGCAGGTGGTCAGGACTGAGGTGATGGATATTGGTGGGCCATGGAAGATTCCTAAGCAAGGCTGACTAGCTGGATTTGTGTTTCCGAAAGATTGCTCTGGCTGCCAGGTGGAGAAAGGCTATTGGGGTGGGGTGGTAAGATCGGATAGGGGTGGGAGGCTAATAAGGAGGCTGCTGCAGCAATCCAGGTGCAAGAAGACGGTGGCCTGAGCTAATGGGGTTCAGAGAGAGAGAAGTGGCTGGATTCCAGGGCTATTTAAGAGGCAGCATGGGTAGGGCTTGGCGACAGACTGGTTGGGGCAGGAAAGGGGTAGCGTATGGTGACTTCCAGGTTTCTGGCTCCAGACTATGACAGAAACACAGGAGGCCAGGTTTGGGGGAGTGTGGGGCTCTGTCTTGGGCAAGTAGTGGGGTGAGGTGCTAGAGGGTTCGCAGGTGGAGAACTTAGCATTGCTGAACCAAGAGTTGGTGAGTTCACCAGGGGAGAGTGGCGGGGAAAGAGACCCCAGAAATAGCTGCTGTGAAGGTCAGGCCGCCCTGAGGGTCCCCTCCATTCCCTCAGCTATGCCATCCTGCAGCCTGATCACGGAGCCCTTCCCTAAATATAAAACCTCTTCCGTCTCCCTTACCCCTACCCAGCATATGGCTAAACTCCTGACTGCCATTCAAGGCCGTTCTCCCGGTCGCTCAACGTGGACCCCGCGCACCATCGCCAATCTCGCCTTATCCCTGAGCTCGTACGCACCGCGCCTCAACCCCCGTCCCCGGGAGGGGCGGTCTTGCGCTTGCCAGGCCGAAACTGAAGGGGACAAAGCATTTTCTGGGGGAAGCACCGTGCCTTCCAGGTTCTGCTAGGAAGCCTAGGCCGCGGCCTGGAGGAATTTGGGGTACTTCAGGCAGCCTGCTTCGGGGCACGGGGGCGTGGAAGGCCTGGCCCCACAACAGTGGGAGACGCCCCTCGGGGGCGCGGGCCCGACGCCACCCCACCCCTCTAGGAGCCGGGCGGGAATTCCGGATTCTGATTGGGCAGTGTCAGGGAGGGAGCTCGGTCTAACCAATCAGCGCGGGCCCGGCGCGGCACCGGGAGGGGGAGCGAGCGCAGCCTGGAGCCTCGGCGCCGGCGGTCTGAGCTAGGCGATCCCCGCCCGGACGCAGCGGGCGGGGTGGTGTGCGCGCCGCGGGAGCGTGCCTGGCCGCCCGGCGGGCCACGGAGACTGTCACACAGCGAAGAGGTAGGGGTCTGCGGGGAGGGCACCTGGATCAGGGAGCGGGAGGGGACAAACGCCTGAGCGTCTACTGGGAGCCTGCAGCGGAGACCAGGACCTCTACAGTTCCAGGAACCTCCCCTTTATATCTGCGGGGCCGGATCTACGCGGTGCCTCTCGGAACCTGCTTCTGTCTGCGCTGGCAGCCGGGACAGTCTTTGCGGGCGCCCCGCCATCTGTGTCCTTCCCCCAGCCCAGGTCCGTGGGACTGCGTTCATATCCGACGCACTACCCACCCCCGCCCTAGCTCTTGGTGAGAGGCTGTGTCTTTGCAGAGTGGGCCCAGACGGGTGCACCCACGTGTAAATCTGCGAGGAGCGCTCCTCCCATACGGCCCTCTTTTGAGTCTTCCTTCAAGAGCTGGGGTAGGGGGCAGGGGCAGAATGGGACTGATGAGGCGTGTGGCGTTAACTGCGCGGTCCTCCCCTGGCTGGGGCCGGGTGGAAGGGGAAGGAGGGGGGCGGCGGAGGCGGGCGCTGCGGCTTCTGGGGCTAGACAGGCACAGAACTGGTAGCTGGGAGGGTGCACACGTGCGCGGGGACCTGTGTGTGTGGTGTTTGGAGGCGGGTGTGCGTGTGTCACGTGGACACCGGAGTGTGGTTCTGTGTGTGTGTGGGTGCATTACCGGGATAGAGTGGTGTGTGAGGGTAAGTCACACGGACACTGGCACGCACCTGTCCTGGAGGAGTGTGTGTGTGTGTGTGTGTGTGTGTGTGTGTTGAGGATACAGGGATGTGTGAAGAAGGTTATGTCCCAGGTTACAGGATTGCACCTGGCCATTGACTTATATACCTGCCAAGTGGGCCCAGGAGGCCAGGAGGAGGGCACAGCTTGTGTCCTTGAAGATCCCAGGGAAGATGCACTAACTTCCCCCACAACCCTCACTCCATTCAGCACATACAGCACCCACTGTGTGCTCCATTGTGGATTGAACACCCACTATGTACCAGGATGTGTCCTAGGCCCATAGACTCTGGTGACACCTACCTCCTCTTTGGTCTCTTACCCTCAATCCCCACAACAGGCAGAGGTATCCTTTTAAAACACATCATTATGAGTCATTCCCTTGCTCAGAATCCTTCTCTGGCTTTTCAGTCTCTTCTGGTTTCTGTCTACAATCCACACCCGCACCCCCCCACCCCCAAAGCCAGTCCCTGAGTCCCAGCCAGGAAATGGTTCTCTGTCAAGCACAGTGTGAACTGTCCTCACCCCCTCTGAAATCCTTACTTAGCTGTCATGAAAGAGCTTAAATGACATCTCCTCCAGGAAGCCATCCTTGAGGCCAGGCACAGTGAATGACAGGGCTTTCTCATCCAGGTGTAACTCTGGTCACTATCAGGACCTCTTCTGCTGATCACCCTCCTCCAGCCACATTGACCTCCTTGCTCTTCCTCAGAGTGAGCACTGTTTCACATCACAGCCTGTATAGGTGCTGGTTCCTCTGCTTGAAATGCCCTTTGCAGATGTCCACACTGCTTGCTCCTTCACTTCCATCAGATTCTGCTCAAATAATGCATCAGAAAGACCTTTCTTACCACACGGTATAAATAGCACCCCCCTAGCCCTTCACTCTTGGTCCCCCTGCATGGTTATCTTTTTCTCCACAGCACATAGCACTTGACATATCATCTGTTAATTACAGGCTTTCTTGTTTGTTTCTTCTTGCCCCCAGTAGAAGTTAAACTGCAAGAAAGCAGGAACTTGATCTTTTTGGTTCACAGCTTTATTTCCCAGCACCCAGCACATGTAGCAGGTGTTCGGTGTGTATTTGTTGCATGAATGAATGACTCTGGATTTGCATCCCAGGAGTCTGTGTCCCTGGCTACTCCCCAGCCTGTGAGCCCCCAGTCTGAGGCTAGGTCTCTTGCCCTTCTCTCTTCCAGATTCCAAGTTCCTGGTCTGGGAGAACTGTGACTGTATTTGCATGATAGAAATGTTCCCTCTAGTAATTGGTTTGGAGGATGGGATGGGGTGTGGTTGGGAGTGAGCCTGGAAGTAGGGAGACCTGTGTGGCAGAAGCAGTTGGAAGGGAAAACAGAGGCCTGAATCTGGACTTTGAGAGGCCGTCCACTTGGTGACCTTCCCCCGGCAGTGGGGAGATCTGGGAGGGCCCCCAGAGGAGATGTCTGAGCTGTCCTCTGGCAACAAAGGAGAGGGAGGTGTGTTCCTGGCAGAAGGCACAGCTTGTACAAAGGCCTGGCAGCAGAACCCAGTCAGGAAGCTGTGAGTAGTGTGGTGTGGCCAGAGTGCAGAGTAAGTACCGGGTGGGGGAGCAAAGCTGGGAGAAAGGGAGAAGATGGGTGATGAGGAGGGCTCCTCAGTTTTTGGCCTGGGAGAACTAGGAGGATGGGGGTGCCATCTTTTCGAAGGGGGCAGAGGAGAAAGAGCAGACTTGGGGGGACATGCTGAGTTAAATCGGGGCCTGTTGAGTCTGAGCTGCCCAGGAACGTGGAGGGGAGGAGACAGCTGGCTGGAAAGAGTTGGACTGGAGGTGCAGACCCGGTGTGGAGATGAGGTGCAGAGGTAGAGGGTGAGTCCCGGAGACCAGCAGCCAAGGTGCCCTGAGGGTGTGCTGAGGGCTGCCGTGCAGAATCAGGCGGAGCCCATCTTTGTGCCTGGGGCCTCCCTAGGGGCAGTGGAAGGGGGTGTCCTGCCAGCAGGCATCCTCAAGCATGACTTGGCACCAGCCTCCCGGGCCTCCCTCAAGGGGACTGAGTCATCCCAAGCAGAGGCGGGAGCCGCCAAGGGCACCCGTTGCCTGGGCCATCCAGACACTTGTCAGGAGCATAAACATGGCTCAGCAATGTCAGGCCACCGTCTGTGTCTGGCACAGATGACTAGACTCACCTCCTTACAGCCTCCCTTCTGCTAGTGCTCTGCTGGTCAGGGCCATGTCCTCTCTGCCTGGATCATAGCTGGTCTCCTGCTCAGCCTGGCCCTGAGGTTCACAGCCGCCTTCCAGAACTCCGAAGGAGGTGTGGCTGGTGTTTGAAGTCCCCCTAGCCAGGGCTGCTTGGACCAGCAGGGATGAGAGCAGGATCTCTGCTCTGTCCTGCTCTGAGGGACCCAGGTGGATGGGACACATCCTAAGGGGAAGGCCTGGCCAGGCAGGATCTGGAGCCAGTCTGTATCCCTTGGGAGCAGCCAGACACTTGGGGATGGGGCCATGGCCTGGGAGGAGGAGCCTGTGGGGAGTAATGTGCCAGGCCTCCCAGAGCCAGGGGGGCAGATTTGGGGTTGTAATTTGTACATTGAGGCTCTGGTTGGTGGCTTCCTGACATGGACACATCCCAGTCCCACATTGCTCAGGCACAGACTGCTTCATTGTCCACAGTTTTATTCACCTTGTAGCCCTGGGAGGTGGCAGGACAGTAGCCACGTATCAGATACACATATGAGGAGACTGAGGCTCCAAGAGACTCTGACTTGTTCAAGACAACATAGCCCCAGACTGTGAAGACAGGACCTGGGTAGCTGTGCCCAGTGAGGAAAGGCCGGAGTCTGACCATGCTCAGCTGTAGGACTAGGCTGAACTCTGGGAGGTGCACCATGCCCAGAGGAGACCTTGCCCTGCCCTGAGCCTGGGTCTCAGCCTGTCCATCTTTCTCTTCCCCCCTGTGGCCCTAGCTATCTGCTGAATCAGTTTCTACAAAGCTTCTACTGGGGCCTAGGCTTCGGGAGGACCTTGAGAGATGTCCCTGGGGGAGCCCACAGAGAGGCCTGGGTTCTGCCCAAGACACACAGCCCAGCCTGGTACAGAAGGCTAGTGGACAGGCGGTGGTGTGGGAGGTTCAAACTCGACTCATGTTCAGGGTCTGAGTGCACACAATCACACTTATATACCCGCATAGATCATGCTGACAGATTTCTGTCTCCACACAGACACAGGGCTCCGGGTGGACCCCCTCCCGCACACACATATGCAGACACACGCCATCACCCCAGGCCCACAGCCCTGCTCGTATACATCCTCTCACGTGCGGACACGTGCCCTCACATGCGCAGCCTTGGGCACCAGGCCCTGTCGCCTGGACCCGAGGCAGGAACCTGGGACCTCCCGCACAGACGTGCTTAGTCACCTGAATTTGATCCAGGCAGGAGGGAGGGTGGAGGGCCTGACGTCAGCCCTCACGGCCGCCCGGTGCCGCCCGCGCATCCATCTGGGCCACAGCGCGTGCCAGGCGATCACAACAACAGCAGCACAACAGCTTGCTTTCCCCGAGTCTCCTCTGGGCGGCCAGTCCTGGGTCCCGCGTGGGCCTCCACTGCTTTACTCCCCACAGCCCCCGGCTCAGGGAGCTGAGCCGGCCAGCAGCCCCACTCCGCAGGTGAGGAAAACCCATTTGCACAGTGCAGTCACCTGCTCACAGGCTTGCAGCCAGGCAGGTTCAGAGCCTAAACCAGGTAACAGGGCCCCAGGCTGGAGCGAGAAGGCTTTGCCCTCACTCTCTGTGTGTCATCCCTGCCCCTTGCTGAGCCTCTTACTCCTCTGAGAAAAGGGGAAGGGAGATAAAGCAGGATGGCCTCGGGTTGGGTTAACAGCCTCAGGAAAATCATGCAAATTTGGTGGGCTAGGGCAGCCTTTGCCCTCTGCGGGTAGTGGCTCTGTCCCTTGGTGCCTGCCCTGAACCACAGGATAGGAGCTCCCAACACTGATTCATTTCCTATTGTGGGCTGGGTCCTTAGGTTTCTTGGGGTGCCTTCTCTGAGTCTGCTTTCCCAGTGTCTAATAGGGACAGGGCTGTAATGATCACTATGGCAACCACTCATTCATTCAACAAATACATATCAAGCTCCTACTCTGTGCCAGTCACTGCTGCAGACACCAATGATCCTACAGAGACAGGCAGCCAAGAGCCCTAATGTATGGAGTTTATATTCTGGTGGGAGAAAGAGGGCCTGCAGAGTGAGGTAGCAACAGGGTCACCTACAAGGAGGAGTGGGACGGGTGGGCCAGGCTTGGAGGGCTCCCTTCAACTTTGGTTTCTTCCCTGCCAGGGGCCTGGTTTCCAAACCCTCCCCAGTACTCTAACCCCATTCACTGCCCCCTTTTACCCACTTCGCGGAGGCCTCTCTGATGTTTCCACCCTGTTCACTCCTTCCTCAGCCCTTTTAGGGAGACGTCCCTGATGTCCCAGCCCTACTCACTCCTCTCTCACCTCCTCCAGGGAGGTCTCCTTGATGCTCTAACCTCACCAACACCTACCCACTCCCGCAACAACAACACACATGCTCCTCTAGGTGCATCCTCCACACTTTTTCCTGTTACCAATCTGGATGCCCTTCCCTCTTCCTTTCTGCATGTCCATATCAGCTCCACCACTTCCAGGCTTCCACTCATTCAATACCTGTGTGCCAGGCATGGGGGTCTGGAACACAGCTGTACCCATGATCCATCTCCAAGCCTTGCTGTGGCCCTGGGGAATCTGGGAAGGGATGGTTTTGAATCCATAGTACAGATGGAGAGACTGAGGCTCAGGGTCAGGAAGGAGCCTGCCTGCCCAGGGTCCCACAGTGGTTTGGCAGGCAGGACCAGAATCCAGGCCAGGCTGTGTAGCGGCCAGTGGACCAGCCAGCCCTGCCTTCTTGACATCTGTCAAAGCAAGATGATGGGGGAATGAGGGGTAAAACAGAGACCTGTGTTCCGTGTTCTCAAAGTCACTGTGTGGGGACAGAGGAAGTTGCCACCATACAGGAAGAGCAGAGGGTCAGGAGTCCACTCACTTCCTATTCTTGAGAAAATGCCTGCTTTGGCCCAAGAAGGGGGAGGGGCATTGAGCTGGGGTGGGGCCAGTGCTTGGCCTGGGGCAGAAATGGAGTCCCAGCCTGTGTGTCAGGATTCACCTTGGGGTCAGAGATCAGCCCAGGACAGTGGGCTGGAGATTGGAGGTTGATGTGGGGTTCAAGTTCTTGGCTTCTGGCCTGGTCTGGGGCTCAGCCCACAGTAGGACCAGGGATGGTGCAAAGCCAGGCCAGGGGAGCAGCTCAACCTGAACAGATGTGGCAAACATTTTGGCCATACAAACTGAAAGGAAAAATAAAGAATGACCTTTTAGTACAGTGAAATCTCTCTTGACAGTCACCAGTTTAGCAGCCCCCTCTTCTAATGGACCCTGTGCTGGGCTGCAGGCTCTGTTGGGGCAGAGAAGGGAGTCATGGGAGACTTGCTCTGTGGCCCTGCAGAGACCTCCCTGGAAGAAGTGAGAGAGGCTGGAGCCTGAGGGAAATCTTCCAGGAAGCAGTGAGAGGGCTAGGGGTAGGGGGCTGGAATGTCAGAGAGGCCTCCCTGGAGGAGGTGTGTGGGCCTGGAGCATCAGGGAGGCCTCTGCATCCCCTGTGCCCAGCTCAGCTTCCAGGCAGCAGCGTTGGAATGCTCTGCTGTCAAGGGGTGGGGCTGGTGAGTCACTGGGCTGTCTGCTGGATCCCGGCCTGAGCTGACCCTAGACTCTGTTTCTCCCTAGGCTGCCAGGCGTCCAGCGTTCTGCCTGTGTTGTCTGTCTGTTCTGACTTCAGAGTCAGATTCTGCCGTTTCTCTGTGAGGTCAGCAAGGTAGACGTGAATGTGCCTGTTTTACAGATGTGAATACTGAGGTCTAGAGGGCTGATGGGCAGTAGAGCCAGATGAGTTCCTGGAATTCCTCCAGTTAGTAGGGACAGGCCCAAGTTTGGATATTGGCAACCCAAGCAGAGGGAATAGTCAGGGCAAAAGCATGGAGGTGGGACTCATAGGGTTGTGACTATAACAGGAGAGGGCCTGGAAACCTGACCTTGTTCCATGGCCAGAATCGAAGCCTCTTCTGCCCTCATTTCTCAGGTTCCCAGTAAGGCTGCACAGAGGAACCGCCTTGACCATGGCAATGGAGGGGGGCCCAGCGGTCTGCTGCCAGGACCCTCGGGCAGAGCTGGTGGAGCGAGTTGCAGCCATCAATGTGGCCCACTTGGAGGAGGCAGATGGCAGCCCAGGGCCTGCCAGGAACGGTGTGGAACCCCCGCCACGGGCCAGAGCTGCCTCTATGATCCCTGGCAGTGCTTCAAGACTCCCCGTAGCCCGGCCCGGCCTCTCAACGAGGAAGTTCTCCCTGCAGGAGCGGCCAGCAGGAAGCTGCCTGGAGGCCCGGGCTGGGCCTTACACCACAGGGCCTTCCAGCCAAATCTCCCCACGGGCCTGGCGGAGGCCCACCATTGAGTCCCACCACGTGGCCATCTCAGACGCAGAGGTTGGTGGGGCAGAGCTATGGGGCATTCATGAGCTTTTTAGTAGTTCTCAGTGAAGACCCATTCTATTCCTATCCCTGCCACATAGCTGTCTAGCCTTTGGTTTGCATAACCCCAGAGTTGAGAAGCTCACTACCTTACAATAAGGCATCTTCCCACCCAGGGGAACTCATTGAGCCAACCTGTGGGTCCTATAAGTCCCACCATTCCTACCCTCACCCAGTCCAGGCTTTGGAAATAAACCCCTCCTTCATCCCCCAAGAAGTCTTAGAGATTCAAAGATAGACATAGTGTCCTCCCACTCCAAGACTTCCCCGGCCTGAACCCCCAGCTCTAATCCTGCCTCCTTGAGTCTGCTCTGGCTCAGAAGCTGCCAGCATGCTTCCAACCTCTGGGCTCCCGCTGGCTCTTAGATCTGAATATAAACCTGAGTACTGAGCAGTTTATAGCCTTCAGAGGCTGAGCTTTTTACGGCCGAGCCAGGGCTCTGGTCTCTTGTCCCTTTTCCTTTTTGTCCATGTGCGCTAGACCTCACATTTGGGTGCTTCTGGAAACACTTGCTTCTGGGCTTCTTACAGACTTGGGTCTCCCAGACTCCAGCATCCAGGCAGGAATCAGTGCAGTTTTCCTTTACTGCTTCTGTGGGAGCAAAGCAGAGCCACGGCTCCCACTTCATGAAGCTTCTGTCACTGTTGGTTGTGTTGGTGCCACCATGTTTCCCTGTCCCAAACTGGAAGGTTGATGAAAGCTGGGGTCTGGGATCAAGGGGCCTGGGGCCAGGACTGATCCCTGAACAGGTTCCTGAGGTGGAAGCAAGACTGCCTCTGGATCAAGCTTTACCTGATGCTTCTCCTCCCCCACCTACCCCCCCCCCCCCCCCGTCCCTGCATAGGACTGTGTGCAACTGAACCAGTACAAGCTGCAGAGCGAGATTGGCAAGGTAGGACTGGGGGCAGGCCAGACACAGTGTGGACTTCGTTTGGGGCTTCGTGTAGGCAGCCTGTCAGGATCCTCTGCTTCGTGCAGTCCCTTCTTCCCCTCTGGGAATATGAAGCAGAGGCAGGAAGGCCCAGGCCTGGGAGGGAGGAAAATTTTCTCTTCCGTAGGAAAGTTGGAAATAACTGGTATGGGCGGGGTGGGTGGGAGATGAATCTTGATTCCTGACTCCCCGGAGTTTTCAATGGAAGACAGGGAGGGGTGGGGGGGGAGGCGCATGGGGCCGCATTGAGCCAGGTGGGGCAGTTACTAGGGCACAGGACCTGCCTCTCTGGCCGCCTGAAATTTATGCCCATTGGTGGTGGGGGTGGAGGGGGGATGCAGCAGGAGGGGCCCAGAGCTGTTCAGGCTCCTACTTTCCTGAACTAGCCCTGGGGGAGGCTGCTCTGTCCAGGCAGGCCTGACCAGTGCCTATTCGCAGGGTGCCTACGGAGTGGTGAGGCTGGCCTATAACGAAAGTGAAGACAGGCACTATGTGAGTCTGGGGAGAGGAGGGAGGTATTGCCCAAGCTGGGCCCTAGGACCCTGGGGGATGGGGATGGGCAGAAGCTGTGCTGGCAAGACAGAAGGCAGCACTGCCTCCTAAGGGAGTGAGGTCCCTGTCCCTGGGGGTATGAAAAGGAAGTGAGCTTCTTGACCCTAGGAATATGCAATTGGAGACTGATACCTCTGAGGGAGGAGCTCCAAAAAGGCTTTTTGAAGAATAAGGATAAGGCCTAGACTCAGAAGTGGCTGCCTCCTCACCCAGCTTAACCACATCCAGCCATCCTCTTAGTGCCCATGGAGAGGCCTACCCAGGTTCCCTTTCTGGACTCAGTGCACATGTATCCAGCCTGTTCTAGCCCCTGGCTGCACACAAGTGACATTTCTGCCCCTCCCTCCTCAGGCAATGAAAGTTCTTTCCAAAAAGAAGTTACTGAAGCAGTATGGCTTTCCACGTAGGTATCTACTGGGTCCTGTGCTTGGGGGCCCCCAGCCAGGGGGCAGAGGAGGAGGAAACCTCAGTCCCTAGGTAGCCTTTGTTAGGGCTGGGGGTGGGCGAGACAACTTGAGCAGAGGCCTGGTGCTGGGCAGGTGCGTGGTGGGCTGGGGACAAGACCATGGTCTTGCGAGGTTTTTGCTTGAGGATGGTTGCAGGTCTACAGTGAAGCCCAGGCTCCTTCAACAGGGGCTTGACTCCCCTTCCTGGCCATAGGTCGCCCTCCCCCAAGAGGGTCCCAGGCTGCCCCTGGAGGACCAGGCAAGCAGCTGCTGCCTCTGGAACGGGTGTACCAGGAGATCGCCATCCTGAAGAAGCTGGACCATGTGAATGTGGTCAAGCTGATCGAGGTAGGAGGTGGTGGTGAGTGGGTGTGTGCCTGCGCCCACGTCCTGTAGACCAGCGGTCCCCGACCTTTTGGGCACCAGGGACTGGTTTCCTGGAAAACACATTTTCCACAGACAGGGTGGGGGGTGGTTTTGGGATGATTCGAGTGCATTACATTCAAGCTCACCCCCTGCTGTGTGTGCACCTGGTTCCTAACAGGCCTGGCCTGGTAGTGGTCCGTGACCTGGAGGTTGGGGACCCCTGCTGTAGGGCACAGACCCAGGGATCCTACCGAGAGCAGATGTGGCTGAGACCTCCAAGGACACAGCCGGACTTGGGACAGAGACTGCAGAGGGGTTTTAGGGGTCAGTTCAAGCTGCTCTGGGATGTTTTCAAGGTCTCGCTGAGGGTGAGCATCAGTGATTTCTGAGGCCTCATCTGTCTGTGCCTGTGTAGTTCCTGCTCCATTGTCCTGGGTAGCTGCAAAGTATACCGGGGGTCCTGGGGCAGGTGAGGACAAGGAGACCTGGCACTCTCACCCCACGTGAGAGGCCTCCTCAAGTCCTACCCCGTATCTGCTCCCTCTGACCAGGTCCTGGATGACCCAGCTGAGGACAATCTCTACTTGGGTGAGTGACGCAGCTCATTCCCAATGCAGCTTACCTGGGGTCAGTCCAAGGGCTCCTTGGGGATACACATGGCCTTCAGGGGGGCAGGGAGGAGATACATGTCCTCTAGCCCTGGATTCCCTTGCCCAGCCCTCTGAACCAGGCTCAGAATAGCCAGTTAGAATCAACAGGTGTTTCCAAGCCCCCACTCTGCTGACCAGAGAGACAGTAGGTCAGGTAGATACAGGAAGCAGGCTTCATGAAGGGGGGTCCCAGACCCTGCCTAATAGCTCTGTGCCTCAGTTTCCTCACCTGTAAAATGGGGATAATAATGGCATCTACCCCATAGGGTTGATGTGAAGAGTAAATGAGCTATATATGCAAGACGTATCAGCTATTAATACTAATGCTGTTAACTTAAGCTCACAGTGCCTGGTTCACAGCTGGGCTTCAGAGGCCCTCAGGAAATGGGGCAGAAGAAATGAACACTTGCTTACAGATTAAAGGTCAAGGCTGTAGTCTCCACTCCCTCTTCTACCTGCCTGTCTCTTATGACCTTTAGAGAAATTTCTGCCCCTCCTCTGAGCCTCACTTGCCCCACCTCTGCTGCATGAAAGGTGTTCATGCTAAGTCAGATGAGGCAGGTCCCTAGTAGACCCCACTCTTATCCATTTACCTCTGCTGATACCGTGGGACCCCTCAAGTATGGCTGCATGCCTGCCCCCTCTCCCACCCTCCAGGAGAGGGAGGGGCCCTGGCGTCACCTGCTCTGCCCACCTGGCTACACCTTACCTTCTTTTCTTTTCTTTCAGTGTTTGACCTCCTGAGAAAGGGGTGAGTTCCCCATTCCAATCAGGCAGGTCAGGTCTCATCCAGACCTTGCTTTCCTTCCTGTGACCCGAGTCCTAGGGCTGGCTGCTCTAGGAGAAAAAAAAAGAGGCCCAGACCTTGCCCTGGAGAAGCTGTGGTCTGGGGGGAAATGAGAGACCAAGAGGACAATTCTTTGCAGGCTGGTGGAGATCAGTGGGGCAGGAGTGGTCAGGGAGGCCTCTGGAAGAGGGGTGGGTTTTGAACCAGGCCTTGAAGAACTGGAAGGAAGATTTTGGTGGAAGAGAGGGAGAAGAAAGGATTGTTTCTCGAGCCAAAGTGTAGAGAAGGGACTCGACTCTTACTTGTATTCAAATTATGAAGAGTTCTTGCAGCTTCACAGGTTTGTGAGTCGGCTGGGTGGTACTCCGTTCACTCCCACTTACAAGAGGGGAAGCGGAGGTTCAGAGGGGAGAAGAGGCTTGCCCAGCATCACCCGGCAAGTCCCTGACGAGACCCAGGGTTCTAACCCACGTCTGCCTTACTCAGCCTCCGCAGGGCACTGGCAAAGCAGCAGACATGGAACAGTGGGCATAGGCTGGGGTGGACCGGGGACCCTAACAGCCGAGGCCATGAATGCTGGCGTTGGCTTGTGTCTCTGCTGAGGGACCTGCGTGGAGAGGGGGCCAGCAGTGGTGTCCCTTTAAGACTCAGGGGCTTTCCAATGTTTTTGACCTCCATTCTAAGGGAGAAATATGAGTTTCACATGGCCATCTATACCTGTAACTTAAACCAAAGTTTTACACAACAGCACACATCCTTATTATATATGATGTACTCTGCCTTGGTTTACTTCATTAGGGAAAATCAAGGTCAGGGTTCAGCCTGGGGCAGTCACCCACTATGCTGATTTTGTGACCCTGCACTGGGTCTGGGCCGACAATTTGAAAAACATTGCTCTATGTAGCATCTTTTTAAAAGATTTTATTTATTTATTTTTAGAGAGGGAAGGGAGGGAGAAAGAGAGAGAGAGAGAGAGAAACATCAATATGCGGTTTCTGGGGGTCATGGCCTGCAACCCAGGCATGTACCCTGATTGGGAATCGAACCTGCGGCACTTTGGTTCGCAGCCTGCGCTCCATCCACTGAGCTACGCCGGCCAGGGCTCTATGTAGCATCTTTACAACTGATTCATTTTAGGTAATTAAGTACTTAGGAGAAGGAATATCAAGCCAAGCAGAAATTAAGATAAAGCTAATTTGAAATTGTAGTGGTTGTGATAGGATATTTGTGTCTAGGTGTATTTTTAAGTTTTCATTACATATGGGAGGGAAAAGCTAGTGTCTTGGGTTCTGGGGATCCCTTTGAACATAGAAGGCTCCCAGGAAGTCCCCAGTGGCCTGAAGGTCTCAGCCTCTGTTCCCCTTTACCTGCTACCTGCCTTTATTCAGTCCCATTCAGTGGAACACACTTCTCCCCTCCCTCCATAGGCCGGTCATGGAGGTGCCCTGTGACGAGCCCTTCCCAGAAGAACAAGCTCGCCTCTACCTGAGGGACATCATCCTGGGCCTTGAGTACCGTGAGTGAGGGGCTGCCTCCTCCTGGGACTGGAGACAGGGGCTGGGGCGGGGCGGGGGGTGGGGGTGGGGGGGCGGCGGTGGGGGGGGCGGGGGGGAGACACACGACGGGGCGGAGCCCAGGCTCAGAAGGTTCTGAGCGGTAGTTGTCAGTCAGCGCTGATCTGCCAATCAGCTTCAGTTGGGGGCGGGGTCCTGGACCTGCGGCCAGATGTGCTCTCTGCTGAGTTCCTAGAGTAGCTTAGCCACTGTACAGGGCTTCGAGAGATGTGGGAAGGAAGAGACTTATGTCCAGCTGCTCCAGAGTCTCTCCTGTCCTGGGGCCTGTGCGTGGTGGCTGCGTAGATTTACTTCGAGGGTCCCAAAGGGGACGAGAGCTCAGGAGGCAAGCTGTTAGCTTAGTCTCTATCTCTGGATTTCCTTTATTCACTCATTTATTCATTTTATTCATTCACTTATGAGTACCTACTAAGTGATGGCTGGGGGCAGATAAGGACCCAGATGTGACCTCGCGAGTCTCACAGCCTAGTGGAAGGGGCAGCAGTCTGAGCAGGCAGGTGGTGCAGTGCGATGCCTGCCGGAGGTGGGAAGTCACCGTGGCTGCCAGAGCACTGAGGGGCGGAGGGAGGGTCCCTGGAGGATGCCACTTGTGACCAGGGTCCTGAAGCATGGGTAGGAGTTCATTGGCCGGGCTTGAGGGGTGGGTGGGAGAAAGTAGAGAGGCTGAGAGAACTGCCTGGAGGAGGCACAGAGGGGAGGGGCACGTACTATTTCAGAATGGGGAGAGAAGTTTAGTCTGGCTGAGGCGCCAGGGTGGGAGGGTGGTGGGAAAGGATGCTGTTCAGGCCACACCTGGAGGGCTGGGAATGCCTCCACAGAGGACGCTCATGTCAGCGTTGTGAGCTCCTGGGGGCTTTGAGCCAGGGAGAGGTGTGATAGGATTTGCACCTCAGAAAGCTCTGTCTCGCAGCTGTGTGGTGGCTGGATAAAGGGCCGGGTGGTTAGGGAGGAGGCTGTTTGGACAGCCAAGTGACAGATGGTGAGTCCTGGATTAGGACAGTGGCAGTGGGGAGGAGACATGAAGGAGGTGGGGTGGCCAGCACTAGTCATGGGGAGGGCCCCCAGACACTGAGGCCTCTGGCCTGGTTTGGGGAGCAGGAGTGGGACCCATCTCTCCAAAAGCCTAGCTTGCCCTGGCTGGTGTGGCTCAGCAGACTGAGTGCTGGTCTGCAAACCAAAGGGTCTCTGGTTCGATTTCCAGTCAGGTCGTGTGCCTGGGTTGTGGGCCAGGTCCCTAGTTGGGGGGTGTGTGAGAGGCAACCACACATTGATGTTTCTCTCCCTCTCTTTCTCCCTCCCTTCCCCTCTCTCTAAAGATAAATAAATAGAATCTTTAAACAATTTTTTAAAAAATCTTAGCTTGGTTTGTCAGGAGCACATTCCTGCCCTGGGGGAAGAGGGTGGGGACCCAGGTAGGTGGCAGAAGCCAGCACCGTCTCTGTCTCTTTTGAGCTGCTCCAGTGCCCTCAGATTAATATTCTCTTTGTCTATGTGGGGAAACTGAGGCATAAAGAGAAGAAAGCTTTGCAGAAAGTCCCTAGCAAGGGCCTTGAGGTACAGGAAGGGGGTACTCTACCCTCGGTGTGGGCGGTGGTGGGCACTGCCCTGTGCCAGCTTGGCCTCCACCCCCTTCCTATCCTGGGACTTTCTTTTCATTTGAGGGTCTATCTCCCATCCTCCATCCCCCCCACCAAAAAAAAAATACCACCCCCAAACAAAAAAACAGGCTAACCTCATCTGACTTTTGGGTAAAGCCTCATCAATACCCAGCTCACTGAGAGGGACTGATGAGCACCAGGGGCTGGACAGGTGGGTGAATGGAGGCACTGGGAGCTGAGCCCCTGCCTCGTGATTCTGACCCCTTGAAGGGGGAATCAGGGCAGTCCGGGGAAGGCTCCAGCCCGAGAGTCCAGGCCTGGTTCTTACAGATGGGGACAGTGCAGTGGCGCAGGTGTGAGGCGGAGTTGGACCTCAGAGGCTGGGTCCGTAGGGCTGGCTGATGAACTGGGTGGGTGTGGGGTCGGAGAGACTGAGCCGGAAGACTAGTGGAGGAGCAGGGGTCTCCGGTCTTGTTTGTTTGGTGGTGGCAGTGGAGGGGACTACTGACTGAGAAGTCGAGTTCTGAATTAGCCGTGTTCTTAGGAAATACTGAGCTGTATGTTGAAATGTCTACTGGATACCCATGTAGGTAAAGAGCCTGGAGTTCAGGGGGGAGGCTGGGATTGGAGATAAGACTGCTTTCCATGGTCAAGTACACAGCCCTTGAAACTCTGCTCTGATAGGTGTGTGTGTCAAATCCCTTGAGGTTCATTTGCAGTCACCCTAGGACTATCAGTTTTGTTGTTGTTATTAACACTCATTCCCTTGGCCCCAGCCTTCCTCTCCTCCTCCCCTCCCCTCTCCCGCTTCCCTTTCCATCTTTCCTCCTCTCCAACATCCTGGGGTCTGTCGGTCCAGGGGAAAGTATTTGCTGAGGGCGCAACCTCTAGTGGATGGCAGTGGGGTGGGGTCAGCACCTTCTCTCAGCCTGAGCTGCCCATGTCTTCCCAGCAGTGCTGAGCCCAGCAAGCAGGCTGAGCTCCCAGCCTGCTGGAGAAGGCTGGCCCTTGCCCAGCCATGTCCATCCCAGCAGTCCCAAGGCCTGGGATGCCCTCCTGCTCTGAATCTCCTTCAGCCCACCCTGAGTCCAAGGAGCAGCAGTGTCTGACCAGGCTGGGTGGGGGCGGGCCTGGATGATGGGAGTTGATGGGCTTTGGGCCTGCAGACCGCAGCCTTGTGGGAGAGCCGGAGAAGGCCTGTGAAGACCTTCCCTCCCACAGGTTTTTCTGACCTGCCCCCTCAGCAACAGGTGCCTTGACTGCTGTCGAGAGAGCGCTGGACTTGGAGTCCAAAGGCTCCCCAGAGTCCAGCCCTGGCTCAGCTGCTGACCTCCTGGGCTGACCTCTCAGCCTTCACTGCAGAATGAGCGGAGGGCTCTGAAGTCCCCTCCCAAGGTCCTCATGTGAGGAGTGTGTGTGGGCTCCTTCCCAGCTGCGGCTCGAGACAGGCTCCCCAGCAGGCGGGGACCCGGCTGCAGCCCCCCGGCCGATGCTGTAGCCAGCCGCTCTCTCTGCAGTGCACTATCAGAAGATCATCCACAGGGACATCAAGCCATCCAACCTGCTCCTGGGGGACGATGGCCACGTGAAGATTGCCGACTTCGGCGTCAGCAACCAGTTTGAGGGGAACGACGCCAGGCTGTCCAGCACAGCCGGGACCCCGGCGTTCATGGCCCCTGAGGCCATTTCTGATTCCGGCCAGAGCTTCAGTGGAAAGGTGGCTTCCAGAACCTGAGCTGGGTTGGGGTTCAGGTGAAGGGGTGGATATCGTACAGCGAGGCCCGATTTCCAACTTGGGGGTGCCAGGTCTTTGTGCCTTGGGGGTGAACACCAAACACAGTACCCTCCTGCATGTTTCCCTCTTCCTAGAGTCTGACAAACACCCAGCTTTGGTCTCCTCTCACGTCCCAGCAGAACGTCCCCAAGTTTCCTCTGTAGGTACTTCCACCAGCTGCTCTGTGCTGAGTTCTGGACTGGGCTGGGAAACAGAGAAAGCCCAGTCAGGCCAGTTCTCTGCCCTCCTGGACCTGGCAGGAAGGGCAGGAGGGCTCATGTTTGGGAGTTGGAGGCTCCCCTCAGACGTCCTGAACATGGAGGGCTGGAACTAGGCTTGGAAGAGTGGGGAGGATTTGAGGAGGAGGTGGGGCCCAGAGAGCATGTAAGAGAACGTTGGGGCACAGGGCTGGGGCACGGTGGGGCTCGGGCAGGATTAGGGCCTGGAAGTTTGGGCTTTCTCCTCAGTGACAGAGGCAGTGGGGACAGCCTCCTTGCAGGGGGCTGCAGTCCCATGTGCCCCCCGGCACATGGCTGTTCTCGCCTGTGGGACACTGGCTGCCCCCCTGCCCCCTGCCAAGGAGGCAGTGCTGGAGAGGCATCTGGATGTGCGTGTGGCGTGGAGCTCAAGAGAGAGGTCAGGAGTGTCAATAGAGTTTTTTTTAAAACTTTTAATTTTGACATAACTCCAAATTTACTAAAAAAGTTGCAAGAATAATACTAAAAAGCTTCCCATATATCTTTTTACCCAAACCCACCAATTATCGGCATTTTGGCCTGTTTGCCTTTCTCCATCTCTCCGTACGTGCATGTGTGTGCGCATGTGACACTTTTCTAACCATTCGAGAGTTGCTGGGGCCGTCACCCCCCTGGGCCAGTAAATGCTCCAGAGAATAGTTCTGAGAACATGGGCATTGTCTTACATAGCCCCAGGACAACGCTCAGAATCAGGACATTTGTCGTTGATAAAAGGCTGCTCTCTGATCAGCCTTACTCAGATCTCGCCAGTTGTCCCACTGCTGCCCTTGCAGCCTTGTCTTTCTCTGGGCCAAGGTCGGATCCAGAGTCCAGCACGTAATTCACTTGTCACATCCCTGGTGTCCTTTAATCTGGAAGACTTCCTCGGCGTCTCTCTCTTTCCTGACCTTAACATTTTGAAGAGAACAGGCCTGTTATTTTGTAGAGTGATGTCAGTTGTGTTTGGTGTTCCCTGATTGGACTCAGATGAGGCATCTGTGGCAAAAATGTGTAGGTAGAGAGTTGAGAATCACTTGCATAAGAGAGAAAGCAGCTACCAGGAGAGGGGGTGGAGTTCCAGGAGGGAAAATAGAGAGAGAGCACCTGTTAGAAGTGGAGCATGGAGCGTCTGGGAGGAGTCACAGAGGCAGCCAAGGGCGAGGGCCTTGGCATGGGCAGGGTCAGAAAGAAGGCGCATGCTGGCTTCTCCAGAGGATCATCAGGATAAGGGACGATGAGCTGGTCTGGCGAGGATACATTTCATACAAACCATCATTTCAGGGGTGCATCTGTGTGGTGGGCACAGCAAATGTGACCCTGTAGGACCAGGGGTGTCCAACCTAAGGCCCTTGGGCTGCATGTGGCCCAGGACGGCTATGAACGTGGCCCAACACAAAACCATAAATTTACTTAAAACCTTTTTTTTTTCTCATCAGTTTTTGTTACTGTTTGTGTATTTTCTGTGTGGCCCAAGACAACTCCTCTTTTTCCAGTGTGGCCCAGAGATGCCAAAAGGTCGGACACCCCAGCTAGAGGAAGGAAGTTTTGCACCTGTTGAGTTGAAAATGTCTCTGGTTTGGGCCTGCTCCAAAGGAACTTGGAGCCCCTGAAGGGCAAGGGCCCTGTTCCTGTCAACCCTGTGTCCCAGGGCTCAGCACAGGGCCAGCACAGAGTGGGGGCCTGGAAGTGTTTGCTGAGTGAATGCACGGCTGAGGAAGGAGGTTCCCCTCCCCACCCTCCCCCACACCCACGGGCACTGGCTAGGCAAGGAGTGGTGGTTCATTCGGGGGGGACTGATGCGAGCTATCTCCTTTTTAGGCCTTGGACGTGTGGGCCACTGGGGTCACGCTGTACTGCTTTGTCTATGGGAAGGTGAGTCCTGGGCGGGTGGGACCCTGGGCTGGACCCAGCTGAACCAGGAGGGATGACAGGAGCAGGCCTTTCCTTTGTGTTCTAAAGTGAGGGGCACTGAAAGGGGCCATTTGCACAGAGAAGACCAAGAGAAAAGAGGCTTTTTCTGGTTTTCTCTTATTCCCTTGGGAGGGGATTCATGTGCAGGAGTCCTGGGCCAGCAGCCCTCATACCGGTAGGTGGAGGTGGTGGCATCACCCCCTCCTAGCTAGAGTGCCCCCTCTCCTTCTGTCCCTCGATGCCATCCATTCATTCCCTCACACATTCAGTCATTCATCCATTTAACAAATGTGTTTTGACTCCTGCTCTGGGTCAGGCTGGGCCTCGGGGACACCCCACACTGACTTGGCCGAGACCCCTGTCCTCAGGGGCTCCTACTCTAGGGATGCACTGAGGAGCAGGAGGGAGCCTCAGTGTACATGCGCCCAAATTCCAGGCCCTAGAAGTGGAGGCCTCTCTGCAGGTGGCTCATGGTCCCCTCAGGGATTTCTTTGTTCGGTCAGTGTTGGTTCAGCACCTACAGTGAACCAGGCCCCTAACAAGTTTGATGAGGTTCCTCCCCACTAATGGGGTCCCAGAGCTGCCCCCCAGCCCCAGAGAGATGGGGCCTGTCTCCAGCACGAGTTAAGGCCCTGGGCCCACATCCTTTGTCTGCTTCCTTACCCTCAGTGCCCATTTATCGACGATTACATCCTGGCGCTGCACAGGAAGATCAAGAACGAGGACGTGGTGTTTCCCGAGGAGTGAGTTGTCCACCACGGGGCTCCTACCCACCCCCAGGGAGGCATGCCTTTAGCAGAGCTCTTTCCCTTTGAGTCCCACCTCTGCCTCCAGGTCTGGAGGTGGGGTTGCTGTTCCCTGGGAGGGGCCACTGAGCAGACAGAGGGTAAGACTGTGGAGCAGGGTCTCTGAGACACCTGGGTGGATGGTCTCCTTGTGCAGACGGAGCTCTGAGGCTGGGAGTCGGGCACACACTCACACTGCTCCTTCACTGAAGGCCTGCAGGGGGGCAGTGGCATCATCCCCCTGCAGACCTGGGGCCCGGAGGAGCCTCTGCTCCCCCACAAGGGGTGGGCAGGGGCTTCGAGATGCCAGTGTGCTGCCCCACTTCACAGATGGAGAAGTGGAGTCTCTGGAGGATCTGAGAGGGTCTGAGATTTGAAGCCAGTCCCTTCTTCTTCCCTTCCTTGGAGACAGGGGTCTCTGAGCCCAGAGGGGCAGGGCAGAGAGGCCTTCCTGCTCGTCCACGGCTCTTCTGACAGTGACGTTGGCTTCCATGGCTCCTCATTTTCCAGGGCCCTTCTGCCGTTCACTCAGAATGCCCAAGGCAGGTCACAAACTGACCTGGGAGCTATCCTCAATGACCCCTGCTCCCCGTGCCCACTTCCTCTGTGCCCACTTCCTGTCTGGTCCCCAAGCCCTCTCAGGTCTGCCTCTTATATGTCTCTTGGCTGCATCGCCACCTGGGCACCTGCCTAGTTCAGGCCTCAGCCTCGTCCAGCCACCGTCTCTGTGCTCGCCCTGCTGTCAGCCTGTATTCAGTCCAGCACCACAGTCAGGCCGGGCTGACCCTGAAAAGCACGATGAATCTCACCTTATCTTCTGCTTTAAGTGTTTATAAGCCCTCCCAAAGGCCTCAGGAGGAGGCCGTGTCCTGCCCCTGGCATTCAGGACCTCTGCTTCTGCTACCATGTTGCTTCCTTGCCCTGCAGTGCCTGCCAGCTTGGTGCCCACCCCTTCCTGCAATGGCCTGTCTCCCAGGCCTTTCTTCCCTCAGGACCCCTGCCCAGGCCTGTCTTTCTCCCAGCCCAGGTGTTTTGAAAGGGATTCAGTATCTAGGATGGCAGAGGGAACCAAGGCCTGTGGTCCCGAGAGTGGGTTTCTTCTCTGCTGGCTTGGAGGGACAGGCTCCCCAAGAATGTTGGTAGTGAAGAAGCTTGGAGCTTGGGCAGAGACAGTCCAAGTAGATGTGGGACTGAGAGTTGTGGTCCCCTCCCCGTGGTCTCTCCTCCCCGCCCTCGCCCCTCTGGGCAGCAGTGTGCGAACGTGCCCGCCTCTCTGGGCCTCGGACTCCTTGGTCAAGTGAGAATCTTTCCTGGCCACCTCCCAGGTGGAGGAGTGGATAAGATGGTGTGTGGCAGGTGTCCTGGTGTTCCATAAAGTGACTCTTTTCATGTTATCCTCAGCATCTCTGCCACACAGCGGGGTGTCTGGTACCCCTAGAGCTCTGTTCGTGTTTGTGGCCTCCGCCTCCTGAGGGAGATTGCCTTACTTCCTTCTCAAGGAAGAAGGATATCCACATACTTATTCTGAAATTGTCCTTCTACCCTGGCACGCTGGGGGTGTCCTGCCTGCTGTCTGTGATGAGGGCTGGGTGTATCTCTGCCCTGGGGTGCCAATCAAGGGATCCCGGGAGCAGGGTGGGGAGGGAGGGGTTTGAAGGAAAGAATCATCATCAACCATCTCCCCTTCATCTCCGCCCTTCCTCTTTAGGCCAGAGGTCAGCGAGGAGCTCAAGGACCTAATCCTGAAGATGCTAGACAAGAATCCAGAAACGAGAATCGGGGTGCCAGACATTAAGGTGGGGGAACCATAGGTCTTAGGCTGGGACGCAGCAAACAGGCCTCAGTTTCTAGCCCTACCCCAGGGCATGCGTGCCTTGGGTTTGAGGCTATTGCTGGTAGAATGCCTGTGGGCCTTTGCTCATGGGGTGTCTGTCTGCCTGTGGCCCTGACCTTTCTCTGCCCTCCCGACTTCACAGTTGCACCCCTGGGTGACCAAGAATGGGGAAGAGCCCCTTCCCTCAGAGGAGGAGCACTGTAGCATGGTGGAGGTGACCGAGGAGGAGGTGAAGAACTCGGTCAAGCTCATCCCCAGCTGGACCACGGTGGTAAGAGGGGGAGGGGCCTTCTTGTCCTAGGAGGGCCTGAGGAGGGTGTGGCCACTGCCTGAGACTTGATCTGTGCTGGGCCCTGTGTTTAGGAGGCCACCTGGGCAGCCAGCCTCAGTGTCAGGCCACTGAAGGAGGCCTACCGTTCTGCTGCAGGCTTGGTCAGGAGAGTGAATGAATTTTTAAGAAAGATTGTATTTATCTGTAGAGAGAGGGAAGGGAAGGAGAAAGAGAGGGAGAGAAACATCAATATGTGGTTGCCTCTTGTGTGCCCCCTACTGGGCACCTGGCACACAACCCAGGCATGCACCCTGACTGGGAATCGAACTGGCGACCCTTTGGTTTACAGGCCGGCACTCAATTCACTGAGCCACACCAGGCAGGGTGAGAATGAATGATTTTAAGAAACAGACTGCCCTTGTTAAGTGCTAGCATTCACCATGACTAGAAGAAGCATTTCCTTCTCCCCTTCTTCCTCAGCCAGCCTGCCTGCCTTCCTTCCTTCCTAACCTTTATTGCACTGCTGTTTTCCAGATACTGTATTAGGTGCCAAGGCCAAGAAAGCCTTTGAATTGGAGAAGTGGCCCCAGGGTCCCCCGATGTTAGTTAGGCACCACATGTATGCCCATCTCCTTCTCCTCGCTTGTAGTTTTTCTCATCTTCCTCTGGACATCTTCCGTGTTGACAGTTGGAAGTTTCTAATGCAGCCCTGATGGCCATTTGGGGGTTTTGGAAAACTAAGAGCCATGGTCTGCCCTCCACTGTGGCACCACAGCAAGTCCAGGGGAACACAGGGTCAGGAGAGGGCTTGGCTGCACTGCGGGTGGGTCAGCCTGCCGGGTCTGCGCCTGGCTGGGCCATCTGGCTACAGTCCTGTGCTCTGTAGCGCTCCCAGGCTCCATGGGTTTCCTGGAGCCAATCAGCTCCCACAGGGTCCCTATGGCCACTTCCCTGCTCTTAGCCACGTCCCCCCTCTCCTAAAGCACTGAAGTAGCCTCCCAAATTGTCCCCTGGCCTCCACCCTCACCTTCACCCTTAGCCAGGGTGGTCCTGGTGACCTGACCATGCCACGTCTCAGCTCAGACCCTGCTCTCTCAGGCTTCCATGTCACTTAGAGTAAGAGCCACAGCCTGGCTGTCCTGCCCACCTCATATTCTCCAATGACCTCGGCTCCAACCACATGCAATGTAAGCGACTGCCTACAAAGTCCAGGGCCTTTGAACGTCTGTTCCCCGCCTGGGCGCTCCTGCCCAGCCATCCACAGGGCTTGCCTCCTCACTCCCTTCAGATCTTTACTCCACAGTCACCTTCTCAGTGAGAGGCGAACCTTTTCTGGTGCCTTACCTAAAATTCTAGCCTCCTCTTGGTCATACCTTATCCCCATCCTTGTTTTATTGTTTTCTCCTTAGCCCTTAGCTTCAACTACCATATGTTGTACTGATATGTCTTATATTCGGCCTGTCCCACCAATCAGAATATAAGTTTTGTGAGGGCAAGAACTTTTGCCTCAGCAGTATCACCAGTGCTTAGAATAGTGTCTGGCATATGGTAGGCACTCAATAAATACCATATGCCAATCAATTCGTTGATTGACAGACTGAATGAATGAACGAACGAGTGAGTGCACCCCTGATGCTGGCATCCGTGTGTGAGTTGGTGTGCGTGTGGGCAGGGGCATGGAACTGTCCTTGTTGCAGGAGGAGGGACAAAGTCAGAGAGCCAGGGCACAGCAGCCCCTCTTGGTGTGTTCCTCGGGCCACCGTGCAGCTTCCTCTGCACTGCCTGGCACAGCCCACCTCTCCAAAGTCTTCCAGCCTCAGCTACAAGGCATTTCCCATGCCCTCAGGATAAAGCCCCCACTTTCAGCCTGGCATCCCCAACCCCTCATTTTCTCCTCTGCCCTCTTGGCCTCCCATGTACCAGTTGTACTGGGTTCCTCCCCATTCCCAGAATTCACCCCCAACCATCACCTTCCATGGTCCTGTCATTTTCTCTGCTGGAATACTCTTCCTTTCTCTGCCAGTTAGCCTCAGCCCTGGCCTGGGGCTCTGTTGGTTGGAGCATCGTCCCATACACCAAAAGGTCACGTGTTTGATTCCTAGTCAGGGCATGTATGGGAGGCAACTGATTGATGTCTCTGTCTGTCTATCTCTCTGTCCTTCTCTCCCCTCCTCTCTCTAAAATCAAAAAACATATCCTCAGGTGAGGATTAAAAGCTAATAATAATTAGAAAAAAGAAAGAGAACCCACTGAACAGCTGCCCCCAGGGAGTCAGAGCAGAGGCTGCCAGTGTGTTTGGGAGCCTGGGGGCCATGTTCCTTGTGCTGACTGATATGTCCTCCCTAGATCCTGGTTAAGTCTATGCTGAGAAAGCGTTCTTTTGGGAACCCCTTTGAGCCCCAAGCACGGAAGGAAGAGCGATCCATGTCTGCTCCAGGAAATTTACTGTTGTAAGTGCTGGTGGCTGAGAGCTGCAGGGTGCTCCCCAGGGTGGGGTAGGGGTGGTGGCACAGCCCCCTCCCTGTCATTGGGCTGTGCAGGCTAAGCCCGGAGCCTGGGGACTCAGCTCAGCTGGGTCTCAGAGCGGCGTCCCATCTACATCTCCTCCCTCAGCCTGTGGCAGGCTAGCAGAGGTTTGCAGTGAGGCCTCATGGCTGCTCCTCGTGGAAGGATGGCTCAGCTTGGAGGGAAGGTGCTTCTGCTGACTCTTCCCTGCGTGGGGCAGTGCTAGCTGTTTTCCTGAGTGGCCCATGCTACCTCCATCCATTGCTGAGCCTGATCAGTGCCTTGCAAACACTTGCTCAGCAAGTAAGCATGGACAGGACAGCCAAATGGGCCAGGGAAGAGGAACCCGCATTTGCTGAAGGCTCCCTACTGTGAACAGGCATGTGCGCTCAGCACCTGCTAGAGGAAGTCAGAAAAGCAGTTCCCCAAACCTCTGGGAGCCTCGTCTTCAGCGTGTCCATCTTCTCCCACTAACATAAGAGCCAGTTTGGGATGCCCACAAGGTCTGCTGGAGTTTGTGCATGGCTCTGCAGATAGAAGGCTGTGAGGGCCCTGGACCCACATGTGGCCCCGGGCAGTCGGCTGCCTTCCTCCGGCCTGTGGAGGGAGCTGCAGGGAGGTGGCGCAGTGTCTCCAGCCCGGGTGTGGAGATGGTGTGCTTTCCAGAGCGGGTGCGCCAGACACAGTCCAGGTACCTCAGCCTCTCTGGAAGGAGCACTTTGATGTGCACTGTCCAGCAGCCCAGACACTGGTGCACCGGTGCTGTGTGAGGCTGCCCTCTTCTAAGTGGGCTCCGTAGCAGGGCCAGGTCCCATTATCATGTGCCAGCTGATGTCTGCTCCCTTCTAGAGGTTGCTTATCCGTAGGGCTGTCCCTATACTAACCTCTTACCCTCCTCTGGACAAACTTTCTGGTCAGTGAGGGCTGAGGCCTGGGAGTGGCCTTGATGTCACTGAACTTCCTGGTCCCTGTCTCTTCTGTAAGTTGGCCAGGGCTGGGGGAGGGGCTCCCCTGGTTTCCTCTGTGTCTTCAGGCCTCAGTGCTGGGATTGGGCCTCGTGGAGGGGATCACGTATTTAGCATCCAAATGGAGCCACTTCTGAGAGGGAAAGAGGGAGCTATGACTAACTATGCAAGGACTACATGCCTAGCCAAAACCATGACAAACCAACCTGGACAACTGGTCACAACTGCTCAGTGCCTATGACTCTGCGCCCCCTGGTGGTGGGACAGGACCATCACAGGTTAAAGACGCATCCAGCGCCTACCTAGCTTACCTTACGTCTGGCACAGGGCTGGACTTCAAGTGAGGAAAGTAGTCATTGTCCTTTCACAGGCATGGCCATGGGAAGATAGGCCAGCTTTTTTGTGTTAAGTACTGGGCTTAATACTTCCCAGCTATAAAATTCTATAATTCTATGACCTAAGTTTAATTTTGAGAAGTAGGTTTTATTTCATAATAGAGTCCCAAATTTGTCCTTTGTCAGCTGTTGTGTTTTATGCTTTGGGATAATTGTTGAAGCCCTACAGTGGAGTTAAATGGGACTGATTCTTTTTTAAGACATTGAAACCCATTCACTGGTCATTTTAAAAAGAAAGGTCTTTGGGGAAACAGATGCCAGAATCTGTTGAATCTGTGATATCACCCCAGGACTGACAGGCAGACTTGATGGTGTGCATAGGGCAAAGAAAATGCAAAGGCCCTCTGCTCAGGACTGTGGGGGCTGATGGAGGCCAATGTGGAAGGCTGCGAGGTGCTCCAGGATGTGGGGAAGTCAGTGGAGTCAGGCTGTGAGAGGCTCCAGAAGCCAGGCTGGGTAGGGAGCCCTGGAGAGTCGTAGGCTGAGACTCGGGGTTGGGAGGACTGGTAAGGGGCACGGTCCGTGTGGCAAGCCTGGGGAAGTGGGTGAGGGGGATTTGAGAGCTGGTGGGTCCAAATGCCTGTGAGTGTGCATGAGAGTGTCTTTCCTGAGTGCATGTTCTGACCCCTGAGGTCCCTCCACTCATTGAATCCCCTGAACAGGGAAGACAGCTGTGGTGAAGGGGTCAAGAGCCCAGAGCTCCCCGGTGTCCAAGAAGATGAGGCTGCATCCTGAGCCCCTGCATGCATCCCGGGCCACCCAGCAGCACGCTCATCCTGCGCCTCCAAAGGCCCACTGCACTCATGCCAACAGTCGCCCCTGCAGGTGGGGGCTGGGGAATGTGGACCCCTCCTGGCTCCCCTTCCCCTGTTGTGCTGCATGACCTCTGCGCGTGTCCAGCGACAGGATTAGAATGTGTGCCTCTGGGGTTTGGCGGGCAGGGCTCCCTCGAGGTCTTTCTCCTCATCTTGGCTCTCCCTGGCGGGACCCATGCTATGGGGAAGGTAGGCATGCGTGGTGCCTTAGAAACCCCACTTGGCTTGTTGGCAAGGCCCAGAGGCAGGAGGCAAGAAACCAAGATGGGAGGGGAGGCCTGGCTTACCACCACAACGGACCCCCCTGCAGGGGCTGGGCAGGCCTGGCTCACCTGCCACATGCACATGGAGGGGGCACCCTGCCCACCTCAGGGTCGGAGCTGCCAGAGCTCATGTCTGCTGAGGACACTGGTGTGGAGTCTCTGAGTCCCTGGTGGGTGTTCTGGGCCTTACCAGGGCGGGGGCCAGTACTGGAGAATTCAGATTCATCTTTCGTTGTCTTTTATTTTTGTTTCTAACATGGGGGGAGGGGTACAAAGACCTGCTTGGGAGCATCAGATGACCTCTCCAAGGCTTTGGGTGGTTCCTAGAGCCCCCCCACCATGACTTGCAGCCGTGTGAGCTGGATTGACCTTCCTGGGTTGTGTTTCACACTCAGCATTATCCAAAGAATGGGCTGAATTAAAGCTCTGAGCAGAGACCTGAACGAGGAACACCCCATCTTCCCTGCCTGTATCCCTCCCTCCCTTTGTGGCTCCTCAGAGCCATGCTGCAGGAGAGACACCAGGGGCTGACTCCCTGGACTCACAGGGCTGTGGCCTTGCAGGGCTGAAGTAATTGGAATCCAATCTCCGATCCCACACTGGCCTCACCATCTGGCCCCAGAAGCTGCCCTCACATTCCTACGATGAAGGACAAGCTTCCCCAGCTGGAGGCCACGCTGGAAGTGGGGCCTTGGTGGGGCGTGCATGCTGGCCGGCGGCCATGGAGAGGGGGGCCTTCCACCACCACCTCTCCCCCAGGACAGCCACCATTCTGCCAGCCCAGAGCTGGAGCGCCGCAGTGTGTGTGTGGAGTTGGCCGGGCTGGAGCAGATGTCATCTCCTCTCTGGGACCCCCCGATGGCTTGGTGTCCATTGGCCAAATGCTCAAGAAATTGACCCTCAAAGGAGACTAAAGCAGGCCTCAGATACCTCCCCTGGAAACGTGGGCCGAACGAGGGATCAGGGTCGCCGGTGTGGGTTTCCTATCACAGGAGGACTTGTGTAGAGAGGGAGCGGGAGGCTGGGCCGGAGGAGTGCCCGTGTCCTGCGCATCTCTGTGCCTGTGGGTGTACATCGCGCCTCCGCGCTCATACGCATGTGCGTGCCCATCTGCTGCACACAGCACACTCGCATGTCTTGCGCTGGCACATGCATCTGTAACATAGTTTCTATGTCTATTTAAGCTACGAGCTGGATGTGGCCCGTTGTCAATGGGTCCACATTTTTCCCTGGCTCATCTCCACTAAGGCATTATAACCCAGGGCTTAGAAACGTAATTTGGTACTGTTTTAAGAACACTTTTATAGAGTTCATGGGAGGCCAGTCACGGATCCACAGGTTTTCCTTTTGAGCATCTCTGTGCTGGGGCGTGGCGGTGGGGTTTCCAGCGGACGACATCCATTGGACTTGCCGTTGCAGAGCTCGAAGGCGGGCCTGGCTCCACTGCCCAGCTCACAGCCCTGATGGGGGGCTTACCCCATCACTGAGGGTTTGGTTGGCATCCTTGTTTTGAATGTAGCACAAGTGATGAACAAACTCCATAAGAGTGTTTTAAAAATTAACTTCTCAGGAAGTGAGTTAAAAACAATAAAAGCCCTTTCTTGAATTAAACAAACAAACAAACAAAAACACTTTGTGTGTACATTCCGTGCCTCTGGGAGTGTGTGCTTTCTCACCTGCTGGCTGTGCTGCTCTCCTGGCTGAGTCGGAGCAGGACGGTGGTGGGAGGAGCTGGGGGTGGCAAGGAGGGTGGGTCCAGGCTCCTGAGCAGGTCCTATGGCCCCTGCTTGAAAGGACAGGGTGTTTGGGAGCCGACAGGCTGCCCACAAGGTGCCCTGCCTGATTCACAGGGGCTCAGGGGTGCTGGGGTCTGGTCCTGAGAAGCTGTTCACTTCTCGTGGAGCAAAAGTCCCAGTGGAGCCTTACAGGAGTCTCTGTGACATGGGCCATATGTCCTCTCCGCGCTCCCTTGGCCTTGGGCCCTGACACGGGGTTCTTGGACCCTGTAGTTCCCTGCTCACACTGGAGCCTGCCATGGCCATAATAAAGAGTCAGTGGTGAGGTCAGACAGCCTTGAGCTTGAATCCAAGCTTGGCCATTTAATAGCCGTGTGACCTCTCAAGTCATTAGAGGAGTCTCGGTTTCCTTATTGGTTGAGTGCAGATAATAGCACCTCCTCAGGGCTCTTTGAGGTTAAATGAAGTCCTTGTGCTAGGCTTCTGACGTGCTTGGCACAGAGTGAGTCCTCAGCAAGTGAGACCCTGAAAAGAAAAACAAAGAACTTTCTGCCTCCGGAACTACCTGAAACCAGCCTCAGAGGCCTCAGGTTCAGCACATGCTGCATGGCATTTGCCCGTCGGTGCAGCCCCCGGCTGAATGGATGAGACCAGTCAGAGGCTGCCTGGCGTGATGACAGGGTTTCCATCCGAGGAGAGGAGGCCCAGAGCTGCTTCAGCCTGCTTCCTGGTCACCCGGCAAAGGCCCTTGCGGGGCTGCGCCAAGCCCTCTCCAGAAGGGGTCCTGGCGGCCAGGCCGAGGTTCCCCAAATGTCAAAACTGATAAGCGGCTTCCTGTTTGCATTTTTTCCCCGCCACTGCAGCCCCTTAACTTGGGACCCTGCCATCGCTCACTTCCTCACTGGTCTCCTGGCCTTAGTCCTCAGCACCCCAACCCACCCTCTCACCTGGTTCATCTCAGGTGTTGGTCACCAAACCCTGAGCGGGGGGGTGGTGGGGGTGGTGGTGGTGGTGGTCTGACAGGCCAGAGCATCATGCTAATGAACAGCTTTGAATAGGAACATGGCACGTGACATCACTTCCCGACGAGGACAGGCACTCTAGGAGGCACGGTGTGGTAGGGAAACTGAGGCCTGGGGACCAGTGACTCACTCAGGCACACAACAAGTCAGGGAAGAGCCAGGCTATGACCCAGGTCTCCTGCCCATCCACCCACCTAGGTCTTTCCACACCAGTGGCCAGGAAAACCCAGAGCCCACAGGGGAGGACTTCCAAACCTGACCACACGGGCAAGCTGAGCCCAGGCCACAGGTGTCCTGCTGAAGACTGGGGGCAGCCCTGGGCTGGTCCTTGGAGGTCCTGGTTCCTCCCAGAGAGTCTTCGGGCTCTGGCTCCCACAGGCACTTTGCCTGCTCTCTGCTCCCCCAACCACTAGCATCCTGTAAGGTCTCAGCCTTGGGGAGAGGATGGAAGGAGGGTAGGGGCCAGCAAGGGGACACTCAGACACATGCTGGGACCCATATAAACACACCACAGGTTACAGAGGACCCCCCCCACCACCACACACACATGGGCAGGCACACCCTCACAGCTTCTCCTGCGTCAAACCAGCAGGCCTGGGACTCTTGGAAGGAGGCCAGGGAGCCACTCAGAGAGCGTCTGCTACTGGGCCCCAGGGGTCAGCTGAGGCCCAGGAGGGGAGCAGGAGGGCCCGTGAAGGGGCCTGTCCTTCGTTTCACCTGCGAAGCAGTCCTGGCCTGCAAGGACTCCCGGAGCCAGCCTCCTGCCACAGGCTGGGCACCTGCAGCTCACATGACTATTTCGTGCCCTTGGTTCCCTCCCCCAGGCACACACAGTCCTGGCTGTGTCCCCTGGGGTCTTGGACACATTCATTTCTCCAGATGGGATGACCCGGGGAGTAAAGTCTTGGTCGTCTCACCCTGCAGGGCGGCTGCCAGTCCCCACAGGGGCAGGACCGACCAGTTTGTCATTAGCCCATCTGGCTCTGCAGTCAGGCTCCCTGCCCTCCCCGCTGCCTAGACCCCCACTGTCTCCAAGTCACCTTCTCCAAGTAGTCTTTCCTGGTCCACAGCCCCACAGGCATCCTTGGCCTGTGGGCTGGTGTCTGGTCCATCTCTTACAAGACAGGAATCAGGGACCAGAAATTGCAACTTGCCCCCCCCACAAGTCACTTGTACAACTTCACCGGCCCACTGGCTGTTCCGTCATGATAAAGGCCGTCTGAAGAGCGGCTGTCAGCTGAAGCACAAGAATGGGGCCTTCCCTGCGGGAGCCCCATTCCCTCCACCTGACCCTTATAAGTGGCTCCTCTGGCCTGTGTATCTGTGGCCTTTTCCAGTCCTCTCTTCCTGCTCCTTAGCCTGCAACTAGCTCGGGCCTCCCCTGTAGCTATAACCCAGATGTCCCCCACCTTGGTTTTCCAGATGCCACTGCCTCTCACTCCAGGGACTGCAGGAGGCAGCCCCTCCCGCCTTCTCTCTCAGGTGCTCTCCACACAGGCTCTTTGCCCCTGTCACTGCCCAGCTCGCTCTGTCCCATCCCCAGTGACTGGCCACTGTTTGTTCTAGCTGCAGTCCATGAGCTTGCCAATGCTCCCTACATTGTGTGCCCTTTGACCCCAGCCGTCCTTTGGTCTCCCCAAGACCCTCCCCCATGGCCCAGGCACAGGTCTGCACTGAAGGAGTGGAGCCAGGACGATGGCGGACTGCAACACAGGAAGGGGCTGGTTAAGCTCCTCCCCACTTGATCTCCCCAGAGTCCAGGGGGCCGTCCTTAAGGTGCTAGAGCCTGGGAGAGGACCCCTTGCTCTCAAGTACTCTCCTCTCCTTCTTTCAGGCAATCTGCACCAACATCCACCCACCCCCTCAAGAAACCTGCCTCAGAGAGGGCTCCCAGCTGTGGTCTGGCCCCTCCCAGTTCAGTCGAAACAGTAGTTAGCAACCTGGCCACACACTGGCATTGCCAGGGAGCTTTTACAAAATCCTGATGCCTGGGCTCCACCCCGATTTAATTGGTCTGAGGTGTAATCTGGGTGTCAAAATTATTTTAAATTAATAGACTTTAAAAAAAAAGTTTTATTCATTCATTGTACAGAGAGACAAAGGGGGAGGGAGGGAGAGAGAAACATCAACTTGTTTTCCCATCCATTTATGCATTCATTGGTTGATTCTTGTATGTGCTCTGACCAGGGGTTGAACTCACAACCTTGGCATATCGATATTGCTCCAACCAACTGAGCTACTCAGCCAGGGTTACATTTTACTCTTTTTGAAACAGTTCTAAAACTAAAGAAAAATTGAGTGGAAACTACAGAGAGCGCCCATATACTCTCTCAACACCCTCCTGCTCCCCAATTTCTCATTAGCATAATTGGTTACAACTGATGAGCAGATACTGCTACATTCTTATCAACTAAAGTCCGCAGTATACTTTAGGGTTCACTCTTTGTGCTGTACATTCTAGATGTGACAAATGTGTAATGCCACGTACCCACCAGTACAGTCACATAGAGTAGTGTCACTGCCTAAGAATGCCCTGCGCTCTGTGTGTTTGTCCCTCCCTTTCCCCCCACCCCATCCCCAACTCTCACACCCTCTGATCTTTTTACTGTCTCTGAAGTTTTGCCTCTCCCAGGATGTCATATAGTGGGAATTATACAGTATGTAATCCTTTCAGCTTCTAGGTGATTTTTAAAATTTTTTATTTTTATTTTTTTTAAAGATTTTATTTATTTATTTTTAGAGAGGGAAAGGAAGGAGAAGGAGAGAGAGAGAAACATCAATGTGTGGTTGCTGGGGGTCATGGCCTGCAACCCAGGCATGTACCCTGACTGGGAATCGAACCTGCGACACTTTGGTTCGCCGCCCGCACTCAATCCACTGAGCTACGCCAGCCAGGGCAAAATTTTTTATTTTTAAGAGTCTCATGTTCTACCGACTGAGCTAGCCGGGCTAAATTTTTTATTTTTAAGTTGAGATATAGTTGACACATTATATTGTATAAACTTAAGGTGTATTTGATACATTTGTATTGCAATATGATTGCCACTGTAGCATTAGCTAACACCCACTACCTCTGTCTTATCACATAATCAACATTTCTTCTGGTGGTGGGAACAAATAAGATCTAGTCCCTTAGCAAATTTAATGTTTATAATAGTTTTGTTGTTTACAATCGCTGTACTGCGCATTAGATCTCCAGGACTTACTTATCTGCTAGTTGCAAGTGTGTGCCCTGACTGAGGTGATTTTCATGAAAAGTGACGGTTGGCATGAATAGCCCTGGTCTAGGATTTGGTCAGGGTGGTGGTGGGGGGATCAGTTCATGTTTCTAAATCTAATGTGGTGAAAGGAAAAGGTCTGATTTCCTTTTGATATGTCCACTTGCCCATCCATCCATCCATCCATCCATCCTGTCAATATTTATCCAGGGCCTTCTGTAACCAGAGCTTGGTTCCGTGCTGAGTTAGACACAGAACCGAATCGACACTGTTCCTGCTCTCAGGGCCCTCAGTCCATCTCAGGAGTCAGACGTTAACCCAGTCACCGTGCACGAGTGGGGGTGGTTTTGAACTGACATGGGCAACTCTATAGGAAAGGCTCATGGTGGTGGCTCTCCGAGGATAGTTAGGGAGGCTTCCCCCAATGAAAGGGAAGCTCCAGCTGAGATCTAAGGTTGAGGAAGAACTAGCTAGGCCAAGGAGAGGGGGAAAATTTCAACTAGAGAGACTGGCTTGTGCAAGGGCCCTGTGGTTAGGAGGGACATAATGGTTTCTAAGAACTGAAGTGGTGATGCTGGGAGTGAGGAGGAGAATAGTGCAAAATGAAGCTGGAGAGGTTGGCAGGGCTGCATAATGTGCTGAAGAGGTCGCTCTGGCCACAGTGTTGGGGCGGGAAGAGAGTGGAAGAACGAAAAAAACCCAGAAAAACCAGGGACGAGGCCATGGCAGTGTCCAGACAAGAGGTGACATGATGGTGGCTGGGATGGAAAGAAGCTGAGGCGTGGCAGCTGAGAAGATGGAAAGAAACAGTTGGACATGAGGAATGTGTGGGAACCGGAGTGACAAGGTGCTGTGTGGCCTCGCTATGGGGGTGGAGAGGAAGGTGTCAAGGGTGGCTTCTAGCTTCCAGGCTTGCATACCTGGATTGCCCATGGTGCTGATCAGGGAAGCAGGGAACAGGAACAGACCTGGCTTGGAAGGAGGATTCTGAGTCTCAGGTAAGTTGAGCCCGAGGTGCCTGGAGACACTCAAGGGAAGGTGTCCAGCAGGCAGTTGGACATGCAGGACAAGAGCTCAGAGGAGAGGGGAGAACTGGAGATGGAGGTCTGGAGGTCCTTGGGATATGGCTGGCAGTGGAACGGAAGCCATGGGTGTGCTGAAATGGCCTAGGAGGTGTGCACAGGGTGAGAAGAAGAGGGTCCAAGACCGAGCCCCGGGGACTATTAATGTCAGGGGAGGAGAAGCACCTGAAAAGGCCTTGGAGCAGGGCAGCCTGGGAGGTGAAAGGAAAACCCAGTGTGACCCTATAATGGAATAGTGTGTGGGGTTTCAAGAACTGGGGAGTGGGACCTGCTGGCATGGCTCAGTGGACTGAGTGCCAGCTTGTGAACCAAAGGATCAGCAGTTCGATCCCCAGTCAGGGCACATGCTTGGGTTCGGGGCCATGTCCCCAGTGAGGGGAGCAGAAGAAGCAACCATACAATGTTCCTCTCCCTCTCTTCCTTCCTCCCTTCTCCTCCATCTAAAAATAAGTAAATAATTAAAAGTATTCAAAAAAAAAAAGAACTGGGGAATTCGCATTGGTGTCTGTGATGCCTAGTGGTCAAGTCACAAGGAGAAAGTGAGAGAAGACAGTGCTTTTAAGAATTTAGCCACGTAGGGGTGGGGAGCAGAGATACACTTCTTACATCAGGGTCAGCTGCTTCAGACTGTTTAACTGTGGAAACTTTTCCTTAACTACTGACCTGCAAATATTCCAAGGACGTGAATAGAGGGTGTGGGGTTATGGGTGTCCAGTTTAAAATCGCATCAGCCCTGGCTAGTGTGGCTCAGTTGGTTGGAGCATTATCCAGTACACTGGAAGGTCTCAGGTTTGATTCCCTCTCAGGGCACATGCCTGGATTGTGAGTTCAGTCCCCAGTTTGGGAGCCTACATGAGGCAACTAGCTGATGTTTCTCTCTCTCCCCTCTTCCTTGCTTTCTAAAAGCACTGAAAAAAAAAATGTCCTCTGATAAGGATTAAAATAAAATAAAAATTGTATCAAAGAATGCCTGCACTTGAATATGTAAGACATTACCTGAGGCCAGTGGTCCATGTTACCAGTCCTCAACTAGAATTTGATTTCATCATAGAAACTTATATTACCCTTTAAATAAACAAAAAAGGACTTTATTTATTATTTGAGAGTGGGAAAGGGAGAAAAAGAGGGAGTGAAACATCGATGTGTGAGAGAGAGATCAATCGGTTGCCTCTTAAATGTGCCCCAACCAGGGACCAAACCCACAACCCAGGCATGTGCCCTGACTGAGAATAGAACCAGCGACTTTGCGGTTTGCAGGACGATGCCCAGGCAACTGAACCACACCAGTTAGGGTAGGAGCTTATATTACCTTTTAATGGCGTTTCCCTTTGTTATTCCACCTCTCCAGGAGAGGTAAAATTCCATTATTATTATTCTCCTCCCTGGAAGGGAGAGGGTGAGAGAAAGGAGAGAGAGTGACCAATTTCAGTCAAGTTTTTTTTAAAAGGAATCTTTTAGAAGATGTTTAATATCCTCTTTGTCCCTTAGCCTTCATCTTCACAAACTTCCCAAAATAGTTGGCCACATTTCCTGAAATTCCATCTCTAAGCTACTTTCCCTTTCATGGACATTTGTCTCATCAAAGTCACCAATGGCCAACAAACCTAAGTCAAGATCCCCTGTGAACTTGAGGCTGTCTTTGACACCTAACCATTTCCTTGGTGAAACTCTTCCTACAGTCTGTTCCATTGTCCCACTCTCCTGGTTTCTTATGTGAATAAAAATTATCCAGCCCTGGCTGGTGTGGCTCAGTGGATTGAGTGCTGGCCTGTGAACCAAAGGATCGCTGGTTTGATTCCTGGTCAGGGCACATGCCTGGGTGGTGGGCCAGGTTCCCAGTTGCGTGAGTGTGAGAGGCAACTGACTGATGTTTCTCTCCCTTCATTTCTCTCTCTCTAAAAAAAAATAAATTAAAAAATCTCAAGAAAAAGTAAAAAAAAATTATCCAGACTTTGGAAACAGAAAAAAAGGAACAGGAAAAAGAACTACACCGACATCTTCTCAGTGTCAGGCTGGGTCTTCTCCAACGCTCCTGTTCCACTGGGGACCATCTGATTCCTTAGAGATGTGTCCCTTTGATTGCCTTCCTATTTAGCATTGATTAGGGTATTTTACAACTCTGTGAGAGTAGTGGTTTCACTACAGACAATTCATAATGAGCAAATAATTCTTGTCCAATAACAATGAGAGCGTTTTCTCTCCAGGAAGAAAGGAAACCCC